GCCGCCGCCCCCCCCGCCCCCGCCCCCGCCGCCCCGCTCAACTCGACGACTCTCCGCGGCACCCTCGACACCTTATTCGCGGGCGTGAACCGCCACCCGAGGTGCGACAAACACCTCCGGCAGCACACGATCGTCCACGCGTACCCGGGGAACCAGCTGTGCGCCGTCTCCGGCCGCCCCGTCGTCGCCGCGGCGTCGCTCTCCACCCGCACCACCGTGATCAAATCGTGCACCGCGCCGTGTTCGTTCACGAAGCACCCGCTCGCGCCCTCCTCCGACATCACCACCAGCTCCGTGAGCTTAGACACGACGACGCCGCACGTCGCGCACGCGATGACCGTGTCCTCCACCTCGCTCCTTCGCAGAAGCTCGAGCTCGTCGCGGAGCCGCGCGACGACCGAGTCGGACGCGAGCAAATCGCTTCGAATCGCCGCCGAGGCGAACGGCACCCTCGACGCGACCCAGTACGACAACGCCGTCGGATCCCTCGGCAGCTTCTCCGCGTCGCCCAAGGTCAAGCGCAAGTACGGCGACGCGTGCAGCCGCCGCGTCAGCGCGCGCGCGTCGAACATGTCGTACACGGCGCGGCTGGTACCCGTCATCGATCGCCCGGCGACGTCGAACGCGCCGCGCGGGGGACCGCCGCGCGAGATGGCGTCGCCGCCCCGCTCGCGCATGAGCTCCACCTCGACGCGGCCGCACGCGACGACCGCGCTGTGCGTCCCGATCGCGTCCACGAGCGTCTCGCGGAACGACTCGGGGTCTTTTACGCGAAAACGCATTCGGCCGCGCGCGACGAGACGCACCGTCTGCGTCTCGTCGTCGCCGCCGTCGCCGTCGCCGCCGCCGCCGCCGTCCGCGACGAGCTGCCGCGTCTCCGCGATCGTCCCGACGCGATCGATCGCGGTCGCGCCGCCGTACCGCCGCCTGCCGCGATGCAGGTGGAGGATGCCGAACAAGCCCGTCAGCGGCGGCGGCGCGCGGACGCACTCGCGGAGGAGCCGCCGCGCGCGCGAGTGGCGCGCGCCTCGAGGGATCGTCACCGGGAGCGTGTCCCCCGGGAAGAGCACGATGCCGTCCAGCGCGAGGATCGGGATGGCGATCGTCACGGCGGCGTCGTCGCCGCGCGCGATCGCTTCTTCCACGCGTCGCGCGAGCTCGTGGCGGCCGCCGCTGACGCGCGCGTCGTCGACCGCGCCGAGGTACGCGTGCGCGGCGGTCAGCGCGGGATCGAAGTCGTTCACCACGGCGTCGTCGTCGTCGTCGTCGTCGTCGTCGTCGCCTCTTCCCTCGTCCTCGTCCTCGTCCTCCTCCTCCTCCTCGCCGTCGTCGTCGCTTCCTCGTCGCGCGCGCGTCGCGGGGTCTTGGATGTGCCGCAGCGCCGCGCGAATGTCCCCTCCGGTCTCGAGGAGCACGCGCAGAAAGAGGTGCTCCCTCGACGGCGCCTCCTCCGCTTCGCGCGGCGGTCTCGCGTCGACCTCGGCGAGGGTCTCGCCCTCTTCCGCCGGCACGAGCCCCGCGCCAGGGTCGCCCATCGTCGCGTCGTCGTCGCGGGCGTCGCCGTCGGCCGACGCCTCGCCGTCGACCGCCATCGCGACGCGCGCGCGTCGCTGTGGCTGTGGCGACGAACTTTTTTTCTGCGGGCTCTCGCGGATGAGCGTTTTTCACCCATCCCTCGGTTTCAACATTTGATCGCATCCTCTTTCAACCGACCGATGCACTTTTTTTGTTTGATACGACTCTTCTCAGTCCAGGCTGAGTCATCCTCCACAAGACTTCAAGATGTTAGCCGTTCCGCTTCCGAGCTTATCCAGGCACAAATCGTCGCGCGCGCCCCACGAAACACGATGCAGACGATCGCGACGCTCCCCGCATCGCTCGCGTCGAGATCGACGCGCGCGTCGAGATTCGCGCTCGGCGGCGCCGCCCCCCCCCGCGCGCGCCCCGCGCTCCGATCGAACGGATTAAAATGTCGCGATCGTGATCGCTTTCGCGACAAACGCGCCAACGACGACGACGTCGTCGCGCGCGCGTACGACCACGACGCGTACAACGACCCGAATCCGCGCGACGACGAGGGCGCGATGCTCGGCGCGGCGCACCAGGCGCGCGGCAACGTGTTCACCCAACCCTTCGATCTCAACTCGCCCGCGGCTCCGCCGCTCGACGCGTACGGTCGACGCATCGATAGCCCACTGCAGATGCCCGCGGGGGAGGGCCCGGGCCACGGCCCCGAGGGCGGGTACAGCGTCGACGACACCGACAACTTCTACTCCGAGGCGGAGCAAGCGCAGAAGCAGTACCGAAACGATCTGCAAGCGACGCGGCAGCGGTACATCGACAAGGAGGCGGCGGCGGTGCAGACGCGCGACTACGGCACCGCGCAGACTTCGGCGCGAATCTTACAGCGGCTCGTGCAGATCGAGAACGAGCTGCTGACGCACGAGACGCACGAGGTCGAGGCTTCGTATAACGCGGACTACCACGCCGCGGACGCGGCGAAGACGCTCAAAGAGCGCGTGCTCGAGGAGCTTTACGACATTCAGTACGATCGGTACGACCCGAATCAGTACGTGGACGGCGGCGTCAACTCCGGCGCCGCCGCGGCGTCGCGAGCGGTCGCGGCCGCGTCCGCGGCGCTGCACGGCGGGACGTTCGCGACCGTCCCGGTGCGATTCTCCGTGAACGTGAAGACGCTCTTCGGCGAGAGCGTGAGGGTGTGCGGCAGCCTCAGAGAGCTCGGGGAGTGGAACGCGTACGAGGCGCCGGATATGGTGTACAAAAAAACCGTCGGCGACCCCACGGAGGGCGTCGGGACCTGGGACGTGACGCTTCAGATCCAGCAAGGGTCGGAATTCAAGTTCAAGTTCGTCGTCGTCGGCGGTCTGGACGAGGAAGAGAGAAGTCGCGGGCAGCAGCCGAACATGTACTGGCAGGAGGGCGACGACCGCATGGTGCGTCTGCCGAAGGATAACGTGTTCTCGCTCGACATCGTCGTCGACTGGGAGGGGGACCCGGAGAAGGAGAAGATGTGGCTGTGCATGCCCGTGCCGACGATCAAACCGGTGTGAAAGGTTGGTGTGAACTGAATGCGACGCGAGCGGCGCGCGAAATCGCGTCGTCGGCCGCGATGTGTACTCTGTTTGTGTAATACTTTCTAGTAGTTCCTATTCGTTCGCAGTTAGTTGTCTATCTCGCGCGGTTAATTTTCCAAAGCGGTACGCGTCACGTGTTCGCCTTCGCCTTCTCTCGATACTCCGCGGCGAACTCAGCCTCGATCGCGTGAAGCTTCCTTCCTAACGAGCTCATCATCACGCGCGCGAGCGCGTCCGCATGAGCCTTCTCCTCGCGCGCTCTCTCCTTTTGCATCTCCACCCACGGGGTTCTCCTCCGCCGCTCCCGCGGCGTCTCGGACCCGTCCGCATCCGGCGGCGCCGGGTCCACGTCTCTCGGCCCCAACATCGCGGGCCGTCGCAGCGGGTTCTCGCGCTCGAACGCGCTCGCGCCGTCGCCCGCGAGGCCGTCGTCGTCCGCCGTCTTCTTCACCTTCCGCTTCCCCGCGCGTCGCCCGGGGTGGTCCGGCGCGAGCCACGCGCGGATCGTCTTATCGCAACCCGCGCTCGCGTACTGCGACTTTCCGTTCACGCGAACGATGGACTTGATCTGGTCGACGTGACCGGCGTACACGACCCGCGGGACCGCGTTCGCGTCTACGGCGGCGCCGCCGAAGACGTCGTCCGGGTGCGGCGCCTTCGGATCGTCGATCGAGACCTTGACGACGCCGTCCTGCGTGGTCTCCATCACGACGTCTACTTCCGCGCCGTCGGCGTCGGCGTCCGCGTCCGCGGCGGCGGCGTCCGCGCCTTCCCGCGCGACGCCCTCCAACCGATCGACGTCGAACACCCTGATCTTCATGTCCCGCCCCGCGGCGACGAGACACTCGCACACGGGATCCAGCGTCATCGTCGTCACGCCCTCGCCTTCGGTTCGAACGCTGACGCAGCGAATCGACGCGCGCGTGTCCGCGCGCCACAGGCGAATCGTGTGATCGTCCGACGCCGTGATCCACAACGCGCGCCACTCGCACCACTCCAGCGCGGTGACGTGGTCCGTGTGCCCGACGAGCTCGCCCTTCATCATCTCGCGTCGACCCTCGTCGTCGACGTGCCATATTTTCACCACCGCGTCCGCGGCGGCGGTCGCGAACTCCGCGCGTTCTCTCGCGCCGGCGACGACGGCGTGCACCTCCGCCCCCCCGTGCGGGTCCTCGACGCAGTGAACCTCCCGCCGCCGTCGAAGGTCCCACGTCCGCAGCGTGCCGTCATCACCCGCGGTGACGAGGACGAACTCCGCGGCCTCGCACACCGCGGTGACCTTCCCTCTGTGTCCTCTGAGTTCGTTCCAGTCGCCGTCGAAGTTGCGCTTCGCCTCCGACGCCGTGGACCGGGCGTCCCACTTCGCGACGACCCCGGCGGAGGTCGCGGCGGCGGCGGTTGACGTTTCATCTTCCGAGTCCACGTCGCCGCCGTACTCGCGGTCGCTCCCAGACAGGTCCTCCGCGTCGCCGTCGCCGTCCACGCCGCGCGCGACGTGACTGTGCGCGACCTCGCCCTCGAGCCCGCGGTCGCGAATCTCGAACAGTCTAACCGTCCCGTCCTCCCCGCCCGTGACGAGGACGCCTAAACTGTCGCAGTACGTCGCGCACAGCACCGCGCCGCGGTGCCCCCTGAGTTCCTCGAACACGCTCATCGCGTCCGTGGACGTCGCGTCGCCGCCGGCGCTCCTCCACCGCTTCACGCCGCCGTCGCAAGACGCGCTGCATATTTCCTCGGGCTCTCCGGGCTTGGACGGGACGACGACGAGACGCTCGATCCAATCGTCGTGCGCGTCGCCGTACACCCGGAACGCCGCGGAGGGGTTATAGCGCCACGCGACGAGATCGTGCTTCGCGCGCGAGCGCATCACGCCCAACACGACCCCGGGATGGTCCGGGGATTGCGTCAACCCGACGACTGGAAATTCCGCGAATCGCGACGTCCGACGCAGCAGCTCCGTGACGTTCATCGGCGTCTTCGGATCGAACACCGCGAGCTCGCCGCCGCCGCCCAAGCTCCAGTACGTCGCGCTCGCGGGCTGGTAGAAACTCGCGACGACGTGGTCGATCGCGTCGTCGCGGTAACTCGCGAGCGGCTTCCCCTCCGTCGTGAACACCTTCGTCGCGCCGTCCATCCCGCCCGTGACGAGCCAGTTGTTCTCCGCGTCCAAGTCCAGCTGCGTGATGGCCGCGTCGTGCGCGTTCAGACGCCTCGCGACGTCCCGACGCGGGTCCGCGGAGGAGACGCGAGGGAACACCGCGATGGAGCGGTCGTGCGACGCCGTGAAGAGCTTGTTGCAGTCGCGAGAGAACACGCACGCGGATATCGCGTCCGCGTGGACGTCGACGATGGACGCCACCTTGGCGAGCGCCGGCGCCGCGCGTTTCGTCGCCGCCTCCTCCGCGCCCGCGGGCTCTTTGGGCTCTCTCGCGAGGACGTACAGGTGCAGCGCGCCGTCGAGCCCGCCGACGGCGACGAACGCGCGGCGCTCGCCGAAGCCGATGGACGCGATGGGTCCTCGGCGCAAATCGACGCGCTGCGCGAGCTTACCCCTGTCCGACCACACCGCGACGGTGCCGTCGACGCCGCCGGAGACGAGGCATCGACGCGACTCACACCAGCACAGCGCGGTGACGTGCCCTCGGTGCGCGTCGACGGCGTGCGCGAGCTCGCCGTTGCGCGCGTGATGGGTCTTGACGACGCCGCGCTCATCCCCGCTCGAGATCGTGTTCTCGTGCGCGTCGTAGGTGACGCGCGTGATGGGCGCGTCGTGCGCGTGGTGTATGCGTTGGAACACCTCGAGGGACATCGCGGCGGTCGCGGGCGCGCGAGAGGAGGTTGGCGGCGGCGGGGAGGGCGCTCCGCGCCACCGCGGCGCCGACGACGACTGACGCGCGAGCGACGGACGCGTCCGAGAACTCGTTTAGGAACAGGACTGGACCGGCAGGGCGGATCTAGCGGAGTAACAACAGAACTGAACGAGACCAGACAGACTCAAAGCAAGCTGCTTCTTCTACTCGCCGTCTCGCAACAGCTCGCTCGAGCGCACGATCAACCCTCGCTTCTCCACCCACCGAAACCACGCCCGCCACGTCTCGTCGCTACTCAGCGTCTCGCGGCGCCCGAGGACGATCAGCCCTCGCTTCGCGCGCGTGATGGCGACGTTTAATCGCCTGTCGTCGGACACGAACCCGAGCTTCCCTGCCGCGTTGGCGCGAACGGTGCACAACACGATGACCTCCTTCTCTCGGCCTTGGAACCCGTCCACGGAGTGAATCTCGAGCTCGCGCGCGGACGGCGGGGGCTGGTTCGAAGACGCGGAAGACGACGCCATCGCGCGCTCTTTCGCGGTGAGCTTGATGCCCTCGTCGGCGGCGAAGCGATCGAAGTCGTCGACGGAGGGAGTCTCGCCGACGTTTTTTCCCCCGCCGCCGCCGCCGCGGAGCTTCGCTGCCCACCGCTCCTGTAACACCCGGACCTGCGCGGCGTACGGCGCGATGACGCCGACGTCCCCGGGCCCGCCCACGGGCGCGACGCCGCCGCCGGCGCTGCTGGCGCCGCGCGCCGCGAGGAGACGCGTCACGATCTCGACCGCGACCTTCGCCTCCTCTTCGTTGTACAGCGACACCCCGTCCGGGGCGCGGCGCTCTTCGCCGCCGTCCACCTCGACGAACACCAGCGGCGACGTCGCGCCCGCCTTACCGCCCGACGCCGGCCACGCGACCCCGCCAGGGGACGGCCGCGTCGCCGCCGTCGGCTCGGACGCCACCTTGCCGCCGTAAAACGCGCCGCTCGGAAACGTCGCGAGGTCCGGATGCATGCGGTACTGCCTATCCAGCAGCATCGGACGCATACCCAGCCGCTCGAGCCGCTCGAATAAGCTCACGCCCAGCCCCCCGTCGGACGCGTCGCGGCTCACGACCGTCGGCGGGAGCTGCCGCGCGTCGCCGACGAGCACGCCGCTCAGCGCTTTCGTCAGCGGTATCAACGCCGCGGGTTCGGTGCACTGCGTCGCCTCGTCCACGCACGCGACGCGAAACGTGAACCCCTCCAAGAGGTCGTCCCCGGCGCCGACGCACGTCGCGCAGACGACGTCCGCGCGGGACAGCACGAGCGCGCTCGCGGCTTTCTCGAGCGCGAAGGCTTGCCTGCGAGCCGCGGTGCCGCGCGAGGAGAGGTCCCCGCGCGCGGCGAGTCGCAGCGCCGCGGCTTTCTTCCCGGGCGTCGTGAGCGCCGCCTGCGAGGGAGTTCGGGGGCGCGTCAGATGGAGTTGAAACGCATCGAGGTCGAGCGTTGAAAGCGAGGGACCCTGGGCGGAGAGAGACGCCGGGAAGTAAAGTCCTTAAGAAACGGCGTTCACCACGCCAACGCGGTCGTACGGGGACCAGTGTAGGTACGGGACGCGCCTGCGCGCCCAACGTCGTCGCGAGAAGCCACGGCTGGACTTTCGCGGGCGACCCCAGCCTGACGACGCGCATCCCGCCGCTACCCTTGCCGCCGCCCGGCGGTCTCACGAGCCCTTCGACGATGTTGTCCACCGCGACGTTGCTCGCCGCGCACGCGAGGACGACCGGCCCGCCGCCGGCTTTGCCGTCGTCGTCGCCGCCGCGTTTGAGGACGCCCCGCGCGGCGGCGACGGCGACGACGGACTCGATGAACGCCATCAGCGTCCGCGTCTTCCCCGTCCCGGGCGGGCCTTGCCACGTCGTGAGCGTGCGCGACAGCGCGGCGTTCACCGCCGCGCGCTGCGACGGGTTCAGAGACCCGACGCTCGTCTTCGACGCGAGGAGAGGCTTCAACCCGCCCGGCGTCGCGTTTTTCGCGCCCCACGGCGGCGGCGGCGACGCGATGGACTCCAAGTCCCCGCCGCCGTCGGGGATGCCGATCAGCGCGCGCTGCAACGGCGCGTACCCGGTCGTGGACAGCCGCGTCCCCGCGGTCGTCTTCGCGAAGTCTGGCATCCCCCCAGCCTCGGAGAACGCGACGAGCGCGGCGAGCGCGCGGTCGTGCGAGATCGTGTTCGCGCTCAGGGTCGTTCCATACGAGCGATTGTCGGGGTGGAGTTCAAAGGCGTCAGGTGGAGTTGAAAGGCGTCGCGGGCGGGGATTGAAAGCGAGGGACCCTGGGCGGAGAGAAACGCCAGGAAAAGTCCTTAAGGAACGGCGTTCACCACGCCAACGCGGTCGTATGGGGACCAGTGTATAGAACGCACCTCAGATCCACGCGAATCTTCGACGCGTTCAACACCTTGAGCTCGTCCTCCTCGTCGATCGCGATCTTCAGAAAGTGCATCGCGCGCTCGACGACGACGCCCTGGACGCTGTTCGCGCCCGCGACGTCGTGCTCGGACCCTTCAACGAGCGACACGACGTCCCCTTGCGCGAACCGGTGGAACGGCAGCTCCGCGCCGAGCGGCGGGCCGCCTCGACCGCCGTTTCCGTCGCCCCCCCCGCGCGGCACCAACAGCCGCACGACGACGTCCCTCTGTAACACCCCTTCGCGCATCGCGGACAGACCGAAAAGCGCGTACCCCTCCCTCCGGAGCCGATCGTTATCCCACGTCACCAGACGCTCCTTCGCGCGCGTCATCTCCTCCTCGAGCTCGACCCTGAGCGCCATTCCATACAAAGCGATGTCGGGGTGGAGTTGAAAGGCGTCAGAAACGGAGTTGAAAGGCGCCGAGGGCGGGCGTTGAAAGCGAGGTGTGGGCGGAGAGATGCGACGGGCAAAGCCCTTAAGGATCGGCGTCCACCACGCCAACGCGGTCGTATGGGGACCAGTGTGAGATAGAACGCACCTGAGCGCCTTGGCGTACTTTACGCGGTGCGCTGCGTACCCGACGCGTAAAACGTTTCGGCTCTCGCCGCGCTGCCGCGTGCCGGACCTTCCGCTGCCTCGCTTCGTCGCGTCGTCCGACGCGGCGTCCGGGGCACCGCGCGCGTCCTCGAGGAGGTGCTTGAACCCGGAAGACCCGGAAGACGACCGCTTGTTCGCGTTCGTCTTCGCGCCGAGCCGCGCCCAAAGTTTGGCGCGCTCCTCCGCGGCGACCTTCGGGTCTCGCCGCGCCGCCGCGGAGAGCGTCGCGGAGGGCCCAAAAGCCTGGTCCTCCTCGACGGGTCTCTCGGATCTCGACGCCGTCGACTGCTTGACGCCGACGCGAATGCGCGTCGCCGCGGGGCGGACGGCGGAGTCCGTCGGCGGCGGCGGCGGCGGCGCGCGTTTCCTTCGCGCGCGCGCGACGTTCGGTCTCGAGCCATGGCCCGCGCTGGAAGATGATGATCCGGATCCGCCGCCGCGTCCTCCGCGTCCTCCGCCGCGGCCGCCGCGGCCGCCGCCGTCGGCGGCGGCGAACACGAAGAATCGCGTGCTCGAGGCGCGCGTCCACCATCGCGACGGCGCGGAAGCTGATCGTCGCGAAGACGATCGAGAACGTAACAACGACGCGCGGTCGGCACCAGATCTCTCATCAGAGTCGAGACCCGCGCGTCGCGCTCGCGAGGCCGTCGCGTCGCGCGATCTCGACGCGGCGCATCCGCGCGCGAGCACGAGCCCCGGGCACGCGGACGCCATCGCGGGCGACGAGGCGCGGGGATCCGCGCGTCGTCGAGTGAAGACGCCTTCGCGCGTCCCCGTTCAAAAGGGGACGAAAACTCGCGCGAAGAAGAGCGTTCGTTCGCGGCGTCTCGTTCCCTCCGACGTGGCACCGCGCCCTAACCCTCAACGTCGTCGCGCGCCATCGCGCGGCCGCAGTCGCCAGCCGCGTCGTCGTCGTCGTCGCCGCCGTCGTCGTCTCGTCGAGCTCTCAGCGAGCGCGTCGTCCCGGTCCTCGCTCCCGCGCGGCCGCGCCCTCGTCGCGTCGCGTCCCCGTTCGTCGCGCTATCGATACAGCACGCCCGTTCCGGTGTCGACGATGACGTCTGGCGTCGCGGCGGGCCCCCGGATCGTCGCCCCGCGCGTCGCGCGCCGCGCGACGTCGCCCGCGGCGATGGCCGTCACGCCGTCGCGGCGGGTCTCACCCGCGATGACGCGGTCGAGCGCGACGACGCTCGCGGCGTCGCGCCGCGTCGCGACCGTCGTCGCGGCCGCGAGAGGCGACGCGTGCGACGCGAGGCGCGAGCGCGTGGAATCCCTCGAAGCGCCCGTCGTCGCGATGGATGAAAACGCGTCCACGACGAGCGACCACCCGATCCTGTCGAAGATACTCAAAGCCGCCGCGCTCGCCGCGGTCGCGTGCGCGGTGACGGCGCTCGTGTTTCCCGACATCGCGCTCGCGGCCGCGAAGAAGGCGGTCGTCGCGGCATCGTCGGAGCCGATGTGGAAGAAAGCCATCGGGTGGGTCCTCCACCTCGACAAGCACCTCGCCGGGATGTTCGCGTCGTACGGCACGATCGCGTACGCGATCCTCTTCGCGATCGTCTTCTGCGAGACCGGTCTGGTCGTCACGCCGTTCCTGCCGGGGGACTCGCTTCTCTTCGCGACCGGAGCCCTCGGCGCGTCCGGGGCGTTGAACTTCCCGCTCACGATGGCGATGCTGTTCTCCGCCGCCGTGCTCGGCGACGCGGTCAACTACGGCGTCGGGAACTGGGCGGGGGCGAACTTCATGGTGAAGTACCCGAAGGTGTTTAAGAAAGAGTACGTCGAGAAGACGAAGAAGTTTTACGAAAAGTACGGCGGGAAAACGGTCGTCATGGCGCGGTTTTTTCCAATCGTCCGAACCTTCGCGCCGTTCGTCGCCGGCGTCGCGAACATGACGTACGCGACGTTTTTCACGTACAACGTCATGGGCGCCGCGGTGTGGATATGCAGTTTCATGTCCATGGGGTACTTCTTCGGGCAGATACCCGCGGTGCAGGAAAACTTCGCGCTGACCGTGATCGGGATCATCGTCTTATCCTTGGTGCCGGTGATCGTCGAGATCATAAACGCGAAGAAGGAGGAGAGCGAGAGCGAGAGCGAGGGAGGCGAAGCCGCGGCGGCGCAGTGAGCCCGCGCGCGCGTCGTGAACTCTCCGCCGAGCGCGGCGCATCGCGTTGATTTCGATGAATGAATGAATGAGCTATCGTGCGACGCGTTCGTTCGTCACTTTCCCTTCCCCTTTCCCTTCCCTTTCCCCTTCCCCGCCGCTTCCGGGGATGCGGCGGTCTCCGGGGACGCGACGGGCGACTCCGGGATCGGTTCGCCGAGCTCCACGTCTAGCTCCGTGAGCGACAGACTCCGACGCGCGTCTCTCTTCTTTCCCTTCTCCTTCCCCTTCCCGGGCGTTACCCCACTCGGCGTGCCCCCTCCACCCCCACCCGCGCCCGTCTCCGAGAGCCGCGCGGCGGCAGCCTCCAACGTCGATCGCGTCCCGCCGCGACCGAACGATCCGCTCCCGCCGCCGCTGCGCGAATTCGTTCGCCGCTCCTTTCGCATCCGCATCCGCTCCGCGTGCGATCGACTCAGCGCCTCGGGGCTCCCTAAATCCGTGAAATCCACGCCGTTGTACTCGTCCCCGAACAGCGACACCTGCCTCGAGTTCGCGCGCGAGTTCGCCCTCGAGTTGGCGCGCGATAACTGCCTCGACGCGCTGTCCATGAGGAACGACCCCGTCGGACCGCCGTGCGAGAGGCGGTCCGTCCCGTCGCTCCTCGCGTCGTCCTCCACCCCGGCGACGGGCTGGTAGTTACTCGTGAGGATCTTCCAGAACGAGTGCTTCCTCGGGGCGTACGTCCAGTTACTCTTCCACCCGCTCAAGCACACGATCGCCAGCGATATCACCTGCACGACCTGGTAGAACGTCGGCACCCCCGCGGCGGCGCCGACGACGTCGCACTTCTCATCCGCGGCGTATCCGAACTCCGCGCACAACGCCGCGTCGTCGTTGCTGAACGAGGCGAGGATCACCGCGAGCGCGATCGCGGTGTTTTGATAGCACGTCTCGATCGTGACGGAGAGGCACTGCGGCTTCGGCAGCCGGCACGCGTACGCGAACGCGAGAGAGAGGACCAGACCGAACAGACACGGCAACGTCGTGCCGGCGTAAAAGTTGGAGTCGCGCGCCCAAATCGGCGACGACGAGTTGGACGAGAAGAACAGCCCCAAGAAGATCAGCGCCACGCCCGCGGTGTTCCCGATCTTGTTCAAGTTCGGACGCCACTCGTCCTTCTTCTGGCCGACGTACAGCCCGCCGCAGATCCCGACCACGACGACGCCCAGCGACAGGAAGAGGCCGCCCCAGTCCAACACGACGTCGCCCGCGTCCGGGTACGCGAGCGTGATGTAGACCAAGATGTTCACGGGCAGAGCCACGACCGCGAGCAGCGAGCTCGCGGTCGTCATCGCCATGGACAGCGGCAGGTCCGCGTTGAACAGAGAGCACCACCAGTTGCTGTACGAGCCCCCTGGCGAGCTCACGGTGACGAGCAGAGGGACGCCGTAGACGGGGTTGTCCGCGAAGAAGATCTTCACGCAGCAGAAGCCGGCGAGGGGGAGGAACAGGAACTGGCACACGAGGCCGATGCATATCCCGACGGGTTTCTTGAACCTCTCTCTGAACTCGAGGAGGTCGACTTGCGCGGCCTGGTGGGGAGGGTGGGTGGAGGGTGGAGGGTGGGGGGTGAGCGATGGGGGGTGAGCGATGGGGGCTAGATAGGTGGACGTCTCTCGCGCATCGTGAAAATATTCGATCGGCCGCGGACGCGGCGTCGCGGGGGCGGGGAGGGGGAGGAGTCGCCGCCTCCGAGCCGCATCCACGCGAATCCCTCGCGACGTACCAGACCGAAGATTAAGATCAGCAGCAGGCCGTTGCCGACGAGGCTGAACGTCGTGAACGCCATGACTCGGATGCCTCCCGACCCGACCTCTCGACTCCTCCTCGCCAGCTGTGAGCCACGAGCGCGTTTTTTCTACGAGCAGACGATCGCGCTCCTCCTCCTCCTCGCGTGAGACGCCGACTCGCCGTGCGCGCCGCGCGCGCCTTGAGACCGGAACGTCCCCACCGCGAACGTCGCCGCGTTGCGATACGACGTCGCGGACGCGAGGTGTCGTCGCCTCGCGGCGCGGACGCCGTCTGAGCGTGGGTGGAGTGACTCGTAGTCTATTTGTCGGACTCCGCGCGGCATCTGTAACCTGTTGGGGGACCCAACTTATTTTACTTTTTTCTCAGCAGAGTGCGTTCTGAATGATTGATGCCTCTTAACCCGAACCCCCCGCCGTGACCTCGCCCTCTTTCGCTGACGCACCGTCGCGACACGCAGAAACTAGTAACGACACGATGGCTGAGTCGCTTAACCTCCGCGGTACCCTCAAAGGGTGCGTCATCTCGCCTCGTTCGCGTCTCCTCGCGTCTCCGTCCGCGCGAACGCGTCCGCGCTTTTTTCGTTCTAGGGTTTGAAGGGATCGATCGATTGGAAAACACCCTCCTCCCTCCCCTCGATCGCGCACGCCGCTGACCGTCTCATCGCACCTCTCTCTCTCTCTCTCTCTCCGCCGCAGGCACGAGGGCTGGGTCACCTCCCTCGCGTGCCCGCTCGACAACTCGGACATGCTCCTGTCCTCCTCCCGAGACAAGACCGTGATCCTATGGACGCTCACGCGCGAGGAGGGCAACTACGGGTACCCGCTCCGATCCCTCCGCGGGCACTCGCACTTCGTCCAGGACGTCGTCATCTCCAGCGACGGCCAGTTCGCGCTCTCCGGGTCGTGGGACGGCACGCTCCGCCTGTGGGACCTGAACACCGGCTCCACGACGAGGCGCTTCGTCGGGCACGGCAAGGATGTGCTCTCCGTGGCGTTCTCCGTGGACAACCGCCAGATCGTCTCCGGCTCGCGCGATAAGACGATCAAGCTGTGGAACACGCTCGGGGAGTGCAAGTACACGATCCAGGAGCAGGAGGGCCACACCGAGTGGGTGTCGTGCGTGAGGTTCTCCCCGGTGACGTCGAACCCGATCATCGTGTCCGGCGGCTGGGACAAGCTCGTCAAGGTTTGGAACCTGACCAACTGCAAGCTTCGCACGAACCTCGTCGGGCACACGGGGTACATCAACACGGTGACGGTGTCGCCCGACGGGTCTCTCTGCGCGTCCGGCGGGAAGGACGGCGTCGCGATGCTGTGGGATCTCGCGGAAGGGAAGCGTCTGTACACTCTCGACGCCGGGGACATCATCTACGCCCTGTGCTTCTCCCCGAACCGGTACTGGCTGTGCGCGGCGACGCAATCGTGCGTGAAGATCTGGGATCTCGAGTCCAAGTCCATCGTGGACGAGCTTCACCCGGAGTTCCCCCCGGTCGGGAAGAAGTCCATCCCGCCGTTCTGCACGTCCCTGAACTGGTCCGCGGACGGCGGCACCCTCTTCACGGGCTACACCGACTGCCTCATTCGCGTGTGGACCGTGAACCGCAGCATCGGCGCGTCCGGCGGGTTCTCCGCGTAAGTCGCGATCGGTCGGTCGCGACGCGACGCGACGCGAACGCCGACGCCGGGCGGATCTCGTGAGTTTCTTCCGCGTTCGCGCTACGATAGGTTGTGATGCATGCAACGCGCGAAGATTCGCCCTGCTACAGTATGTTCTAAATCAGTTTCGACCGCCTCGCCGCTCGGCGCGTCTGCTCGCGATCGCGTCGTACCCAGCGCTTCTCCCGCGCGCCACGCCCGCGTCCTCGTCCTTCCCTCTGCCGAACAGACGACCGAACATCCTCGCGAGCTTGTTCGCGCCCGCGGCGGCGTCGCCCGCCGCGCCCGCGCCCGCCGCCGCGCCGCCGCCGCGCGCGACGCGGCTCGGCGACGTCCGACGCGTCGACGGCGGCGTCCTCGCGTTTCTCCCCCGCGCGCCGCCGCCGCCGCCGCCGCCGTTCCCCCCTCCTCCTCCTCCTCTTCGCTCGCCGTCCACGATCACCGTCAGCGCGTGGAACAGCGCCGCGGTCTTGTCCTTCACGGGGACGAGGTGCGTCGTCGTCCGGCGGTACCCTAACGGCGCCGCATGGAGCGTTACCTCGTCGACGACGTTCCCGAGAGCATCCGTCGACGCGGCGGCGGCGAGCGACGCGCACGCCCTCGTCGCCTCCTCTACCGCGTCGATCGCGTTGCGCAGCGCGCCTCGGAGCTGCTCTAACGCCGCGGACGCCATCTCGGCGGGGGGGGGCGCGGTGGAGACGACGACGACGCTCGGAGCATCGCCGTCGGTGCCGGGACTATTCCCGCGCCGCGGCGTGGACGCGACGCTGGTCGCCGGGGACGACGCCCCCGACCTCGCGCCGACGCGCGCCGACGACAGCTCCTCGTCCAGAGACGCGATGTGCGCGCGCCACGACTCCTCCACGCCCTCGGGGACTTCGTTCGCGCCTAAACCCGCGCCCGCGCGCGCTCCCGCGCCGCCGTGCTTGATGATCGTCGTCTCGTGGAAGCAGTGCCTGAGCGCGGCGCGCGTCGCGAGCGCCGCTTCCCGCGCGGCGGCGGCGACGCGAACGCCCGCGCCCGCCTCGCCGCCCTCCCGCATCCCGGGGTGTCCTAAAAACTCCCCTCGGAGCCTCACCGTGGTCTTATAAAACCTCTCCAGCTCGTCGTACGCGGCGTCCGACGCCCGCAGCACGCGCTGCGTGGACACGACCTTCGCGGCGGCGTTCCCTTTCAGCATCTCGCTCACCGAGTCCCTCGCGCGTTTAAACTGCGCGCTGAGATCCGTCCTCGCGATTTGGTACGCGTACGCGACGTTCTTCTTCAGACTCGCCTCGTGCGCGCAGTCCGGCTTCGCGCGCAAGACGACAGCTTTCAAGTGGTTCGTTTTTAAGCGCTTCATCTCGCTCTGGAGCTCCGTCTCGACGAGGAGCAACGTCGCGAGGTGCGTCTCCACGTTCGTCTGGAGCTGTTCGTCGTCTTCGTTTTCCGCCGCCGCCGCCGCGGACTCTCGCAACGAGTTCACGAACGCGTAGTACTGCGGCATGAGCGACGTCTCGATCGCGCGTCGCGACGACGCGAGCTTCTCCGCGGCGTCGCAGATGCTCACGAACGTCTCCGAGGGCTGCTCCGTCGCCCTCGGCGGCGGCGGCGGCGCGTTTTTCGTCGTCGCGTCCGTCGCCCGCCGCCGCCGCCCGCGCGACGCCGGCGTGGACGTGTACGTCACGACGCCGTTCGCGTCCGGGGACTGCATCACCGTGAGCCCTTCCTCGGTCTCCCTCCGCGCGTCCTCCGCGCGGACTCTCGCTTCCGTCTCGCGAATGAACGCCGCGGTCGCGCGCAGCCGCGCGAAGTGCTCCGTGCGCGAGCGAATCGTCCCGAGCCTGCTCTCGTCCACGTCGCCGCGCGACGTCGTCGGCGTCAGCGCCGTGACCGTCGAGGCCGCGGCGTTTGTTGGGTTCGGCGTCGACGGCGACGCGTCCTCGCCGCGGCCGAGGAGGCGGCCGAACCCGACCCTCGTGCCGACCTCGTCCGCGGCGAGCTTGACCCTCGCGCCGACGTCGTTGAAGAAGCTCGCGATGCCGACGTCTCCCGGGGAGGTGAACGCGCTCGCGGTCGTCGCGCCTCCTCCGACGCCGTCCGTCCGGCGCGGCGTCCGGACGCTCCTGCCCGCGCGTCGATACTGCGCCTTGAGCTTCGCTCGCTCCTCCTTGCCGATCGCTTCTAAGAACGCGGGGTCAATGTCCGCGAAGTTCGCGGGGAGCGCGGACATCGGAAGCTGCGACGGCGTGACCGGCGCGTCGGCCGACGTTGACGCCTCGTCGATCTCGCCCGCTTCATTCGCTCGCGACGTCCGACCCGCGGGGCTCGGCGTGGACGCCGCCGCCCGGCCGCGCGGGCGGTTCATCGCGCGCGTCACCGCACTCGGGGTGTGGCGACGGTCACGAAAGTCATGTCGTCGCGCGCGAGCGTGCGAGGGCGCGGCGACGAGTCGTCAGGAGAGGTCCGTTCTTTTCGAGCGCAACAACGTTCGTCTCTCTTGCACTGCTACTACACGTACTGGTCTGGCGAGTTTTTCATTCAACCAGACTCGGTCAACGCGTCCCCGGGGGTCCGTCCGTCTCACCTCCACGTCCCCCCTCCTCCCCCGCCCACCCTCCTCCCCCCCGCGCGCCCCCCAACGCCCTGCACGCCCAACCCCGCCATCTTATCCGTCGCGTCGCGCATCGGCGACGTCGCGCCGAACGGATCCCGGTCGCCGCCGCCGCCGCCGAAGGAAAACCCGGGCGCGACGCCGCGGCGCCGCCCGCCGTCGAAGCTCGGTATCGCCTGGACGGCGTACTTAGACTTGTCGAACCCGCCCGTCCCGGAGGACGCGTCGCCGCCGCCTCGGTCTCGGTCTCGGTCTCGGGTCGTCGCGCCGTTGATCGCGGGGAGTCTGCTGTGGTTCGACGGGCGACCGTTCGCGAGGTCCGGAAGCGCGCCCGCGCGGCGCGGCGGCGGGAGTTTCTGCGACGGCCGCTCCGCGTACACGGACGACCCGCTGGACGACGACCCGACGCCCGCGCCGCCCGGGTGCCTGATGCTGATGCCGCCGATGCGATAGGATGGCGTCGGGTCGATGCGGCGGCCGCTCGCCATCATGTCCGCGGGCGCGTGTCGCGCCGCGCCGGCGCCGCGGACGGACGTCTCCGAGTGCCGTTCTATACAAGCGAACGTCGGGGTGGAGTTCATAGGCGTCAGTTGGAGTTGAAAGGCGTCGCGGGCGGGGATTGAAAGGAAGGGGTGGGCGGAGAGACACGACGGCAAAAGTCCTTCAGAAACGGCGTTCACCACGCCAACGCGGTCGTATGGGGACCAGTGTATAGAACGCACCCGAGTGCCCGCCGCCGAGCCGCGCGCCGGTCACGCCGCCGCCGTACGCTTGGAGGAGCAGATCCTGCTGCTGCGACGCGCGGCGCGCGCCGCCGGGCGCGGGCGCGCCCGCGCGCCGGTCGTGTATCCTCGGCAGGGAGGGCGCGTTGTCCAGCTCCGGGCTATTGGCGCCTCGTCGGGTCGCGCCTGGTCCGACGCGCCCGCGGCTTCCTCCTTCCGACGCGCGCGCGCCGTGATTCGGCGCCGCGGAGACGTACGACGCCGACGCGACGCCACTCTCCGTGTTGGTGTTGTTGTACCGCTCGGACAGCGCGACCGCCTCGCGCGCGGCGGCGGCGCGCTCCTCGCGCTCCAACGCCCGCGCCGCCTCGCGCGCCTCCGCGGCTTTAAACTCTCGTTCTTCTCGCTCCGCGCGCTCTCGCTCCGCGCGCTCGCGCGCCTCGCGCTCGCGTCGCTCCCTCGCGCGCCGCGCTTCCTTCTCGAGGTCTTCCCTCGCCTTCTCGCGCGCGCGTCTCGCCTCGTTCTCGCGCGCTATCGCTTCCTTTTCCTCCTTTTCGCGTTCGCGTTGCAGCCGCGCCGCGTTTTCTCTCGCGCGCCGCCGGCGCTTCTCCTCCTCCTCCTCCATCGCAATCTTCGCGAGCCGCGCGCGCTCGAGCGGGGAGACCACCGCCGCCGCCGCCGCCGCCGCGCTAGAGGTCACGTGCGGCTTCTTCCCGCCCGCGCCGCGCCCGTGCTTCCCCGCGCCGCTCGGTCGCTCCGTCGCGATCGCCGCCGCCGCCGCCGCCGCGGGCTTCTGCTTGGGTAAGTCCGGATCGAACCCTTCGCAGCCTTGGAAGTACGGGTGCGTCAGCATCCCGTGCCACGTCAGCCTCTCTTTCGGGTCCATCGCGAGCGTGGCCTTCATGAACGCCATGCCCTTGTTCGAGCACTTCCCCGCGTACCTCCTCTCGATCCCGTCCGGGGTGGACATGTCCGGGAACTTCAGACCCGCGAACCGCTTATTCCGTAAAAAATCGCTCGTCTGCGACTTCGTCAGCCCGCCCATCGCCTTCTGAATGACGTACAGCTGGTCCACGTCGCTCTCGCCCGGAAAAAGCGGCTGCCCGTCGATGAGCTCGCCCATGATGCACCCGATCGCCCACGCGTCCACCTCGAACCCGTACGACGTCGACCCCAGGAGTAACTCCGGCGCTCTGTACCACCGAGTCGCGACGTAATCCGTCAAAGGCGAAGCCGCCCGCCCAGCCTTGGCGCGCAGCGGACGCGCGAACCCGAAATCGCACAGCTTCAGCGCGTTCGCGCGGTCCGACCGCGGGTTCACGAGAAGGTTCTCGGGTTTGATGTCGCGGTGGACGATCCCGAGGCGGTGGCAGTGCGCGACCGCGCGCGCGAGCTGCCACACGTATCGCCGCGTCGTGTCCGGGGACAACCCGCCGGGGCGCTCTTCTAAAACCTCGAGGAGGTTCTTCTCTACGTACTCGAACACCAAGTACAGCTTGCCTTTCCTCCGGAACGCTTCCTGCGAGATGAGACGAGACGCGCGCGGCGGCGACGGGGTCGACGGCGTGAGGACGGCGCGGGGAGGCGCGGGGAGGCGAGCGGGTCGGGTCGCGACGAGCGAAAAGAGGGCACCGCGCCGCGCTCGGTCAACGCCGGCGTCCGCGTCGTCGCGACGTCGCGCGCGCTCGCGTCGACGCGCACCTTGAGGCTGACGACGTTCTCATGCTCCAGCGAGCGAAGCACTTTGACCTCTCGCAGCGTCGTCTTCTTCACCGCTTCGTCGTCGTCGCTCTCCTGTCGGACGAGGAGGCCGCGAGGGGTGGCGATGGATGGGAGGGGGGGGGGAGGATGAGGATCCGTCCGCTTCGGCGTCGGGTAGGCGACGCGCGCGCGCGGCCGACGCGCGGGGAAGGCGGGCGGGGAGGACGCGCGGTGCATCGCGCGATGCCATCGATGGCGACGTCGTCGCGTCGACGCGAGCGGACGGACGCGTCGTCGACGCGGGCGGGGGGTCGGCGCCGTCCCGCGAGGGGTCGCGAGGGTCCCGAGATTCGGACGCGACGCGGAGAGCAGCGAACGACCCGCGACGCGCCTTGAACTTCTTCACCGCGACGACGTCGCCGGTCTCTTTGTTCCTGCACTTGAGGACGACGCCGTACGCGCCCTCGCCGACGACGCCGACGACCTCGTACTTGTTCATGCCCACGCGCGGAGATCCCCCGAGTCCGCGCGTGGCGTGAAGTGCGAAATCGCGCAAACGCTAAACGTCTCTCCTCGCGGGACGTCGCGGGAAGTCGCGTACCGTACCCGTTTCGCGTACTTTCTCGTATGCGCATTTAGTATTAAAAATTACAGGTTCCAATATTGTTCCGAGCTGCCGCGTGGCATCCAGATCCGACGGGGCAGTGGTAACCGCTGTTTTAACGGTTTGTTATTACAGGTGTTTGTTACTGATCTTTTTCAGATCTTTTTAATTTTTGTGGCCGGTTGCATTTACCTGCATTTCCCGCGTCCGACTAAAATAAATGTCCGACTAAATGCCCATACAAAACGATCAAGAGGCGCTCAGGGCATCGGGATTTTCGCAAACGCTCTCGGTCGCTCGCTCGTCTCGGGCTCGACATTCCGCCGGCGCGCGCGATGGCGGAGGAGGAGAGAGAGGAACCGGAGGCGACGACCGTCGCGGACGATGCCCCGGAGGAGGTGAAGGAGTCGTCGCCGCCATCGCCTCCCGCGGCGCCGAGCGATGGGGTGAAGATGTCCGGGACCGTGAACTGGTTCAACGTCGCGAAAGGCTTCGGTGCGTTCCAGTGCCGCGTATCTTTCGTATCTCTTCTCATCGAAATCGACGCACCGCGCGCGCGCGCGTATCGCCGCCCGCCGCGACGCGAATCGACTCGAACTCGCGGAAAACGCGCATCGCGCATCCTTTCGCGACACCGCCGCGCGTCTTCGACGTTTCCGCGCGCGCGCGCGCGTTCTTCGCGGCGCTCGGCTCGCTCCACCTCTCCAAGAAAACCAGCCACCCCCGCGTCTTTCGTCTTTCTGACCCGTCCCGTGCGCTATCCTCGCCTCAGGGTTCATCACGCGCGAAGACGGTCAGGGCGACATCTTCGTGCACCAGTCGGACATCTACTCAGAGGGGTTCCGGAGCTTACGAGACGAAGAGCCCGTGGAGTTCACGCTCCAGGAGATCGGCGACGGGCGATACAAAGCCGTGCACGTGAGTCGTCACCCCGCGTGAAGGTTTCATATCCAGAAAGCGTTTTTTTCCTTCGATCCGCGCGCTCGCCCGCGTCGCGCGCGCTCGCCCGCGTCGCGCGCGCTCGTCTCCCCCCTCCCTGACGCCTCTCGTCTCCCCTCTCCCGTCCGCAGGTCACCGGCCCGAACGGCGCGTTCGTCCAGGGTGCGCTGCCGAGGAACTCGTATCGGCAGCGAATGCCGTACGGCGCGAACGCGCGCGGCGGCGTGCCCAGCCCCGGCGGCTTGATGATGCCCCCGGGCGTCCCCCCCGGATGGAACGGCGCGTACGGCCCGGGGATGGGGTTCCCCCCGGGCGTATCCCCGCCGTTCGGAGCTCCGGGGTACGGTTACGGAGCCCCGGGCGCGTACCCGCCGCCGTGGGGCGCGCCGCCGTGGGACGGCGGCGGCGGCGGCGCGGGGGGTCCGCCCGGAGCGCGCGGCGGGACGCCGTGGACGGACGCGACGGGCGCGGGAGGCGCGCCGTCGCTCTCGCCGGCGGCGGGTCCGTTGGGGGACTTCGGACCGGGGAACAACAAGCGCGTCGTGGTGTTAAATCTGCCGTTCTCGACGACGTGGGAGGAGCTGAAGGCGACGTTCGCTAGCGTCGGGTCCATCGCGCGCGCGCACGTCGCCGTGGACGAGACGGGGAGGTCGCGCGGGTACGGCACCGTGCGGTTTCAGACGGAGGAGGACGCGACGAGCGCGATCGAGAAGATGAACGGCGCGGAGTACGAGGGAAGGGTCCTCACGGTTCGGATGGATAAGTATCAGAACTGAGCGTCGGCGGGGTGGAAAATGAGGCGCGCGCGTATGTTGTAGTTCATTCATTTTTTAAAGTCTGCGCTCGCGGTGATCGACGCGATGTCGTCGGTTGCCGAGGCGCACACTTTGTGGTAACAAAATAAGCAAGAAGAAAACGAGCGCGAACGCGCGCGCGGGGTGATAGTACACGAAGCGTGTGACGTTTAGACGAGTCGTATTAAATCGTCGTGTACAGTGCGAAATCATCGCGATTTCGTCATCGTCGGTCGTCGTCCGTATCAAATCAATCAATGTTCCGCTCACTCCCTCGCCCCCCGCCCCCCCGCGCGTGATATCGCGCGCGTCATCATACCACTCACGCCACGGTCCCAAGAAGCGCTTCCGGGGGAAGGTACTTCTTGATCACGTTCGGCGGGTGCAGCATGTTAAACTCCTCTGTCGCGTCTTTCCCCGCGAAGAGCATGATGGCCTTCTTCCCGCCCGGGTGGTCGGGCAAGAAACTCGTGAGGTCGTACACCTTGCCCTCGATGATGCACCAGCAGTCGCCCTCCGCGTTGTGCTTCGTGATCTCGTCCTCGGTGAACGTCCTCGCGCCGCCGCCGCCGCCGGGGGCTGGAGCTTTCGCAGCCATCGGAGGCGGCGCCGGTCGCGCGGCGCCGTGGTCGACGGCGGCCGCGGGGGGCGAGAACATCGCGCCGCCGCCGCCGCCGCCGCCTCCGGCCGCGTCGAGCTGGACGTTGATGTGCACGCCCTGCTTCCCACCCTCCATGGGCTCGACCGCGATGCGCATGTTAGGGTTCACGTGCGCGTGGATGTTCGACACGCGGTTCAGAGCGGCGTCCGTGGACAGCGGCCCGCCCGCTCGAAGCGTCTTCAGAGCGGACGACAAGAGGTGCTTGGACACGGAGTCGCCCGCGACGCGGCCGAAGACGACGCAGTCCAGGAGCGAGTTCCCGCCGAGACGGTTCCTGCCGTGGATCCCGCCCGCGACCTCCCCGGCGGCGTACAGACCGACCACGGGGATGCCGCGGTCGTTCACGACTTGCGACTCCGCGTTGATGGCGAGGCCGCCCATGGTGTAGTGCACCACCGTGGTCACGATCGCGACGTGGAACGTGGTGTCGTTCATCTCCAGGGGGAGGTTGTGGAAGAACTTCTTCCCGTACGGGCACGACTGCGTCTGCGCGGCGCGGTTGTAGTCCGCGAACGTCTGCGCGAGCGTGGACGGGGAGACGCCAATCTCCCTCGCGACTTCTTCGCCAGAGTTGAAGCGCTTCATGATCCCGCGGCCGACGTAGTGCTTGCAGTGCCACTCGATCTCCTTGGACGCCTTGCCGTTCAAGATTAACCTGAACGGGCCTTTCCCCTTGTTCATCTCCCCGGAGACGTAATCGCGCCGGCCGAGCTCGTCGCAGAAGCGCTTGCCGTTTCCGTCGAGGAGGACGCCGCCGACGCCTCTCAGCGCCTCCGCCGCGAGAAACTTCACCTTCGCTTCCGGCTCGGACGGGTTCACGAGACCGGTCGGGTGCACCTGCACGGACGTCATGTCCACCGTGCCGGCGCCGATCGCTTCCGCCATCTTGATCCCGTCCCCGGTGCAGTGATCGCCGTTCGTCGTCGGCAACGATTGGAGCTCGGGGCGGTGACGCGCGAGGAGAGACGACCCGGTGTAGTCCGCGCCGTACCCGCCCGTCGCGATGACGACCGGACCCATCGCCTTGTGCGTCTCCCCGCCCTTGACGTACTCCACGCCGACGACCGCGCCGTGGGCGTCCGTGAGGAGCTTCTTCGCCTCGGCTTTCGTGACGATCTTCGCGAGCTCGCCGTCGGTGTCCTCCATCACCTTCTCGAGCGCCTCCATGAGCGCGTAGGTGATCGTGAACCCGGGGAAGCGCTCTTTGCCTCGGTGCGTGCGGGGGTAGGAGTGGCCGCCTGGGGTGGGGAAGGGGGTAACGAACGGGGAGAATGCGTTAGGGTTCGTTCGTTTGGGGTCGTAAGTCTCCAGATCGTTCCTGTCGCGCGTTTTATCCTTTTTTTCGAACCAGAGAAGCGAGCGCGTGTGAAAAAGCGTCGTCGGATTTCGAGGGTTCGAGGGAGGGCGAGGGGCGCAAGGGGCGTTTCGCGCACCGAGCTGGGAGACGAGCGACAGGTCGAGCTTGAACTTGTCCTGGAGCCAGTCCACGGAACTGCCGCTTCCTTGCGCGAGAACCTGAGGCGAGCGCGACGCGAGGGGGAGAGGAGAGGGACGGATCTCGTCGGCGACGTTTCGGGAGAAAGCCCTCGCGAGAGGGTAACAATTAAATATCGCGACGCGGCGGCGGACGATCGACGCGCCTTCGCGAGCGGCACCGTGTGCGCGGGCGGGGTCGTGTGCCCGACCCCCGCGGCGCCTTTCAAGCAGTCCTGCTCGAACTTGTCCGCGGAGTCTTGAATCCCTTTCGCGGCTTGCGTCTTCGTCAGCGCGCCGTTGATGCCGGACGTCGCCTTCGTGCTGTTGCCTCCGAGGAACGGGGACTTATCCAGGAGAAGGACGCGGCCGCCGTGCTCGAGGACGGTGTGCGCGGCGGACAGGCCCGCGAGGCCGCCGCCGATGACGATGACTTGTTCGCTCATCGTGCGCGTTTCACGGGCGCGTCGTCGACGAAGGCGGCGGCGGCGCGAGAGCGAAGTGCGAGACAATTGCTGACGGTGAAAAAAGTCAAGGTGAGTCCGAAAGCGCCGGGACCCGTACTAGTGTACGGAAAATCGTCACAGAGCAAACAGTTAGACGACGGTCTGTTCACGGTTCAAAGCAGCCAGCTTCTCGAGTCTCGAACGCGGCGTCCGGGGGCCGGGGACCGGCGAGAGAGAAGAAGAGCCACGAGCGAACGGCTCCCCGTCGCACTCCACGCGAGCGCGCGTCTGCCACGATGGCGGCGGTCATGCCCGCGCTCCCGTGGTGCACGAATTGCCAGGAGGAGGTCGAGGCGGAGACGAACGAGTCGAACGGCTTCACGTGCGTCCGCGCTCGCGCCCGCGTCGCGCGCGCGTCGCGGTGCATTTCATTTCGTCCGCCTCGCGCTCGAATGAATTCTCGCGCGCGACCACCGATTCTGACCGTCCCGCCCCCTTCGCTCTCGCAGTTGCTGCACGCAATGTGGTAAGATTCTCGACGATAACGTCTTCTCCACGGATCCGACGTTCACGAAGACGGCCACGGGCGCGACGCAGGTGCGAGCGCGACGCGATTCCTCGCGTCCCTCCGCGACCGAATAAATCGACAGAAGCTCCCGCCGCCCGCGTTCGCCCCTCCGCGACCCCGCCCCCCCCACCCCGCGCGTCGTTCCTCACCGCGCGTCCTCCCCCCCAACCAACCCTCGCAGGTCGACGGCAACTTCGTGAACGAGACCGGGATCGGCCAGGGCGTGTCGCGAGGCACGCGCGGCGGCCGCCTCTTCGGCCTGCAGGTGGACTCGCACGAGAAGACGATAAACAAGGGCAAGCACGAGATCCAACAAGTCGCGGATCGACTGGGAATTCGCCCGCGAGAGGACATAACCGGCGCCGCGCATCGGTTATACAAACTCGCCGTGCAGAGGAACTTCACCCGCGGCCGCCGCACGCAGCAAGTCGCGGGCGCGTGCCTGTACATCGTGTGCAGACAAGAGTCGCGGCCGTACATGTTGATCGACTTCAGCGACGTGGTGCAGACCAACGTCTACGTCCTCGGCGCGGTGTTCTTACAGCTGTGCCGGCTCCTTCGACTCGAGCAGCACCCGCTGATTTCGAAACCGATCGACCCGAGCCTGTTCATTCACAGGTTCGCGGATAAGTTGAACCTCGGGCGACGCATGCACGCGGTGGCGAACACGGCGTTGAGACTGGTGGCGTCGATGAAGCGCGATTGGATGCAGACGGGGCGGCGGCCGTCCGGGGTGTGCGGCGCCGCGCTGTGGGTCGCCGCGCTGCTTCACGGGTACGAGCGCTCCAAGCGCGACGTCGTCGCGGTCGTGCACGTCGGCGAGGCGACGCTCAGGAAGCGCGTGAGCGAGTTTGAGAACACGCCGAGCGCGCAGCTTTCGATCGACGAGTTTGACGCGAGGGCGAAAGATTTAGAGAAGGAACAAGCGCAGCTCGGGGACAGCGGCGCGACGCTGCTTCTGGGGGACGCGTCCACGAAGACGATGACGTGCGTGCACAAAGACCACGAGGGCGCCGCGCACTTCGCGCACGGGATGTGCCGGATGTGCTACGTCGAATACGCGCGAGTCTCCGGAGGGTCGCGCGGCGGCGAGGACCCGCCCGCGTTTCAAGCCGCGGAGCAACGCAGAGAGAAGGAGCTCAACGCCGCCGCGAAGGCGCTCCCCGCGCCGGAGAAGCTGCTCGCGCTCCCCGCGCCGCCCGAGACGGCGGCGACGGGCGCGCTGCCGCTCGCGCTGAGGGGGGCGAGAATGCGCGCGGGGAAAAGAATGACAGCCTCGGCGACGGCGGCGGCGATCGAAGCCACGTTGAGAGCCGCGAACGGTCCGCCGCCGCCTAAGAAGGGCGCGTCGAGGAGCGACCCGATGCTCGAGGCGGAGATGGAGAACGCGCTGAACGACCGCACGTCGCACCTCGGTGAGTTTGCCGTGATGACGGGGTTGAGGAGCGGGAAAGGGAGCTCCGCCGCCGCCGCCGCCGCCGCCGCCGCGAACGTCGCGGACGTCGCGGAAGTCGCGGGGAAGAAAACCGAGATCGTGGAAGCGTCCGTCTCCGGCAAAGGAACCTCGAGCGAGAAGAACGGAGAGAAAGAACCCGAGGGCGTCGGCCCCGAGGTTGCGGAAGCCGCGGTGGAGCTCCTGAAACACCTCGTCGGGGAGGCGCACGCGAACAAACACTGCCTGCCGCTAAAAAAAGACGGCACCGCGCGCGGGTGGGTCACCGGGAAGCACCTCTCGTCTTCGCACCCCGCGGCGAAGAAAGACCCGAAAGGGATCGGCGGCGGCGGGCGCGTCGCGGGCGCGGACAAGACGCAGCTGCACTTTTTAATCGCCGCCGGGTGCTTCGACTCGAGCGCCATCGCGCGACTGAAAAAGTACAGCAAGCACGACGTCGCGCGCTTCGCCGCCACCCCGCTGCCGATGAAGGCGCACGAGATCATGCCGCCTCCGCCGTCGCGAGCGCCGCGAGGAGGGGCGGCGGCGGCGGCGGCGGGCGGCGGCGCGAAGGGTGCGGACGACGTCGAGAACGAGGAAGAGGAGGAGGAGAACGACGAGCCGGAGACGTTTTCCGACGTCGACGACGACGAGGTCGCCGGGTTCATCCACACCGCGGAGGAGGTGAAACTGCGGAAGGTCATCTGGTCCGAGCTGAACCGGGACTACCTCGAGACGCAGGCGGCGAAGGAGGCGATCCTCGCCGCGGCGCCGAAACCGCCGCCCGGGAGCGAAGACGCGGACGGGAAGAAGAAGAAGCAGCGGAAGAAGTACACGCACGCGACGCCCGCGGACACCGCCGCGGAGGCGGCGCAGCAGATGCTCTCGTCGAAGAAAATTTCGAGCAAGATCAACTACGACGCGCTGAACGATTTGTTCAAGCAAGACGCGCATCAGGAAGCGAGCGAGGCGAAGGCGAAGGCCAAGGCCAAGGCGGCGTCCGCGGAAGCCGCCGCCGCGCCGGCGCCGGCGGCGAAGGCGAAGGGAGGCGGCGGCGTCGGAGGCGCCGCCGCGCGCGCGACGGCGGCGGCGACGGCGACGGCGACGGCGAACGCGAACGCGAACGCGAACGCGAACGCGACATCGAACGCGCGGCCGACGCTCGGCGGCGGGATCCGCTCGTCGCGGCTCCCGAGCTTGGGAGAGGGCGGCCTGGGCGCATTGGGCGGGTTGGGCCTGAGCCGGGGCGGCGCGGGGAAGCGCGGGCTGGGCGGCGGCGGGCTCGGGAGTCGTCTCGCCGCCGCGTCCGGCGCGAACGTCGTCGGCGCGGACGCGGCCGGCGGCGGCGCGGCGGGGGAGGCGCCGCCGGCGAGCCCGGCGAGGAAGCGCGCGACGCCCGCGGCGGGGAAGAAACCGCCGCCGGCGAGCCCGGCGAAGAAGCCCGCGGCGGCGCCGAAAAAGCCGGCGCCGGCGGCGAAAGAGAAAGAGCCCCCCGCCGCGCCCGCGCCGAGATCGACGCGCGGTCGCGGCACCGCGGCCGATCCCGGGGCGACGAAGGCGGCGAAGATGAAGGCGAAGGCGCCGCCCGCCGCGCCCGCGCGCGCGAGCAAACGCGCGAAGAAGTGATGAAGCCGAGCCGAGGCGCGAGGCGGAGCGATGGATTGCGATTTTCGATTTTTAGCATTTTTGCGCGCCGAGCGCGTTCGTGGATTTCACGTCGTATAGATACGCAGACAGCGCGCGGTGTTCGCACTCCTCTCTCTCACGCTTCCCCCCCTCCCGCGGCTTCGCCGGTCGCGATCGGGGTGTCCACGTCACCCCCTAACGGCGCGTACAGCTGGCGCACCGCCGCCGCGATCGTCGCGTCGTCCGCGCCCGAGACGACGGCTGCGTGAATGCGCTCCTTCATCCCTTTCCGGATGAGCTCGCGCACCCCACGTCTGACGACCGGATGCTTGCTCTCGTCCGCTAAAATTTCCTCAGAGGTGTACCACCCGTACCCGTCGTACTCCTCGTTGCACATCGTCATCCGCGCGACTTCCTCGTCGGTCACGACCGCGTGCATGATGACGCCAAAGTCCGCGGTGCCGTTCCCCGACGGCGCTTGCTTGCGAAACTGCCACAGCATCGTGTGCGCGCAGACGAACTCCCATCGCTCCGGGGCGATGTCCAGCCGCGTCTCGCGGATCGCGTTCCTTCGCGCGGTCTCCGCGGGCGTGTCCCCGGCGCGCATGCGGCCGCCGAGGACCCACCAGTCCGGCTGCGGGTGCACGAGGCGGTGCCCGAGGAGGATCTTCCCTCTCGGGTCCGTGAGGAAAACGTCGACGACGCCCTTGACGAAACAGTCGAGCGCGCGCGCGTACTCGTTGTCCTCGAGGAACGTCTTGTTGTGCGCGTACTCCCCGGTGACGTAATGCGGCAGCGAGTGCAGCGGGTTCTCCATGTCTGGAGTCATCGCGGCGCTTCCGCGGACCCGCGGAGGGCGTCCCCTGAAGTGCCGAGATTAGCGTTCGACCGCCGAAAAAACGGGTGGCTGAGACGCGCGCGTTTCCGTTCGACAATTTTCTGTTCGTCCTGCAGTGTCTGTCGTGCGTTTTTTCTCATCACAAGCGAGAGCGTCCCCGCGGGTCCCGTCCCGTCCCGTCCCGTCCCGTCCCGTCCCGTCCCGTCCCGTCCCGTCCCGTCCCTTCCCGTCCCTTCCCTTCCCTTCCCGTCCCATCCGACGTCTCTACCAGTCGTCGTCGTCCCCCGCGGCGACGATGCTCAGCTCGGTCCACACCTCGCGTATCAAATCGTAACACCGCGCCGGGTCCGTCGTCGGCGCGCACATCAGGTACAGCACGTTCCCCAGCGGCCGCGCCTGAATCGACCGCGCGCGGAGTCTCAACACGACGTCTCGCGCCGCCGTGGACGAGTACCCCCCTCCTCCGCCCCCGCCGCCGCCGACGCTATCCTCGAGCTCGATCGCGAGCACGCACCCGATGACCGTGACGCCCTTGACACACGGCAGCGCGCTGATCGCGCGCGCCGCGTGCTCGTCCCACAGCTCTCTGAGTCTGAAGGTCGTTCCGTACGAAGCGACGAATGTCGGGGTGGAGTTCAGGGGTGCGTCAGTTGGGATTTGAAAGGCGTCGAGGCGTGTCGGGATCGAAAGCGAGGCGTGAGCGGAGAGAAACGTCGGGAGACTAAGTCCTCAAGGAACGGCGTTCACCACGCGAACGGGGTCGTATGGGGACCAGTGTAAGGAAATCGCGCCTGAGCCGAGGCGGGCCGGGGCCGCCGACGCGGAGCGGACCGCCGCCGACGCGGAGGGGGCCGGACGCCGCGCGAGCGTCGCCACCGCCCATCTCGACGAGGTTGTCGTTTATCAGAGGGTCGCGATACATCCGCTGCGCCTCCGCGGCCACCGCGCAGCCGATCGGGTACGCCGTGTACGAGTGCCCGTGCAACAGCGCGTTTTGCTTCGTCGGACCTCGAAACGCGTCGAAAACTTCCTCCGTCGTCGCCGTCGCCGCGAGCGGCGTCAGCCCGCCGGTGAAGAGCTTCGCGTAGCAGCTCACGTCCGGCTTCTCCCCGAGGAGCTCCCACGCGCCCTCCGCGCCGAGCCTCCAGATTCCCGCGAAGACCTCGTCGAGGACGACGGGGAGCCCGCGCGCGCGGCACGCCTGGATCGTCGCGCGTTGGAACGTCGGATCGATCAGGTCCATGCCGCCGGCGCCGTGGAGCACGCACTCCATCACGAGCGCCGCGACGGGCGGCGCGCCGTTCTCTTTCGCGTCCGCCTCCGCCTCGTCCAGCGCGGCGTCCACGACAGCGCGGTACGCCTTCGCGAGCGGGGTCTCGTCTCGCGTCTCGTGATCGAACGCCTCTTCGCGCGTCGCCCAGCCCTCTGCGGGCGATGCCGTGGTGCGGAAACACATCGGTCAGTTGAAAGGGGACGCACGCGATCAATTGATTGTTGAAACCGAGAGGTGCGTGAAAAACAAACGTTCGCGCAGTGCGCACCTTCGCGCTCGCGCGCGCCGTGCGTCGTCACCGCGGCTAATCCGCCGCCGCCGGGAAGCGGCCCTCTCTCCGGCTGGATCACGACCCAGCGGCCTTCGCGCATCTGCAACGTGGGCGGGCGCAAGAAGATCCCTCGCGGTTTATACCACGGCGTCTGCAGCGGACCGGTGAACACCGACGGCGCTTGCATGTCCATCGTGCCCAGCGTGTCGCCGTGGTACGACCCGTCGAGCGCGAGGACGCGGACTTGGGGTAAAAAATCCGCGGCGTCCGACGCCTTCTCCGGGCTCGGTATGAACCCTTTCCTGACGAAGTACGTCCGGATCGCCATCTTCACCGCCACCTCCATCGCGGTCGAGCCGTTGTCGCTGTAAAACACCCTCGTCGCCCAATCCCGCCCGGCGCCCTTCAGGAGCTCCGACGCCGCGTCCAGCGCCGGCGCGTGAACGTTTTCCGGGAACATCACGTGCCCGTACCTCCCCGCCGCCGCGCTCGCCGCGCGAACCAGCCTCGTCTGCTCCGCCTTGCTCGCGCCCTGCGTCCACCAGCTCGCGGCGCCGTCGAATCGCAGCTCGATCGCGTTCGAGTCGGGGGAGTACACGCCGAAGTCTTCGCCGCATCGGGAGTCGATCACGGTGACGTTTTCCCGCGGCGTCGCGTCGTGCTGCGTGAACGGCCACCACAGCGTCCGCAACGCCTCGTCGGGCGCCGTTCGCATCTTGCGCACGCGCTCTCTGTGCCAACTCGTCGCGTGCGTCAGAAGCGCGTCGAAGACGTCCCGCCCGTCGTCCAACCACTCGTAAATCTCGCGCCCGTGGCCGACGACGTCCCCCACGATCCGCCGCTCCGGCACGGGCGGGAGCGCGAACGTCGGGATCCCGCGCGCGTCCTCCCCGCCTCCCACCTGATTAAATTCGCTCGCGTACTGCTCCACCGCGTCGACGTTGCCGCACGCGCTGCCGCTCATGACGATCGCGACGACGTCGTACCCGCGCGCGGCGAGCGTCTCGAGCGACGCGATCGTCGTGGAGATCCCGCCGAGCTTCGGATCCCCCACGAGGATCGCCGGCAGTCGCAGCGGTCGCAAGACGTCGCACTGCAACGCGCCCGACGGCGCCGGCGAGCACACCCCGCCCGCGGTCTCCACGAGCGCGACGCCGCTCGGGCGCTCGTCGCCCGTGAGCGACGTGAACGAGAGCCGCAGCGCGCTCCCGACGTGGTCCGAAAACTCGGACAGCTGCGCGGTGACGGCGCGCAGCACCTCCGAGTCGGCGACGCCGCGGCCCTCCTCGCGCGCGGCGAGATGCGGCCCCACCGCTCGCGCCCACGCGAACTCGGTGTGCGACCACGTGCCGTCGCCGCCGCTGCCGTCCGCGATCGGCGAGGACGTCCCGCCGCGCTCGATGCCCGCGGCGACGGCGGCGTGCGCGCCCATCGTCGTCGCCGTGCGCCCCCTCGCTACGAAGTCCGCGTCCGAGTCGTCCGGGAATCCAGTCTGGACGGGCTTGAGGTAAAAGCACGGCAGCGAGCGGCGCGCGGCGGCTTCGGCCAACCCCTTGGACACGAGCGTCTTCCCGACCGCGGTGTTCGCGCCCCAGACGCAGAACGTCGGGCACTCCATGCTGACGTTCCCGTCCGCGAGCACGGGGGAGCCGCCGAGGTAGGACGGCGGCGGCGACGACGACGAGAAAGAAGAGGGAGGCGACGAGGCGCGACGACGATGTCCATGTTGATGCTGATGATGCGCGTGGACGCCGCCGACGCCGACGCGATCGTCCGCGCGCAACGCGCCGCCGCGCCGCGCGAGCCCGCCGCCGCGCTGCCGCGACAGCGACAGCGCGCGAGCGAGTCGTGACGCGCGTGACGCCATGACGACAGCGCGCGCGCGCGCGCGATGACTGCTCGCCTCGGCAACCCCGGGATGTTGTTAACCAACCGGCGCGGCGGAGAGGAAAAAATCACTCCGCTCGCTCGCCGCGATGGCCGCGGCACGCGTCGTCACCGCGGCCCCGCGGGTCGCGCGGACGTTCCTCCGCCGCGGATGTAAGCCCGCGCCGCGCGCGTCGCGCTCGTTCGCCGTCGCCGTCGCCGCGTCGTCGTCGTCGTCGTCGTCGTCGTCGTCGTCCCCCGACGGCACCACCCTGACGATCGCCACCCCGGACGACTGGCATCTCCACGTGCGAGACGGGGCGAAGATCCCCTCGGTGGTGCCGTTCACCGCGCGATCCTTCGCGCGAGCGCTGATCATGCCGAACCTCGTCCCGCCGGTTCGCACCGTGGACGACGCGAGGAAGTACCGCGATCTGATCCTCGCCGCGGTCCCCGACGGCGTCGGCTTCGAACCGCAGATGACGCTGTATCTCACGGACAACACGTCCCCGGAGGAGATCGCGGCGGCGCACGCGTCCGGGTTCGTGCGCGGATGCAAGCTGTACCCCGCGGGCGCGACGACGAACTCGGACGCGGGCGTCACGGACGTGAAGAAGTGCGCGGCCGCGCTGGAGGCGATGGCGGACTTGGGGCTCGTGCTCGAGGTGCACGGCGAGGTCACGCACGGGAGCGTAGACATGTTCGATCGCGAGCGCGTCTTTCTCGATGAAGTCTTGGGCGGCGTCGTCGCGGCGCATCCGCGCCTGAAGATCGTCATGGAGCACATCACGACCGCGGAGGCGGTGGATTTTTGCAACGCCGCGGGAGATAACGTCGCGGCGACGATCACGCCGCAGCACATCTTGTTAAACCGGAACGCGATGCTCGTCGGCGGGATCCGGCCGCACCTGTACTGCCTCCCGATTTTAAAACGCGAGAAACACCGCGCGGCGGTGATCGCCGCCGCTACGAGCGGCTCGAAAAAGTTCTTCCTCGGGACGGACAGCGCGCCGCACCCGCGCGGGGCGAAAGAGAGCGCGTGCGGCTGCGCCGGGGTCTTCAGCGCGCACGCGGCGCTGCCGTTCTACGCGATGGCGTTCGAGAAGGAGGGGAAGTTGGATACGTTGGAGCATTTCGCGTCGCACGCGGGGGCGGATTTTTACGGCGTCGAGAGAAACGCCGGCACGGTGACGTTGAAGAGGGAGGACTGGCAGGTGCCGGAGACGTACGAGTTCGGCGGCGACGTCGTCGTTCCGTTCTATGCGGGCGAAGTCTTGCCGTGGAAGGTGGTCGCGGAGGCGTGAGTGCGCGCGAGTACGCGTGGCGGCGGGCGTTTACGTTTCGCCGAATGACCCATCGATTACAGTCTGGTAGATCAAATCTCGAGCATCACGTTGCCGCCCTTGACGCCGTTGTCCTTGCAAAAGTCAACGGACAGCTTCCACAGCTGCTCCGTCGCGTCCTTACTCCTCGCCTTCGGCGCCGGCGCGTCCGCGCCGAACCCCGCGAACGGCCGCGTCAGGAACGGCATCCCGAGGTCGTACGCCAGCTTCTTCGACGTCTTGAACAGCTTGCTCATCTTGATCGAAAACGGCATGTACAACGCGCCCTTTTTGATGTCCTCCCGAGACGCGCACGACACGCTCGTCATCGCGCCCTCCTCGGTGTTCAGCGCCAACGCGCCCGCGACGGTGCGGAAGACGACGTTATAGTTCCTCCACACGTCGGACGCGACGAACCCCGGGTCCGCGGCGACGAACCGCACGTCGTTGTCCGGGTACGCGACGTCCAACCGTCGCTGCGCCTCCATCGTCGCCGCGAGGCACGCGAGCTTCGACGCCGCGTAGTTCCCCTTCGTCTTCGACGCGCCCTTGACGAAGAAGTGGTACTTGTTCGACGCGAACCACGTCGTGACGGAGGACAGCGCGACGACGCGCGCGCTCTCCGCCGCCATCAGCGCCGGCATGAGGAGCGCCGTGAGCATGAAGTGGCCGAAGTAGTTCGTCCCCATGCAGATCTCGTACCCTTGCTTCGTCGTCGTCGGGCCCTTGTACGCGCCCGTGGTGTTCAGCCCCGCGTTGTTGACGAGGACGTCCAGGGTCTTGTGCTTCTTGAGGAACGCCGCCGCGAACGCGGCGATGCTGTCCGCGTCGGACAGGTCTAACGTCATGACCTCCGCGGTCCCGCCGCCGGCGACGACCGCGGCTCTCGCCTCCTTCGCGCGCTCTTTCGATCGGCACGCCATGACGACGCGCGCGCCCGCGTCCGCGAGCATCTTCGCCGTCTGCAGGCCGATGCCGGTGTTGCACCCGGTCACGATCGCGACCTTGCCGGTGAGGTCGCTCTTGCATCCGATCTTGATTCCCATCGTGGGCGGCGGGCTGCGCGTCCGCGAGGCGACGCGCGCGATAAGATGACGAGCGAGCGACGAGCCCACGTCAGCTGCACGTCAGCCGCTCGCTCGAAACCAGATTCTCGCCGTCGCGCGCCGCGCGTCGAACGGTCGCGGTCTTCGGCCGGACGAGATCTGAGGCTCGCCGCCCGCGCGACACACGCCAGCGCGCTACAGGCGTCGACGCGCGCGCGAGAGACGCGCGCGAGATCGACACCGCGCGAGCGAGGCTCGACATCGCGCGTCGCGCATCGCGGAAGACGCCGTCGCGCGACGTCCTCCTCGTCGGCGGCGACTCGATCAAAAGTCGGCGTCGCTCGCGCTTTTGATCGAGCAGAACTGGCGGCGGCCGATCGACCGATCGAGCGATCGATCCGCGGGAAATAGGCTCGCGCTCGGGCGGACATCACCTCGCGCGAGCGCGATGGCGGGCAAGCTCCACCTGACGTACCCCCCGAACGTCTCCAAGGTCACCGCGCAGCGGCGTCGCGCGCAGATCCGCGGCCTCGGGCTCTACCACCTCCCGTTCGTCTTCCTGTACTTTTTCTCCCTGCGATCGTGCGTCGAGACGTCCGGGGTTCCGTACCAGACCGCGCTCGCGCATCACAAGAGCAAAGGCTACGACCCCGACGCGTTCACCGCGAAGGCCGCGGACGTGAAGAAGCCCAAGGTGGTGGACGACTGGGGCGGCGCCGCGGTGGAGGACGACCCGTGGGCGGATCTGGACGCGGACGAGGGCGAGGACGACGCCTCCGCCTCCGCCTCCGCGGCGGCGTCCGCGGCCGCGTCCACCGTCTTCGTGGACGAGAACGGGACGATCGTCAACGCCACGACGGCGGACGCGGAGGAGCAGATCACGTACGAGACGCCGCCGACGCTCCCCGCGGCGTGGCTCCCGGAGTTTTACGCCGTCGCCGTGTTCAGCGTCATCGCGACCACGCACGTCTTGCTGTGCTTCGCGCAGCACTGGAGCGTGAAGTTTCGCGCGTTCATGAATTACCGAGAAACCGACGCGATCAAAGACGGGTCGTACCTCATGTTCGTGCCGATGCCGCACCAAGGGAAGGCGGAGATCGTACGCGTGAACGCGCTGGAGATACCGGACGCGGACGCCCCGGGCGGCGTGCGAGAGATGCTGTGGACGACGTTCCAACGCCAGCGATTCGAATTTGTGGAGACGGAACGCGGCGGCGGCGCGAACGGGAAGGCGCGCGGCGAAGTCCGCGAGGTCCTCACCCCGGTCGCGAACGCGCTGTCGTCATACGTGCGGCCGACGCGCGGGCTCACCCCCGCGGCAGTCGCCGCGTACGTGTCGAGGTACGGCGACAACTCCCTACGCGTGCCGTTGCCTACGTTCATGCAGGTGTACAAAGAACAGCTGATGGGCCCGGTGACCGTGTTTCAGGTCTTCACCGTGCTCCTGTGGCTCATGGACGAGTACTGGAAGTACGCCATCTTCTCCGCCGCGTCGCTGCTTCTGTTCGAGGGCACGACCGCGTTTAGCAAGATCAAGAACATTCGCACGCTGCGAGGGATGGGCCAGGCCCCCGGACGCGTGAACTGCTTACGCGACGGCCGCTGGGAGGACCGAAACACCGAGGATCTGGTCCCCGGGGACATCGTGTCCATCGTGCGCGTCGCCGGCGGCGCGGAGTCGCCGATCCCGTGCGACTGCCTCGTCTTGCGCGGCTCCACGGTGGTGAACGAAGCCTCGCTCACGGGCGAGTCCGTCCCGCAGATGAAGGACGCGCTGAGCCCGGAGGCGATCGCGTCGGACCCGTCCAAGCCGCTCGACATCGACGGCGAGCACAAGGTGAACGTCTTGTACAGCGGCACGACGCTGATGCAGCAGAGCACGGGGGAGCAGCCCACGGGCGGAGTCGCGGCGAACCTCCCGAAGACGCCCGACGGCGGGTGCCTGTGCTACGTCCTGCAGACCGGGTTCAGCTCGACGCAAGGGAAACTGATGCGCATGATGGAGTTCTCCTCCGAGCAAGTCACCGGGGACACGTGGGAGACGCTCGTGTTGCTCTTCATCCTCCTCGTCTTCGCGTGCGTCGCGAGCGGGCACGTCTTCGTCGTCGGCCTGAGGGACGGCAAACGCTCGCAGTACGAGCTCGTGTTGCGTTGCATCCTCATCCTGACCTCCGTCGTCCCGCCGGAGCTCCCGATGCAGACGGCGATGGCGGTGAACACCGCGCTGCTCGCGCTCATGAAAGCCGCGGTGTTTTGCACCGAGCCGTTCCGCGTGCCGATCAGCGGCAAGGTGGACACGTGTTTGTTCGACAAGACCGGGACGCTGACGTCGGACCAGCTCGTCGCCGTCGGCGTCGTCACGCCCGTCTCCGGGGCTGGGGCTGGGGGCGAGGACGGGGAATACTCCGAGCTCACGCCGTGCGCGGAGGCGTCCAAGGCGGCGTCGCTCGTCGTCGCCGGGTGCCACTCGTTAGTCCAAGTCGACGGGAAGACGTTCGGGGATCCGCTCGAGCAGGCGGCGCTTCGAGGCGTGAAGTGGCGGTTCGACCCGCGGTCGCAGACGGCGGTGCCGACGGAACACATGAAGGACCCGGCGAGGGACGAGGCGATGAAAGCCGCGAAGCTGCCGCCGCCGAAGCCGCCGACGCGGTCGTGGACGGGGAGGCCCATGGTGAAAATTCTCGTCCGCAACCACTTCTCGAGCGCGCTGCAGCGGATGTCCGCGGTCGCCAACGTCGTGCAAAACAGCAACGACGCGCCGGCGGCGTGGGTGCTGATGAAAGGCTCCCCGGAGATTGTCGCGACGTTGCTGACGAAGAAACCCGCGGGGTACGACCGCGCGTACCGCAAGCTCGCTGAGCAAGGGTACCGCATCATCGCGCTCGCGCATCGCGTGTTGTCGACGGACGAAGCGCACAGAGTGAAGGACCCGCGGTGCCCGCTCACGAGGGACGAGATGGAGCGCGGACTCACATTTGACGGATTCCTCGCGTTCGCGTGCCCCGTGCGGACGGACACCCCGGACGTCGTCAAGGCGCTGAAAGCGTCCTCGCACACGGTGATGATGGCGACCGGCGATTCCGCGATGACGGCGCTGCACGTCGCGAACGAGGTGCACATCGCGTCCGGGGGGTTAGAGCGCGCGTTGACGCTCGTCGCGAGCGGCGGCGGCGGCGGCGGCGACGACGGCGACGGCGCGGCGCCGACGTTGCGTTGGGTCAGCGCGAAGACGGACGACGCGACGAACGAGCCGATCCGCGAGATTCCGTACGCGGCCGACGGGTCCATCCCCGCGCTCGCGAAGGATTACTGCCTCTGCGTCACCGGGGCGGCGCTGAACGCCGCCGCGGTCGCGGACGGATTCTCCGTCGGCGGCGACGGCGGCGACGCCGCGAAGGACGTGAAGGGCGTCGGGAGAGGCAACGGCGGGCTGTGGGACTACCTCGACTCCGTCGTCGTCTTCGCGCGGATGTCCCCGGACGATAAAGAGCGCGTGTTGAAGCGTCTGAAACAACAAGGCCGGCACACGTTCATGTGCGGCGACGGCGCGAACGACGTCGGGGCGCTGAAGCAAGCGCACGTCGGCGTCGCGTTGCTCAGCGGGTTTGGCTCCGCGAACACGAAAAAGGTGGACGCCGCGGGCGCCGACGCGGGCGCCGTCGCGACGACAAACAAGAGCGAAGTCCCCACGGAAGCGAAAGCGGAGACGTTCTCAGAGAAGATGAAACGCGTCCAAGAACAGGCGGCGAAGATGAAGGAGGCGAAGAAGAAGGAAGCGATCGCGCGGAAGAAGGACCAGGTGGAGCTCCAGGCGCTTCAAAAGCAGTGGTTCGACGAGGAAGTCAACAGGAGAACCGCCGCCGGGGAGCAGTGGGCGGCGTTCAGCGCGATGAAAGCCGCGACGCAGCGGATGATCGCGGAGACGAAACGCCGCGCGGAAATTCGCCGCCGCGAGAACGGCGGCCCGATGGGCGCGCCCGGGTTCGCGCAGATGATGGCGGAGATGGAAGGCGCCGAGGACATGGAGACGCCCAAGGTGAAGCTCGGAGACGCGTCCATGGCGGCTCCGTTCACGTCGCGCATCCCGTCCGTGCGCTCCGCGGTGGACATCATCCGCCAAGGCCGCTGCACGCTCGTGTCCGCGATTCAGATGCAGCAGGTCCTCGTGTTATCCTGCCTCATCTCCGCGTACTCCCTCTCGGTGCTGTACCTGGACGGGATCCGATCGAGCGATAATCAGATGATCGCGAGCGGCTCCGCGCTCACCGCGGCGTCGCTTGCCTTCTCGTACGCGACGCCGGTGCACACGCTGTCGCCCGTTCGACCGCTGCGGTCCATCTTCCACCCCGCGAACTTCCTCTCGTTGATCGGGCAGCTCGTGATTCACATCGGGTGCATGGTGTACGCGGTTGAGATGGTGCGGAGAGCGACGGGCGAGGAGGCGCTTTTCCCGGAGAACGCCCCGATCGCGATCGTGTCCGACGCGTTGAAGGCGAACGCGACGGAGGAGCAGCGGTCGATCTGGGAGCAAGGCCCGCCGTTCAAGCCGAGCCTGCTGAACACCGTGGTGTTCCTCGTCGAGACCGTGCAGCGCGTGTGCGTCATGCTCGTCAACTACAAAGGCAGGCCGTTCATGATGGGCGCGATCGAGAATAAGACGCTGTTGACGTCGCTGGCGTCGATGGTCGCCGGCGCGTTCATCTGCGCGTTCGAGGTGCTGCCGTGGCTGAACACGTGGCTGAAGCTCGTGCCGTTGCCGTCGTTCGACTTCCGCGTGAGGATCCTCGCCGTCTTGGGGGTCTCCGTGGGGGGAACGATCGCGTGGGACCAGCTCATGTTGTTGTGCTTCGCGCCGCAGATTTTGTTCGCGGCGTATCGAGACACGTACCGAGCGTTGCCCGCGCCGAGGGATCTCGTCAAGCCGGGGAAGCGCGCGATCGCGATGGGCGTCGCGGGGTATCTGTACTTCACGACCGGGAACGTGTTCGTCCTCCTCGGGCTGTTTTACGCGATGAAGAACAAGGTCATCTGATGGCGGCGTCGCGGCGAGGCGGGGGACGAGACCGCGCGTGTTGGTTTGTAATAATTCATTCTATCTCGTCAGACGTCCTCGCTCGGCCCGCGTCCGCGGTTCGATCGCACCCGATTCTTCTTCTTCTTCCGCTTCTTCCCCTTCAGCGTCCGCTTGATGTCCTTCACGACGCCCTTCACGCCCTTCCTGACGGTCCCGTTCGCGGCGCACGCGACGCCGAGCGCGACGCCCGCGGTCATCGACATGTACACCACCGACCGCAGCAGATCCCCGACCGGTCCCAAGAACCCGAACAGCCCGCCGCCGCCGCCGCCGCCGCCGCCTTTGTTCGGGTCGTAGTCCCGCTTCCACGCCTCCGGCATCGGCTTGGAACCGAACGGCCGTTTCATCTTCTTCTCGATGAGCTCCTTCGCGATCTCCGGGCGCATGACATCGACCTCCTCGGGCCGAAACTCGAGCTCGTCCACGAGCGTCGCCTTCATCGCGTTGGTTATCATGAACTGGATGCTCGCGGTGTCGCTCATGACGACGGATGGGGGTGTTCGACGCGGCGGCAGGGCAGTGCGCGGGGTTGATTCGGTCGTGGAGGCGCACCCGCGCGTCACCTTGTGCGAGCCGCGACGGACGGCGGCGGCGTGAAGAAATCGCATCGATCGACGCCGGCCGCTGACTCATCTAATCATCGGCTGCCAGCGAGAGTTCGATGCATGATGAGCCCCGAGTTGATTGTGAGTTCTCTCGCGCGCTCGACCGCGGGGGTGTTTCACACTCCCCCGCGCGCGCGGCAGCTCGCGAGACGACGTCTCGAGCCCCGCGGTCGCGAGTCACGCGCCACCGCGAACGCGTCGCGCGGAACCCAGGCTCTCTCGCGCGCGCGTCGCGACGGACGCGTCCCCGAGATCGAGCGCTCGTCGACGCGAATCGAATCTCTCAATCGGGCGCGCGCGAATTCGACGACGAATTCGTTCCATGGCGTCAACCAGCAGGCCTCCCCGCGGGGGCGCCCCCACGGAGGCGGAGATCACCGGCCTCGTCGGCACGCTCGAGCGCATCGCGTCGAACAAAGCCGGCGGCGCGGACGCGTCGTCCTCGCGCGACGCGCCGGACCACGACCGCACCGCGGGAAGACGCGCGGGGCGGTGGGGCGCGAGAGTCCCGCCGAGCAGCGGCGCCTCCTCCGTCGACGGCGCGGCGGCGGACGCGCATCAGACGCGCGCGCCGCACGGCTCCCTGACGGGCACCTGGGACGTCGGATCGTCGCGCTACAACTCCTCGGTGCCCCCCAGCGACGACGAGCGCGGCGGCGGCGGCCTGGGCGGCGGCGGCGGCGACGCCGGCTCGGTCTACTCCCTCTCGGACGCCTCCGAGCTGTCCGCCGCGCCGGGGTATCGGCCCGCGTGCGACAAGTACACCGCGGCGGCGACGCGCGCGGACTCCGTGGCGTACACCCTGGAGCAGCACCGGCTGCAGCTCGAGGCGACGATCCGCAGCATCGACAACGCGCAGGCGGCGGCGGCGGGGGGAGGGCGCGGCGCCGGGATGGGGCCCCGGGGGGGAGGGGACGACGGGATGCCCGCGGCGGGGCGGACGACGACGGGCGTGGGCGTGTTTGATTTTTTCGGCGCCGCGTCCAAGGCGCGGGAGGGTCCCGACGGATCCGATCCCGGCGCGGCGAAGAGCGCGGGGAAGAGGCGGAGGGGGAGGGGAGGGAAGGATGGAGGGGGGGAGGAACCGTACACGTTCATGGGGTGCTGCGGCGGGCGGTCGTGACGTGTGTGGATGGACGGGGCGCGCGGTCGTAGGACGCCGAAATGCGACTCTCATCATCAGACGACTGCACTCGTTCGCGCCCGTCCTTCGTCATCGGTTCTGTTCGAAGGATGAAATAAATGATGCCCAAATCGAGCGCGTCGCCGTCCACACTCGCCGCGCGCGTGGACGGTCTCGTCGTCCGTCGCTCGTCGTTCCGCGTCCGCGCTCGTTTCGAGCACCGCGCGCAGACGTCCGCGGCGCGCGTCCGCGGTCGCGATCGCGTCGGAACCGGCGCGGAGGAGGGAAAAACGCGGGAGCGAAGGCGGGCGCGATGACGACCATCGAGGTGGAGGGCGGGATCCCGCACGTCACGGTGCCGCCGTTCGACAAAAAGTGCGTCTCGCTCGCTTCGCGCGACTCGCGCGATGTCGTCGCTCGTCGCCCACGCCGCGCGCGCGCGGAGCGTCCCGCGCGTCCCGCGCCGCTCGCTCGTTCGCGCGGAGTTGAATTTATAAATTGTCATGCACGTTGACCGGTCCCGCTGCCCCGCTCTCGCGTCCCCGCTCCGTCCCAGGTTCAAACCCGGCGCGGTCAAGGCGATCATCGCGGAGTGCTTGAAAGACAAGCTCGCCGGGAAGCCGTACGACCCGGACGAGTGTTCGATGTGGGCGCGCGAGATCAGCGACGAGATCAAGCAGAGGGTGAAGAAGCTCGGGTACGAGCGGTACAAGATCGTGTGCCAAGTCGTCGTCGGCGAGCAAAAGGGAGAGGGCGTCAGAATGGGCGCGCGGTGTTTCTGGGACCCGAAGACGGATAACTACGCGGAGGAGGTGTTCACGAGCGAGAGCATATTCGCGTGCGGGGCCGCGTTCGGGATCTATCTGTATTGATCGACCGGGCCGGGGGGAGAAGCGCGAGCGTAGGAACCGACCCGGACCCGTAGCCTGGAAATAATTTAATTTAGTCGTCCGTCCGTCCAACTCGAGCTGAACCGCCGCTAGAGACTAGTCTAAGAAGCTATGCGATACCCTGCGCTCGATCTATCCCCGTTCACTGCGAGAGCAACGACTTCGTGCTCTCGTACACCAAGAACGTCATCCCGCTCGACGGCAGCGTCCTCAGCACGTTCGGGACCATCCCCTTGTACAGACCGAAGACGCCCTCGCGGCGAAGGATGCGCCGCAGGGACTGGAAAAACCCGTCGTACGCGCGAGGGGTCGCCTCGCCGCCGCCGCCGCCGCCGCCGCCGCCGCCGCCCACGCCGCCCACCGATTCGACCCCGCCCGCGCCCCTCTGCTGCATCCGCGACCGCACGACCTGCGACGGGTACGTGATCGCGCTCGCGAAGATCTTCGACGCGACGCCGAGCCACGCGCACTCCAGCGCGCTCGGCTCGCGCGTCGCGTTCCCGCTCCCGCTCGCGTCGCGTCGCGTCGCCGCGAGTTTCAGCCGCTCGTACGCCGTGAACTGCAGCGCGCCGTGCGAGACTAAGACCAGTGACGGCGTGATCCCCTTGTACAGCCCGCCGATGCCCTCCGCGCGCGCGATCGTGCGCAGCGCGTCGACGAACCCGGCGTACGGCTTCGCGCCGTTCCCAGCGCCCGCCGCTGCCGCCGCGGCGGGAATGGCGTCCGCGGCGACGCGCCGCTGCAGCGTCATCCGCGTCTTCACGACCCAGATCGGGTTCGTGATCAAACTCACGACGAGCCCCGCCTCCGCGGCGGCGGCCAAGTGCGCGTGGGAGGGTAACTCCGTCGCGTCGTCGTATCGCCGCCGCCACCGCGCCTTGGCCGCGCCGTAAAAGTGAAAGTACACGCTCCACGCGACCGTGTTGCCGATCACGGCGGGGGAGAGCCCGGCGTAGAGACCGCGCGCGCCCTCCGCGCGGACGATGCTCTTGAACGCGTGGATCGTGCCTCGGTACGTCGCGCGCCGCGCGTTGACGTTGTCTTGGACTGCGGACGGGGAGAGGGCGGGGGGGAGGAGGGCGTGAGCGCGCGCGCGGGGCGGGCGGAAGGATGACGTCGGAAGAGGCGGAGGCGGAGGAGGCGGCGCGCGCGCCTTGCAGTCGCGTCTTGACGACGTCCAGCGGCTGCAGCGCGAGCGTGGTGACCATCCCCGCGGTCGCGCCGGAGATGGCCTCGCGCCAGAACGCGCCGTTCGACGCCGTGGACGCGGCCGCGCCGCCGTCCCGCGCGGGCGCCATCTCGATGTGCGCGCGTCGCCAGCGTTCGACGACTGGTACAGGTAGCGCGAACAGAAGTCACGGAAACAAACAACGCACTTTTGGTCGCGCCTTCGACCGTCGCGCGCGGACAGACGCCTCTCGTGTCTCGTAAACAAATTAGTCAGGAGGAGCTAAAGCGCCGCACCGCCGACGATCAAAACCCGCCCATCCGTCCGTCCGGCGCGTCCGACGAGGGCCCTCGTCGCGCGCGCTCGGTCTCTCTCTCTCTCTCTCCCTCTCCCCCTCTCCACCGCGCCGGCGCCGCGCGCGCTCGCGGCGACAGACCCCCGACGGCGCTTCTCGACGGCGCTCCTTCCCTCCACCTCCTCCTCTCCAAAGTCTTCCCCGTCATCAACGCTTGCGCATGTTCACCCCCGCGCGCATGACCTCGTCCACGAGCAGGAGCTGCGTCGCGATGACGGGCGCCGAGTGTAAAATCTGCTGCTTCACGATGTAATTGTCGTACACGCCGATCGTCGTCGGGTCAAACGGCTCGCCCGTGCCGATGTCCAGCCCGACTTTGTTCCCTTTCGCGACCTCGTCCGTGAGCGCGATGCACACGTCCTGCGCGTCGTACCCGCTGTTCTCCGCGAGCGTCTTCGGGATCACCATCATCGCCTCCGCGAACGCCTCCACGCCGCGTTTCGCGCGGCCCTCCACGGTTTTCTTAACCGTCTCCAAAAGGTGGACGTTGAGCGCGGCTTCAAACGCGCCCGCGCCGGGGACAACCTTCTCGTCCGTGAGGACGTTCTTCACCGCTCTGAGGCCGTCGCGGACCGCGTCCTTGAGCTGCGCGATCGTGTGGTCGTTCGGCCCCTTCAGTAGGATGGTGCACGAGTTCGGGTTGGCCACCTTTTCGACAAAGGTGTATTTTTCTTCGCCCAGGACGTGTTCGTAAACCTCGCCGGCGTGGCCGAGAATCTCCGGCGCGAGATCTTCCGGGGAGTTGATGCACACGCCGCCGCAAGAAAGGACGAGACGCTCCATGTTCCGCTTCTTCGCGCGGCGCAGGCCGACGATCCCTTCCTTCGCGAGCATGTCCAGCGAGATCGGGTCGATCCCCTTTTGCGTGATGACGACGAAACCTTTGTCCGTGCCGTCGCACACTCGCTTCTTGAGCGCGATCACGCGGCGGACGACATCGTCCGTGTACTCTCTCTCCGCGGCGACCATCCTCTCTCTCTGCTCCGCGTTCGTGTAGTTGAACGACGAGTTCACCTCAGATTTCTCGTACTCCAGCGAGATGTTGCACGTGAGAATAAACGCGTCCGTGACGTGCTTCTTCATATCCGGGTGCCTCGCGCCGTGGTCCAGCACCAAACCGCTCACGAGCCTCGTGTCCGAGTCGAGCTTGTGACGCATGTGCATGATCTCGACCATGTGCAGATCGATCGGCTCGTCCACCTTGGCGATGCACGTCACCGCGTCGACGACGATCGTCGTGAGCTTATCCGCGAGGTCTTCGCGGAGTTTCGATCTCAGCGCCGTGCGCGCCACGCAGGTGAGGAGCTCCTTGTCCGCGTTCGCGATCCCGCACGCGGGCGACGCGAACTCGTCCAGGAACTTCAGCGCGGCTCTCTTCGCGGCGTCGAACCCCTCCACGAGCACGCGCGGGTGAAGGCCTTCGTTCAAGTACCGCTCCGCCTGTTTCAAAAGTTCGCCGATGATGAGCACCGTGGACGACGTCCCGTCGCCGGTGATGTCGTCCTGCGCGACGGCGGTGCGCGCGATCATCACCGCGGTCGGGTTCTGGATCTGCATCTCTTTCAGGAGCACGTTGCCGTCCTGTTCGTTGGAGTTGAGGGGGGGGGGGTGGAGTGGGTGGGTCGACGGAGTCAGCGCGGGCGTTCGAGGGAGGGACGATCGATCGGTCGCGGATGGACGTTTTTTTTCGCGCCCAGCCGCCACAGCAACGACCGAAGGCGCGCGGTGTTGGTTTCGAAAAGAGCACGGCGACGCGTTCGAGACGATCGATCGCGATCCGGACTCGGATCGATCGTCTCGAACGCGCGATCGAACGACGCGGGGGTCTTCGCGTGAACACGCGCCTTCGTCAGCTTGAGGTCTGTGGTCGCGGCGGGACGAGGGAAGCGCGCGCGTTGGGGAGGGGGCGACGGGGACGGTCAGCGTCGGCGTGGATGGTTGGATGGAAAAAAACTCAAAAAGATTGACCAGATCCGCGCGACCGATCGCGCCTCGATCGACGCGACCGCGCGCGCGGGCGCGACGCTACGACGTGAAAACGTTCAGCCGCGCACCTCCCGCGCCGCCGACGAGCATCTTGATCGTCCCTTTCGGCCCCAAGTTGGACTTCATCACGTCCTGGAGCCCTTTCGCGGCGTTGATGTTCATGAACAGCGCGGCCGCCTTGTTCATGATCTCCGCGTTCGGGTTCACCGAGCGCAGGCTGGAGGACGCCATCGCGGTTGAATATCGAGTGCGACGCTTTAATCCTTCGAGTACGTTGACTCCGCGCGCGAATTCGACGACGGAAGCGAAGGTTTATCGACGATCGCGCGTCAACAACTGACGCCGAGCGAGTCGTTCGAACTGATGATGAAGAAAAACTCCGCTAACCTGTTGAAGGGCCAGTGAAGGGCCCAACTTTGACTGTTCTTTCTCGCTTGTCAACGCTGATGCGCGAACAACGCAACGCCGCCGGAGCAGCCGCGTGAAAAAGGAACCGAGCGTGTAGAAGAGGAGCCGTCGTCGCGCGGACTCGCCCTTTTCCAACGCACGTCTTTCGTCAAGCACACAAGGTTCGCATCCCGTCGTTCTCTTCGCGCGCGCGTCACGCTTCTCCTCGGTCGCGTCGTCGTCGTTTTTCCCGCGACGGAGGCAATCGCGCGTCGATACGGCGCGCGAAGTGCCATCGCGTCGGGAAAATCTGCGGTCGCGGCACGACGCATTCTCGAGACCTAAATCCGCGCGCGTCGAGCGCGCAATCGCGCCGCGTATCGTCGCAAACGCGACGGAAACCGCGGTGATTCGTTTCATCGGACCCGTCCGCGACATACTCGCCGGGTCTCGCGGAACGAACGCGCTCGACGCCGCGCCGACGCGCGCGCGCCCGGGGTTTTTTTTTGATCGTCGCGAGGGCGGGAAAGGGGGAACCAGCTCGAATTACAATCGAACCATCACCGAGAGACGGTCGCTGACGCTCTCCCCTCTCGCCATCGTGACAGACCTAAACCCATTCAAAATGGCTACCGACGGTAAGGAGCACCTTTCCATCGTGATCTGCGGTCACGTCGACTCTGGTAAGTCGACGACCACCGGTCGCCTCATCTTCGAGCTCGGAGGCATCCCCGAGCGCGAGGTCGAGAAGCTCAAGGCGGAGGCCGATGCGCTCGGCAAGTCTTCCTTCGCGTTCGCGTTCTACATGGACCGCCAAAAGGAGGAGCGCGAGCGTGGTGTCACCATCTCGTGCACGACCAAGGAGTTCTTCACGGATAACTGGCACTACACCATCATCGACGCCCCGGGCCACAGAGATTTCATCAAGAACATGATCTCCGGCGCCGCGCAGGCGGACGTCGCGCTCCTCATGGTCCCCGCGGACGGTAACTTCACCACCGCGATCCAGAAGGGCAACCACAAGGCCGGTGAGGTCCAGGGCCAGACCCGCCAGCACGCGCGTCTCATCAACCTTCTCGGTGTCAAGCAGCTCATCGTCGGCATCAACAAGATGGACTGCGACACCGCGGGCTACAAGGAGTCTCGCTACGAGGAGATCCGCAACGAGATGAAGAACATGCTCATCAAGGTTGGCTGGAAGAAGGACTACGTCGAGAAGTGCGTCCCCGTCCTCCCCATCTCCGGCTGGATGGGTGACAACCTCATCAAGAAGACCACCAACATGGACTGGTGGAAGGGCATGGACTGCGAGGACTACGCGGGCAAGGGCACCAAGCACCACGTCGACTGCCTCCTCGACGTGCTCAACGGCATGGTCAACAAGCCCGAGCGTCTTCCGGACGCGGCGATGCGCCTCCCCATCTCCGGCGTGTACAAGATCAAGGGTGTCGGTGATGTCCTCGCCGGCCGCGTCGAGCAGGGTGGCGTCCGCCCCGGTGAGGAGGTTGTCTTCATCCCGACCCACACCGTCTCCAACCCCTGCACCGGCAAGGTCTTCACCGTCGAGATGCACCACAAGCGCGTCGAGATCGCGCACCCCGGTGACAACGTCGGCATGAACATCAAGGGTCTCGACAAGATCAACATGCCCCGCACTGGTGACGTCATGATCTACAAGAAGGACGACTCCCTCAAGGCGTGCCAGGACTTCAACGCACAGGTCCAGGTCCTCGACGTCCCCGGTCAGCTCAAGCCCGGCTACTCCCCCGTCGCGTTCGTGCGCTGCGGCCGCTCCGCGTGCAAGATGACCACCCTCATCTTCAAGGTCGGCAAGGAGACCGGCGGCAAGAAGCTCGAGTCCCCCCAGGCCCTCAAGTCCAACGAGGTCGCCGAGGCTGTCTTCGAACCCCAGCACCCCTTCGTCGTCGACCACTTCAAGGCGTGTGACGGTCTTGCGCGCATCGCGTTCCTCGACGGCAACACCGCCGTCATGCTTGGCAAGATCACCAAGGTGACCTTCAAGGCTGACAAGTAAATGTAAAGGTGGATGAGAATAATTTTCTTTAGACTTAGCCCCCTTTCTTTACAATACAAAAGACGACTGCGAAACCATAACAACTCTCATCGTGTCTGTTCAACCCGATGTCGACCCGCGACCGAAATATTTTTACCCCACGACCGTCACCTTCACCTCTACCGGGTTCGTCGCCTCGCGAAGCCACGCCTTGACGTCCTCGTCCTCCACTCTCGGCGACACGAGCTCCCACACCCTGGCGTGATACTCGTTCAGCCACTTCACCTCCGCGCCGCTCATCAGCGACCAATCGATGAGCTTCTTTTGAATCGGAATAAACGTCAGTGGCTCGAACATGAGATATTTTTTATCCCCGAACGTGTGCGACGTCGGCGCCTCTTTGACGACGAGCAAATTTTCGATGCGAATCCCGAACCCGCCGTCCTCGTAGTACCCCGGCTCGTTCGAGAGGATCATCCCTGGGAGCAGCCCGGTCGGGTTCCCGAACCGCGGCGAGATCGACTGCGGCCCCTCGTGGACGTTCAACGCCGCGCCGACGCCGTGGCCGGTGCCGTGGCGGTAGTCCAACCCCGCCTGCCACAAGCTCCTGCGCGCGAACGCGTCGAGGACGAACCCGCTCGTCTCGATCGGGAACACCGCGGTGGACAGCCCGATGTGGCCTTGCAACACGCGCGTGTAGGCTTCTTTTTGGAACGCCGTGGGCGTTCCGGTGTGGTGCGTCCTCGTCACGTCCGTCGTCCCGCAGTCGTACTGCCCGCCGCTGTCGCACAGAAGCAACGAGTCCGGGGTCACGTCGCGCGCGGTCGCTTTCGACGCGCGGTAGTGGATGATCGCGCCGTGCGGCCCCTCCCCCGCGATCGTCGCGAACGACTCCTCGATGAACCCAGCCTGTTTCGCGCGGAAGCCGCTCACGACCGTCCCGATCTCGTGTTCGTCGTGCGTCCTCCCAGCCGCCGCCTCCGCGTCGAGCCAGCACCAGAACGACGCCATCGCGACGCCGTCCCGCAGGTGCGCCTCCAGCATCCCCTTCAGCTCCGCCTCGTTCTTCACCGCCTTCGCGAGCGGGATCGGGGAGACGCCCTCTTTGATCGCGGAGCGGGGAGGCTTCGCGTCCGCCGCGTCGGCGTCGTCCGCGGCTGTTTTCCTCTTCTTCTTCGGCGCCCCGGCCCCGGTCCCGGCGGCTTCCTCCGCGGCGGCGACGAGCGCGGCGCTGACCTTCTCCGGGTCCACCCACAGCGTCGCGCCCTTCTCCGCGACCGCGCGGACGTCGTCCTCGCACGCCTCGTACGCCTTGATCGTCACCCCCGCCGTGACGAGACGCGCTCTGACGTCGTCCGAGACTTTCCGCTCGTCGACGTACAGCGTCGCGTCGGACGTGCCGACGAGCCCGTACGCGATCGCGACCGGGTTGCACTCCGCGTCGCCGCCGCGGACGTTGAACAGCCACGCGACCTCGTCCAGAGGGCTCACGACGAGGTAGTCCGCGTCGTTCTTCTTCAGCCGCTCGCGAACCTCCGCGAGTTTATCCTCTACGGATTTCCCCGCGTGTTCTGCCGCGTGCAAACGCAGCGGCGCCGTCGGCTTCTCCGGTCGGTCCGCGCCCCAGGCTTCGTCCACGGGGTTCGTCTCCACGCACACGAGGGATGACCCGACGGCCTCGAGCGCCGCGCGCAGCGCGCGCGCTTCGTTCAGCGAGTGCACGTTCGCGTCGACGCCGACCTTGCTGTTCTTCGGCATGGAGTCTCGGAGCCACGCTTTGGGTTCCGGCACCCCCGGCTGCCCCCCTCGCATGAGCGTCCACTCCTCGCCGAGCTCCTTCTCCGCCTGAAGGAAATAGCGCCCGTCCGTCCACAGGAGCGCCTCGTCGCGCGTCACGAGCGCCGTCCCCGCGCTGCCGGTGAAGTTGGACACCCACGCCCGGCGCTCGTAGCACGTCGCGACATATTCGCTGAAGTGCGGATCTTGCGACGGGACGAGGAACGCGTCCACGCCCGCGTTCTTCATCGCCGCGCGCAGCGCGATCAGCTTCGCGTCCGCGCCCGCCGCGCCCGCGGGCGGCGCGGCGGCGGGTTTCGCGTCCGCCTCGGACATCGCGCTGGAGGAGCGCGCGACGACGCGGCGCGCGGACGACGGCGCGACGGAGGAGGGCGACGACCGCGAGGGCGCGCCTGGACGAGGCGACGGCGACGGCGACGGCGACGGCGACGGCGACGTCACGCGCAGCGACGCGATCGCGGATGCGAGCGTGCGCGAGGGCGCTCTCGGGCACCTGGGGGCGACGGAGCGATCGCCGTCGAGGCGGCGGGTGTGACGAACGCGCGGGGTGTGCTGCAGCAGGCGGTGAGCGGACGCGCGGAGCATCGGCGTGCGCGCGGTGAAGTGGTAGTCCGCGACGTGGCGTGGTACGTTTCATCGAACAGTTCAGTTCCGGAGATCTTATCATTCACGGCCGGCGCACCGCAGCCTCTGGGGGGGGCACGAGGCATGGTCGTCCGCAGAGAACCGCCCGAAGATGAACTCGCGGATCTCGGCAGACGCCTCGCCGAGAACCTGCCGGGCGGCGAAGGCTACGCCCAGACGATGCGGGACGAGACGCGGCGCACCGCGGACGAGCTGCGCGCGAACCCGTCTCAGATCCCCGCCGCGCTCGCGTCGACGTGCGACCTTGAACTCAACGCCCGCGACGTCTACGGCGACGGAGACCAGTCGCCGCTCGAAGATTCGCTGGACGCGTCCAACCCGAGGAACGCGCAGCGCTTGAGAGACGTGTGGTGCACGGGCGGCGACCTGAATCAGCTCCTCGCGACCGGTCGCGTGACAGCCTTCTTCAGGTACTGCTTCGCGGGCGACGCGAAGCTCGTCGGCGACTTCATCGCCGCCGCGCGCGCGGACCCCGACCCCGACGCGCTTCGCAACCTCCTGGAACGACGCGAGTCGCAGATGCACGTCTCGCCTCTCTTCGCCGTGGTGGCGGGCGCGCGGATGCGCGTCATCTTCGACGACCAAGTGGTCGACCGCGGGACCACGTCGAGTGCGCGCGTCTCCTCGTCTCCGCGGGCGCCAACGTAAACGCGAGAGACGTCGCCGGGTACACCCCGATCGCAATGTGCACGAACGGCGTCAAGGCGAACGACGACGACGGCGACGACAGCCTGCGCGAGGCGTTGAAGATCGCGATATTGCTGGGCGAGGCGGGCGCGGACGCGAGATTGGCGAACCGATTCGCGGAGCCGCCGCTGATCGCGTGCGTGTTGGCGGGCGGGTTCATCCCGGGGATGACTATCCTGCTCGAGTTCGGCGCGGACCCGAAGCAGGAGTCGACGGGGAACGGCAACGTCTCGGCGTACGGGATGGTCTTCGGCAGCGGCCCGATGCCGATGAAAACGGCGAGGGCGCTCTTGAGCGCCGACGTGTACAAGGAGGGCGGAGTCGTGGGAAGAGACGTCCGCGTGCACGGGTTGACGTCGGCGAGCGCCAAGGCGCTCAACGGTAAGGTCGGGACCGTGCGGCGTCTCGACCCGGTGACGGGGAAGTACGAGGTATCGCTTCACGGGGAGGAAGATAGAATCATCTCGATCGCGCCGTGGAAGTTGAAACTCGCGGAGGAGATGTTCGGCTGCGTCGTTCGGTTGAAAGATTTGACGGGACGGAGCGAGTTGAACGGCAGGCGGGGGATCTGCGGGACGTACCTGCGCCACCGAGGACGGTACGAGATCGCGGTCCAGGCGACGAACGACGCGCCGGCGGAGAAGATCTCGGTCAAACCGTGTAACATCGAGCGGTTGGAGAGATTGAGTAAGATAGGGAACTGCGCGGGGTGCGGCGTCGCGGCGTCGTCGGATGAGAAGAAGCCGAAAGGGTCGAAGAAGAAGGGAGAGAGAGCGAAAGAGAGCGCGAAAGACGACGCGAGGGTAAAGCTCAGGTACTGCGGCCGGTGTTACACCGTCGTGTATTGCGGCGACGAGTGCGTGAAAGCGAACTGGAATCTTCACAAAGAAGAGTGCGCCGCGCGGTGCGCGAACCAGGCGAGGATCAATTTGCAGAGAATCAAGGAGTCCACGCCGCGAGGAATGTCGTTCTCGACTGTTAACATGCAGACCCATCAGATCGACGCGTTGAATGAATTCGGTGAGATTGTCGCGAGCAAGAACGAATCGTTCACGGTGAAGGTGCAGATTCCGTTGGTTCCACCTGGGATGGGGAGGACATTACAAAACGGCATGGGCGCCATGGTCTACGACGAAAAACGACGACTGCAGTTTCATATTCCGGCAAACCCGCCCTTCGAGAAGGAGTACCAACAAGCGGTGGAACACGTGGAGAGCAAGGGCCTCACTGCCATGGGAAGCGCGAAGGGCGTCAAGGCGTACTTTCCCGCGAGGTTGATCGACAGCGGGAAGACGATATTGATTGACTTTCACGAGGCCTTGACTCCGCCGGCGTGGTGAAAGAGTCTCGTCATAGCTACGTTTCGTTTCCATCGACACATCGACGCACCTAAAACGACAACTCGCGCGCGACGCGCCCGACCGCACTCAGCATCGCTCGAACACGCGGTACAACTGCTCGAGGCACGCGACTTGCAGTATCCCGCCGCCCGTCGCGAGCGCCGCGGACGGCCGGAGGTGACGCATCATCCCGGGAAACAACACGAGCCTCCACGCGCGCGTATCGTCCGTCTCCTCGACGCCGTCCATCTTCTCCCTCTCCCTCTCCCTCGCCGCGTCGACGAGCTCCGCGTCGTTCGCCCGCGCGTTGTTCGCGTCGTCCACCGCGGCGTTCTCGTCGCCGTCGCCGTTGCCGTCGTCGTCGTCGCCGCCGCCGCCGCCGCCGTAAAATTCCGCAAGCGCCGCCGCGACGGTTTTAAAACACGCCTTCTCTTCCTTCCAGTCCACCTCGTGCGCGAGGCTCAGGATGAACTCCGGGACGCGCGTCACGTCCGGGGTGTGACCTTCGAGGAGCACGGGCAGACCCACTAACGTCTTCGCGTCCTCGTCGATGTCCACGCTGAAGTACTCGCGAAGCATCGGCGCCTTCTCGACGAGAAGCGCGGCGACCGCGTTCGCCGCCGCGGCCTCGTCGCCGGCGCTCGCACCCTCGCCATCGTCCTTCTCCGCCTCGAGTGCCATTCGCACCATCTCCGCGAGCGGCGCGGGGCTGGATAACGCACGCCTAGGGTGCGTTCCGAACCGAGCGATCGCGCGCTGGTAGAAAAACTCCCGCGCCATCCTCCGCGCGCGGACTAAGAACAGCTTCGTCCCGTGCTGCACCAGCCACAGCGCCTTGTTCGCGTCCGCGGGACCGACCAGGGTGAGTTTCCTGACGACCGCGGTGAGCCCCTCGTGCGCGCTCGCGGCGATATCGCGCCAGAGCTCGCGCACGGACGTGAGCTCGGTCGTTTGCCCGTCGGGAATCGCGCGCGCCGCCGCCGCCGCCGCCGCCTCCGCTCGCGCCTCCGCGCGCGCGGCGTCAATCTCTTCCTCCTCCTCTTCGCCCCTCAACGCGCGCTCTTCGTCGTCGAGCTCCATTCCGGGCGCGCCGCCGGCGCTCGCGTTCACGTCGCCGAAACTGCGCTCGCGCGCGCTCCGCCTGGCCTCGTCCAACCGCGCGGCCGCATCCGCGCCGGCGGCGGCGCCCGCGGCGGCGTCGCGGGTGACGAAAGCCTCCATGCTGCCAGCCGCGAGCCGCGCGTCTGTCCTCACGAGCTTGCGCGGCTCGTACGCGGGCTTGTCCCTCGTCCCGGTCTTCGCGCGTTTACCTCCGCCCTCGCCGTCGGCGTCGTCGTCGTCGCGGTCGTTCGGACGCCGCGCCCCGGGCAGGAGCGTTTGCGTTTGCGTTTGCGTGTGCGCCGCCGCCGCGGCGTCGTCGACGCCCTCCCCCCCTCCGACCACGGTCCCCACGCTGAACGTCCTCGACGCGTTCGCCCCCCTCAAAACCCCCTCCACCGCCCTCTGCACCTCGTCGATGAGCTCGTCCTGATGCAGGAAGTGCACCTCGCGTTTCGTCGGATGCACGTTGACGTCCACCGCCCTCGGCGGCAGCGTCAACGCCGCGTACACGAACGGTTTCTCCGCCTTTGGCAGGACCGCGGCGTACACAGCCTCGATCGCGCGCTTCAGCCCCGCGCACTCGACGAGACGGTCGTTGATGAAGAGCACGAACGTGGACTTTTTCGAGTGGTAGCTCGAGCTCGAGATCAGCGCGTCGAGCGCGAATCGAAGACCGCCGGCGCCGGCGCCTGGCATGCTGACGTTCAAACGCAGCGGCGTGAGCTCCTTCGCGACCGCGGCGCCGTACACCGCGCGCAGACGGTCCACGCGCTCGGTCGCGACCGGACAGTGCAGCGCCGGTCTCGCCTCGCCGAGCTTTCGAATCACGAACGACGTCGCCGTCCGCGACGACGCGTACCGCTGGACGACGTCCACGATCCTGTTGTACTCCTCCGTCGGCGATCGCAGCGCTTTCCTTCGCGTCGGGACGTTGTAGAACAAGTTCTCGACCGCGATCGTCGTGCCCTTCACGCCCGCGCACGGCATCGCGGCGCCGTTCTCGAGGACGCCGTCGCGGTACGACGCCTTCAGCGCGTGCGGCGCGTCTTTCGTCATCGTCGTCACCGTGAGGTTGGCCACGAACGACATGGACGCGAGCGCCTCGCCTCGAAACCCGAACGTCGCGACCTCGTTCAGGTCCTCGAACGTCGCGAGCTTCGACGTCGTGTGCCGCTCGCACAGGATGGCGAGGTCGTTCTCGCGGATGCCGACGCCGTCGTCCGTGACCTGAAGGAGCTTGCATCCGCCGTCCTTGACGGTGACCGTGATCGCGGTCGCGCCCGCGTCGAGCGCGTTCTCCAGGAGCTCCTTGAGCGCGGAGGACGGGCGGTGGATGACCTCGCCCGCGGCGACGCGGTTGACGACGTCCTCCGCGAGGCGTCGGATCGGGCGCGGTTCGTCCGCGGGCGCCATCGTGATCGGCAGCGCGCCTCGATCTGGCCGCGGCTGGCGCGCGAGATTCGAATCTCGCGCGTGCAGTGGTTGTCGCTGTCGTCGCGCTGACATGACAGGACCCAGAGTTGGACTCGCAATTCCTCCCCTATCCCGACGTCGGGCACGGCGCCGGGCACTGACGGCCGCGCGACCCGAGCGAGTGCGCGAGGATGTCGTTCGCGTCATCGCGCGCTCCGTGCACCGCGCGATTCACTCCGGCGTCGTCGTCGTCGTCGTCGTCGTCTTCGCTTCCGCGGCGTCGCTTCGTCGCCGCGTGGCTAACCCCGAATCGCGGACGATTCCTCGGCCGATTCCTCGGCGCGTCCGCCGCCGCGACCGGCTCGCCGGCCGCGGAGTCGCCGACGACGCCGACGACGCCGAAAACCACCGACGCCGCGCCCATCGCGAGAAACATCGGCGGGTGGAGAGACAACGCGTTCGAGACGTTCTGCGACGACGCGCTCGCGGACCCGCGCGCGCGCTCGGGCCTCCGCGCGATCGAAACGCGGCACCCGGAGCTCGACGCCGCCGTCCTCCTCCTCGGGTTCTGGCTCGCGACGCACGAGGACGCGGCGATGCGACGCGCGATGACGCGCGCGCAGCTTCGGAACGCGACGAAGATCTCCGAGCGATGGCGCTGGCGCGTCGGCGAGAGCCTGAGTCGCGCGGAGGCGAGCCTGCGGGGGGAGGACCTGCGCGATTCCGCGCCCGCGATGGAGCTCGCGCGCGCGGTGCGAGACGTCGCGAACGAGACGGCGCGCGTGGAACGCGCGGCGCTGTGCGAGATGGCGACGTCGGACGCGTGGTGGGGCAAAGAGCCGGAGAAGGATACCGACGGCGACAAAAGCGAGCTCGAGCTCGAGGTGACGGGTCTGGGCGTCGTGCGCGGCGCGTCCGCGGTCGCGTGTCTCAACGCGCGGTCGTACGCGGAATACCTCGGCTGGGACCTCAAGCGCGACGACTGGCGCGCGCTCAGGGGCGTCTTCGTCGGGTGCCTCCGCGCGCGCGGGCGCGTCGCCGCGGACGACGTGGACATCGTGGGTGCCAACTCGGGGGGTGCCGAGGGGGGTGCCGAGGACGACGACGACGTCGCGCTGACGAACGCGGGGTGGCGCGTCGTCAGAGGCGCGATCGACCCGCGGATGGTTTCCCCGCGGCGGATGGAGCAAAAGGCGGCCAACGCGCGGTACCTCGACGCGCGCCGGACGCTCGCGGCGGAGACCAAGCGATGGAAGGCGACGTGCGAGGACTACAAGAGGGCGCGGAGGATCGTGAAAGCGGCGAGGCACGAAGTGCACAAGTCCAGGAGAGCCGTGCGCGTGGAGTATCGCTGACGCGACGCCGCGGACCGGTCTCGTCCCGTCGCGGAAGACGAGGAGGCTGAAAAAATAAGGTTATGATAGTTTGAGACGACTTGAGAACTCACTGCACTCGACCCGCGCGCGCGCCTCACTCCCGTCGCTCCCGTCATGCGCTCCTCGCCGTGCCCTCCCGACCCGACGAAACCTCCCGCGCCCGAGCCCGATCCCGACGCCGCGCTGCGCTTGCTGTCGTGGACGCAAGACAGCGAGAGCGCCTTCGTGCGCGTGCGCGTCCCGAGAGGCACGCGCGCGAGAGAGGTTCTCGTCGACGCGACGCCGTCCTCGCTTCGCGTGCGCCTCGACTGGCTCCCCGAGAGCGAGGCGTTCGGAGGCGCGCTCCGCGAGACGATCGTCGCGTCCGAGACGCTGTGGACGCTCGAGACGGACGGCACGGAGACGCTCGTGAGCGTCGTGCTGCAGAAGACGGAGCGCGACGTCGAGCAGCGCGCGTGGCGCGGGCTCTTCGAGAACGACGAGGAGAAGAGCCTTCAGGAGGTGCTCTTGGAGCTGACAAACGCGGACGAGAGGTCGCCCGCGCACTCCGCGCTGACGCACGAGACGCAGCACGCGATCGAGGAGATGCGCGAGCGTCGGTATCAGATGGGATGCGGCGAGTTTAACCCGGACGAGGGGTTCGACGACTTCAGGTTGGTGATAAAGAACTGACAGGACGGGGATAACTGAAGGACGACTGGACGGGGCGAGGAGTACAGCTTATCATAACAGCTTGCGCTCGCGTTCTATTGGTATGGCGTCACGAGAGAACGTCTGTCTGGTCGTTCGTCGCGCTCGCTACGGTTTCGGCGCGCACAACGGGTGCGTCGGGCACGGCGTCGATTTCGTCTCGCACGCCGGGCACGCGTCGCACGGCGCGCACTGCCCCTCTTTCGCGCCTCCCGCCGCCGCCGCCGCCGTCGCATTTTTCCCGGAATCGCCGCCGCCGCCGCCGCCGCAGTCGGGCGCGTCCTCGCACGGCGTCTCGCACTTCTCGCACGCCGGGCACGGGTCGCAGTGCACCGCGGCGTCGCCGTCGTCGTCGTCCGCGAGCTTCTTCTTGCCGGTGTCCTTCGGTCGGCGCGGCATCGCCGTCGTCGCCGCCTCCATCGCCGTCGTCACCATGCGCATCTCCATGGGCTTGGTCCGTTCGAGAAGTTTCGCGTCCTCCGCCGCCTCGGTCGCGTTCGCCGGCGCCTCGGTCGCGTTCGCCGGCGCGTCCTCCTCCTTCGTCGTCGTCGTCGTCGTCGTCTTCGTCTTCTCTTCCGTCGCCGCCGCCTTCGTCGCCGCGTCGCCCTCTTTCTTCGCCTCCTCCGCCGCGGCCGCGGCCGCGACGGGCGCGGGCGCGTCGCACGCCGGGCAGCTCGGACACGCCTCCGCCTTCGCCGCGTTCGCTCCGCCCGTCGTCGTCGTCGTCGTCGTCGTCGTCGCGTCCGCGGCGCGATCCTTCGGCGGCGGGCACTTCGGGCACTCCGCGCGCTCGCCCGATCGCGGGCACGCGCCGACGTGAACGCCCAACCTCTTCGCCTTGGCCTCCTCCGCGAGCTGCTCCTTCCCGGCTCTGCCGACGCGAACGACGCGATCGGCGACGCACCGATCGTATCCGCCGCGGCTCGCGCGCTGACGGACGAACAGCAGCGACGCGATCCACAGCGCGGCGAGGAAGACGCGCGAGGCCCACTTCCGAAGAAGCGGGCGCTCGCGTCGCGTCGCGGGGGCGTCGATCGGGCCGGCCATGGCGCGCGCTCGACACTGCGGCGGTGGAAGATGGACGTCGCGACGGACGCGGCGAGGCGAAGACGGATACTTCGCGGGCGCGTCATCGAAAACTAGGGCATTTGAACGGCGGGGAGCGCGAGCGCGTCACAACGAAGGACGCCGGCGGGCGGGCACCGGTCGATGCCGCCGCGTCGCGCTTCCGCGCCGGCGGGCGCGGTCCCGATGCAGACGTCCGCGCCTCCGTCGTCGTCGTCCCTCCTCGACGGCGACGGCGCGCGGCGATGGATCCCGGACGTGCGAAGGCAGCACCTCGATCTCACGACCGGGGTGACGTCCCACGGCGGGTACGTCGACGGCGTCGCGACGATCCACTGCCGGCCGCCGAGCGCGCCGCACGTCGAGGACGCGCGGACGATCACGCTGCACGCGCACGAGCTGTGCGTGCGACGCGTCGTCATCGACGGCGCGCCGGGGCGCGTGATCCGACGCGGGCGGACGATAGTCGAGCTCGACGGGAGCGAGACCCCCGCGACCGCCCCCGCCGCGGGCGCGGCGAGCGCGTCCTCCGCGGGCGCGTCGATCCTAGCGGCGGCCGCGGTCGCGGCGCGGAGGGACGCGCGCGACGCGGACGCGGGCGACGGCGACGAGCTCGTCATCGCGAGGATGGACGGTGGGGTCATCGCGCGCGGCGGCGGCGGCGGCGGCGGCGGCGGCGCGGACGCGGACGCTCCCGACGTCGTCGTCGTCGTGTGGTACGCCGCCGGGCCCGCGGTGGGCCGCCCCGGGGGACCGAGAGGGGTGATACCATCCGCGCGGGGCGACCTCGCGTCGCCGCCGACGCCGGTGGTTCCGCCGGGAGCGTCGAACCCGGCCACCGTCGACGACGAGAAAGCAGAAGCCGTCGACGACGACGACGACGGCTGGCCGCCCCCCGGCGCCGGCGGCGTCGCGTCCTACGTCGACCCCGACGAGGACGGCCTGCGATACGTCGTCACCCCCGGCCCCGCGCTTCGCCCGGCGGCGTGGTTCCCGTGCGTGGACGACCCGTCGCGGTTGGTGCACTTTAGCGTCGCGGTCGCGTGCGACGACGACGTCGTCGCCGTCGCCCCCGGGGTGCTCACGAAGCGCGAACGCATCGAACGGCGCGGGTACCACTTCCCGAGCGACGAAGAGGAGGCGGACGAGGAAGCGAACGGCGTGACGAAGCTCCGACGGTTCGTCTTCGCGAGCGGCGGCGTCCCCGTGCAAGCGCATCAGATGACGATCGCGGTCGGGACCTTCGCGCGGAAAAAAGTCCCCGCGTCGGCGGCGCACGTCGCCTCGGCGGGGTTCGCCTTCGCCGCGGTCGCCGCCGCGGAGGAGGAAGTCGAGAAGGAAGAAGAGATCAAGAAGAGAGGCATCTCGGCCGCCCAGGACCAGGACGACGACGAGAAAGAGAACGACGCCGGGAAAGCGACCGCGCACTCGAACACGCACTCGCTCCTCGCGCCGCCGGCTTTCGACGCGGAGCTTCGATCGGCGGCGTCCGCGACGACCGCGGTGCTCGCGTCGTTCGAGGAATACCTCGGGCGCCCGTTCCCGTACCCCGGCGGACTCGCGTTCGCGTTCGTCCCCCCCGAGTGCATGCCCAACGCCGGCGTCGCGTTCGTCGGCGCGGGAGTGACGATCATGACCACGGACGCGCTCGGACATCCGCTCAGCGCGACGGACCTCGCGGCGTCGAGGACGGCGCTCGCGGAGTGCGCCGCGCGGCAGCTCTTCGGGGGTTTCTTGGAGCCTCGGGAGGACACCGACGCGTGGCTCGCGGAAGCGCTCGCCGCGCACCTCGCGGGGAAGTGCTACGTGTCGACGCTCATGGGCGCGGACGAGATGCGGTACAGGAGAGCGAAGGAGCTCGAGGCGATTCTTCGCGCGGATGACGGATGCGCGATGCCGCCGATAAGTTCGAAAGAAGCGCGCGTGTGGCGCGGGGGACGGCACGCCGGCGGCGCGTCCGCGGCGGAGATGCGCGCGAGGAAAGAAGCGGGCCTTCGCGCGGAGCGCGCGAAGACAGGAGGGGGTAAGGCGGCCGAAGGGGAGGAGGACGTCCTTTCCGCCGTCGAGCGGGACGCGCCGCCGGCGTCGAAAGCGGCGCGACCGCTCCCGCCGGACGTCGACCGGCTCGTGCGGTCGAAGGCGATCGCGGTGATCGGGATGCTCGAGCGGAGGCTCGGGGACGAGGGTCTTCGAAAGGTCATGAGGAAGCTCGCGTCGTTGCAGTGCAAGGCGATCGGCGCGGAGGCGCTGCAAGAGACGGCGGCGGCTGCGGCGAAGGCGGCGAAGGCGGCGCGGGAAAAAGCCACCGCGGCGGCTGCCGCCGCGCGCGCGACCGAGAGCACGGACGAGGCTGCGACCGCGGCGCTCGCGGAGAAGGCGACCGCGGCGGCGAAGGAGCAGCTGCAGAAGGATCACGAGGAAGCCGCGGCGTACCACGCGCTCGCGGAGTCCCCCGCGCGGTTCTTGCGTCAGAGCGTGTTTCTCACGTCGTGCCGCCAAAACGCGACAATGACGAAGCAAGAGATGGCCGCGTTCACCGCGCGGTGGATCGAAGGCTGCGGGTGCCCGCGACTCACGGTCGGGTACACGTTCCGTAAATCGCGCCGGCAGGAGCTCCTGTTCGCGATCAAGCTCGACGGCTGCCGCGCCGCGGCGGCGGCGGACAAGATTGCGTTTCGAAAAAACCCGAAAATCTCCGTCACCGTGCGCGTGCAAGAGACGGACTTGCCGCCGTCCGATCACGCCGTCTCCCTCAGCGCGCACGACCGCGCGTACTGCTTGATGCCGCTGCAGCTCGTCACGAAGCCGAAGGACCGACGCACGATCGCGCGGCAGCAGCAGGCGGCGCTGGATCGTCAAGCGCGCGCGCGCGAGACGGGGAATCAAAACCCAGACGACCTCGACGCCGCCGCCGCCGCGGAAGTGCTCCAGTGGGAATGCCCGGTGAACTGGGTCCGGATCGACCCGGAGGGGGAATGGCTCGCGGAAGTTCGAGTCCCGATCGAGCAGATCGGTCTCGAGGGGATGATCACCGCGCAGTTGAGGAAGGAACGCCCCGCGGACGTCGGCGCGCAACTCCACGCCATCGCCTACTTACGCGCGCGCGCGGAGGCGGGGTCCACGTCCGCGGTGAACGCGCTGCTGCACTGCGTCGAGGACGCGAAGACGTTCTGCCGCGTCCGCGCGGACGCGGCCAAGGCGTTGGGCGCGTGCGCGTGCGACGACACGCAGCGATCGAACCTCGCGATGACGTCCGTGATGCGGACGTACCGGAAACGCCGATGCGACCCGGAGACCGGCCTCCCCGCGCCGACGGATCTTCGAAACTACGCGGACGCGCTCGTGGACGAGGGGCTCGTCGCCGCGCTCGGCCTGCCGCGCGTCCCCGCGAGAGAAGCCGCCGCGAACGACATGGTGGACTACACCACCCCGAGCGAGTGCGTCGATTTGCTCGTCGACATGCTGAACAACCTCGAGAGCGACGGGGACCCGCACGACATGTCGTCGCTCGTCGCGACCGCTCTGCGCGCGCTCGGCGCGGCGTCGCTGGAAAAGACGGACGCGCTCCAGAGCTCGTTGGACGCCATCTCGAGGTGGCTGACGAAGGACGTCAACATCTGCGGCGTCGGCGGGCGGACGCACGCGGGCGGACGCCGCGTCACGACGGCGGCGTTGGAGGCGCTGAGAGCCGTCGCGACGCGCCTGCCGTCGCTCGCGCGCGTCGTCGCCGTCGAACGCGACGCGAGAGCCGACGCGAGAGCCGCGTCGAAGAAGACGCTGAGGGACGCGGCGAGCCTTCGCCGCGGGGTGTCCGCCGCGCTCGCGCGGTGCCAGGAGGCGATCGACGCCGCGTCGAAGGACGCTTGCCAGGCGGTGCGAAGAGCCGGTGCCGCGCTCGCGTTCGACGTCGAGATGAAGCACGGCGGCGTCGCCGGCGCCGCGCGCGCGCTCGCGAACAGCGTGCTGCGGTGTAAGGTGGAGCACGGCGCCGCCGCGAAAGCGACGTTGCTGTGGGACGCGCGCGCGCGGATGGTGGACATCGAGACCGCCGCGAAGGTGTTCGCGCTGTTAGAGGCGGAGGGTCCCGCGGCGGCGTCGCGCGTCGAGGCGGCGACCGCGAACGCTCCCGCGCCCATGGACGCCGACGGCGACGTTGACGTCGCGGCGGCGCCGACGATGCCGCCGGGCGTGTCGGGAGAGGACGAGGTGATCGCGGACGGGTATCATCTTCTGAGATGGTCGCTGTCGTCGCTCAATCGAGCGGCGCGGCGCGGCGGCGCGGAGGTGGCCGCCGCCGCGACGGCGTTGCTCCATGTCGTCGCCGGGCGCGACGGGCGCGCGGACGAGAAGGACGCGTTGGGGTATAAACTTCGCGAGGAAGAGGTCAACGCGACGCTCGCGGGGATGGGGGACGCCGGCGGTCCTTCCGCGGTGGCCGCGGGCGGCGGTGACGCCGTCGACGCGGAGGAGGAAAAGGAGCGGGCGGAGCGAAAGCTGCGGAAAGCGCAGCGCGCGCGCGAAAAAGCGGAGAAGGAAGAACGCCGCGCGACGAAGCGCAAGGCGAAGGAAGCGCGCCACGCGGCGAGAGCCGCGGAGGAAGCCGCGGAGCGCGCGGCGCAGGGGCTCCCGCCGCGCGGTCAGGGCGCCGCGGAGGATTCCGAGGCGCTGGACGACTCGCAGATGCCGGAGCCGAGCGGCGTGTCCAAGGGCGTCAGCGACGGCGGCACCGTCATCACGGGCGCGACCGGGTTGACCGGGACGGGGACCGGCGCGGCGACCGGGACTGGGACGGGGACTGGAGCGGCGACGGGGACGACGTCCGCGATGACCGGCGGCGCCTCGGAGGACGCCGCGGCGGTGACGAAGCCGGAGCCCGGGGTGGAGGCGTCCGCGTTGTCTACGGAGGCGCCTCCCGTCTCCGAGGCGGCGGTCGCGGCGCCGGCGGCGGCGCCGGTCGTCGCGCCGGTCGCCCCCGACGCCCCCGTCGCTCCTTCTGAGCCTCCCTCCCAGGCGGTCGGGGAGAAGCGCGCGCGGTCTCCCGACGCGGTCGCGCCCGCGGCGACGACGCCGCTCCCGGAGCAACCGGCGAAGAAGCCGCGTCTGACGTTTTCGTTTGGCGCGAAAAAAGTCGCGGCGGCGGAGCCCGCGCCCGCGCCCGCGCCCGTTCCTCCCGCCGAGGCCGACCCCGCGGAGAAGAAGGTCAAGAAGGAGAAGAAAGAGAAGAAAGAGAAGAAAGAGAAGAAGGAGAAGAAGGAGAAGAAGGAGAAGACCGAGGCGTGATGACGACGGTCATGTTCCGCGCTCTTTTTTCAGTCTCTGTCGCGTGTCATCAGACAAAAGTAGCCACACAACGCGAGTCTCTCACTCCCCCGCTTTCCTCTTGTATCCCACGAGCGGATTCGTTCCGTCCTTGTGCGCCTTATACGCCACCGCGAGCTTCTCGATGCACTCCTTGGACGCGACCGCGTGATCCACTATCGGCGGCGGGTAGTCGACGCCGATGACGCACCCCGCTTTTTTCTGGACATCCGCGGGCGCCGTCCACGGCTCGTAGATGTACTTCGCCGGCATGTCCTTCAGCACCGGAAGGTACTTGCGTATGAACGTCCCGTCCTTGTCGTACTTCTTCCCGAACGACACCGGGCCGTACACGCGAAAGTACTGATAGAAAAAGCACGAGCACGAGAGCCACATCCAGTTCCCGTAATTCAACGCCGGGTCCGCGTCGACGAGATCGCGGTCGAACACCTTCGCGCCCGCTTCCCAGTGCACGAAAAGGTCGCCTCTGGTTAAGAAACACGCGACCGCGTGTCTCGCGAGGTGATGCAACCAACCTTCCTGTCGAAGCTGATGCATGCACGCGTCGATCCACGGGAACCCGGTCCTGCCTTCCTCCCACGCGGCGAGTCTCTCTTCGTCCCACGTCCACGGGATTTGGCGACAGATCGGGTTGCCTTCCATCTTGTGATAGTTCGGCGTCCCGAACGCGGCGAGGTAGTAAAACTCGCGCCACAGAAGCTGTCCTTCGAGGCTCACCGGTGGCGCGGAGTGCTTTCCTTTCGCGTCGTTCAGAACGTCCTTCAGCTCGTGGTAAAACGTCCGCGGGGAGACGCAGCCGAATTTGAGGTACGGGGACAGCGCCGTCGTGGACGGCGCGAGAAACGCCTCCGCACCGACCGTTTTCGACTTTGACGCTTTGGACGCCGCCTCAAACGGGTTGGCCGGCTTCTGCGTCTTCCCGTCCGCGCCGACGACCGCCCACAGCGACGTCGGGCTCGTCATCGGCTTCTGAAACTCCGCGATCCACGTTTTCCGCGACAGCATCCTCCGCAGGCGGTCGAGGCCCTCCGTCTCGCCGCCCCTCGCGGGGAACCCCTCGTCGTCGGGCAGCTCCGGGTATCCCAACTCCTCGAGCGTCGGGACGCCGACCTCCGCGGACGACACGACGTCCTCGATCATCGCGACGAGCTCCACGTGCGATTTCCCGTCCGGCGACCCGGGCATCGACGCCGGCGGCGGCGGCGCCGGTTTCGCAACCGCGCCGCACGAGCCCGCGATTTTCAGAAAACTCGCGTAGCTCGTCGGCGGCGCGCCTTTCGGGCACTTGGAGAGCAAGCGCTCCATGTCGTACAGCGTGTGCGACGCGAACGTCTTCACCTCCGCGCCCACGCGCTTCGCGGCGTCGCGCACGGCCGCGTCGCGCGCGGACGCGTACGGCTCCGTGTCGACCTCGTGCGTCAACCGGTCGCACCCCCACGCTCTCAGCGCCGCGGGCACCACCGCCTTCGGGTCGCCTCGCAGGACGAGGAGACTCGACCCGCGCGCGCGCAGCGACGCGTCGAGGTCCGTCAGCGACTGCAGGAGGAATCGCACGCGGTTCGCGCCGACGCGCGACGGCGTCAGGAACCACGGGTCCAACACGAAGATGGGCTGCACCGCGGTCGCGTCCGCGCACGCGTCGACGAGCGCGGGATTGTCGTGGACGCGCAAGCCTTTGCGGAACCAGTGGATCGACCGCGTCGTCTTGTCTTCCCCCCCCATCGCGGCGGTCGCGCGCGACGACGACGCCGTCGCCGGTTCCGAGGACGCGTCCGCGGAGGAGACGCCTCGCGCGAGGACGACGACGACGGACGGGGGACGACGAGGACGACGAGAGAGAGATCTCGGGACGACGTCGGCGAAAAAAGTCGCCGGGACGAGGCCGACGCGATGACGCGCGCGCGCGAACGGCGCCGCGAGCCTCCGCGAGGACGCGAGCAACGACGACGCCACCGTCGCTTCGAAGGTAGGAGACGCGCGAGCGTCCTCTCGCGACGAGGTCGGCGCGACGACGAGCGCGCGCGGCGCGAGGTGGTGTGCGGGCGTCGACGTGTCGCTCTCTCGATAAGATGCAGCAGCGGAGAGCGAGCAGAAAAAGCGCTCGACATTATTCACTTTTCCGCGCGCCCCGCGCGCGCGTCGACGGCGCCCCGCCGCCATGGGTTCCGGGCGCGACAAGCGCAAGAAAGCGGCGAAACGATCCGGCGGCGACGCGTCCGGCGGTACGAGCGGCTCGTCCAAGACGGACCGGAAGACGGACAAGAACGCGGCCAAGCTCGAGCGCAGGATGGATCGCGCGGGGAAGGAGGACGACATCGACGCGCTGCTGGCGAACATCAAGCTCTTGGACGCGAAGACGACCGCGGTGCACATCACGGAGAACGCGCCCAAGCCGAGCGCGCGGTGTAACTGCTCGTTCACGGCGACGCTCGCGCAGAAGCCCGCGGAGATCGTGATGTACGGCGGCGAGGTCGTGGACTCGGGAGGGAAGACGCGCGTCTTTAGCGATCTGTACCGATACGACGTGGAGAAGAATCGATTCGCGCGCGTCGTCGCGCCGAACGCGCCGCCGCCGAGGAGCGCGCACCAAGCGGTCGCGCACGGGGGATACGTGTACGTCCACGGCGGCGAGTTCACGTCGCCGAACCAGGAGAAGTTCTATCACTACCGCGATCTGTGGCGGTTCGAGCTCGAGACGAACGCGTGGGAGTCGCTCCCTTCCAAGACGGGTCCGAGCGCGCGAAGCGGCCACCGCATGATCGTCCACCCGAACGGCAAGTCGCTCCTGATGTTCGGCGGCTTCTACGACACCGGGAACGAGATTCGGTACTACAACGACGTCTGGGAGCTCGCGCTCGAGAGCAAGACGTGGCACCTTCGATGCGGCGGCGGCGGCGGCGGCGCGGCGGCGCTCGAGGGGCCGTCCCCTCGAAGCGCGGCGCACGTCTCGGGTGCGTTCACTGATCAAACGTTTTTCACCCTTCGCTCGGTTTCAACACTTGATCGCATCTCCTTTCAACTGACCGATGAACATTTCGACCCTCAGCGCACGGGGACCGCATGTTCGTCTACGGCGGGTACTGCAAACACGCGGGCGACGGCGATGGCGACGACGGCGACGTGGAGAAAGGGCAGACGTACTCGGATCTGTGGTCGCTGAGTTTGAAGACGTGGAAGTGGACGCGAGAGAAGAAGCAAGGGCTCGCGCCGGGACCGCGCGCGGGGGCGACGTCGGCGGTGCATCACGCGAAGAAGCGGTCGGTGCTCTTCGGCGGCGTCGTCGACCACGAGATACGAAAGGGCGAGGTCATCGTCTCCGAGTTTTTCAGCGACTCGTACGCGATGAGCGTCGAGAGCGGGCGATGGTACCCGGTGACGCTGTACGCGGACAAAGACGATAAGAAGGGCGAGACCCCCTCCGCGGGTCCGTCGACGGGGAAGGAGGAAGCCGAGAAGGTGGCGCGCGGCGAGAGCGTCAACGCGAACTTCAACGTCAGGGATAACCAAGCGCGCGCGGCGATTAAGATACAGGCGCACTATCGCGGCTACGCGGTGAGAAAGGCGTACAAGCTGTATCGCGTCGGCGGGCAAGTCAGCGAATTGCTGTACTCCCCGGGGAGCGGCGAGGCGGCGCCGAAGACGGCGCCGCGGCCGCGCGGGAGGATGAACGCCGCCGTGGCGTGCCGCGGGAACACGATGTATCTCTTCGGCGGCGCCGTGGAGATTGGCGACGCCGAAGTCGCGCTGGACGACGTGTGGGCGTTAGAGCTCACGCAGCGACCGAAGTGGAGGCAAATCTCTGGGCTGTCCGAGGACGTCGCCGCCGCCGTCGTCGGCGACGGGCACGTCTCCTCGGACGACGACGAAGAAGACGGCGACGGCGACGGCGACGGCGACGGCGACGATGGAAGAGAATAGACGATAGACGAGAAGGAAGGTCGACAACGCGTCGCGCGTTGTTCGTTAAGAATAATACAGCTACCTACTAGAGCTACACGACTACTCGCACGCCGCGTCGTCGCCTACTACCTTAGGGCTACCCGTCGTGGCTGCCGCTCGCGTCGTACGGGCGTCTGACGACCTCCCCCGCCGCGTCGTCGAAGCTGCGCAACGACGGCTCCGCGACGTCGAGCGGCACGAACGAGTCCCTGTACGTGCTGGTCTGCGTCGAGACCCTCCACGGCTCCGCCTCCACGTTTTGAATGTTCCACCGCGGGTCTTTCTTCTGCGTCGGCGCGAACGCGCCGGCGCCGTCGTCGTCGTCGTCGTCGTCGTCGTCGTCCTCCGCCGGCGCGTCCGGGTCGAAAAACGTCAGCTTCTCCAGTCCCAGCAACCCATCCATCGCCTCCGGCTCTTTCCTCGGGTCGTCCCTCGACACGCGCACGTTGAACGCCCAGCTCCCGCCGTTCGACAGCGCCGCCTCTTCCGGGGACACGACGCGCCCCGTCAGCGGCGTCGTCGACCCGTCGGAGGCACGGCAGCGATTGTCCAGTCGCACGGTGACGCGCACGCCAACCTTGACGTGCTTATCGAGCTCGAGGTCGGACAGGAGCCCGACGTTCGCGCGCGTCGATTTGGACGCGCCGTTCGCGGCGGCGACGACGATGCCCTCTCTGTACTCGCTCACGTCGTGAATTCGCAGGTGGTGCCTCGCGCCCTTGAGGACGCCGCCGCGCGGGAGCGAGCCGACAAGCGCGAGGTCCGGATGGCGCGCGAGGAGCGCGTTGCGAAGGTACGGCGGCGTGTCCACGTACTCGAGGACGCGCGCGATCATCACCGCGGGGCGGTTCGCCGCGTGCGAGGGCGGGCCGGAGTAGTGCCCGTCGTTCTTCGCGACGGATTCCTTGACGCCTGTTTGCGACGAGGAAGGAAGGCGCGGGGGAAGAGGCGAAGGACGTGAGGACGGGACGAGGAGGGGAAGAGGTGGAGGACGCGACGAGAAGACGATCGCCAGTGTAGCGCAGTAATCGCGGTCAATCACGAATCGGGAACGCACCGCCGTAGACGACGACCTCGTTCGCTTTGACTTTGATCGCCGCGCACGCGGCGCGCCACGCGAGGTGCGTGACCTCCGCGAGCGATGTCGCGGAGTTCGCGACCGCGGCGTCGACCGCGAGGATCATGATGCGGGCGGGTGCGCGCGGCGAAGTGGGGCGCCGAAATTTGGAAATCCTTTTTTGTTGTTTTTGGCGCGCTTTTCTTTTGCGACGCCATCGCATCGCCACCTAAGAGCTACGAGTATGATGACTACACCGCCGCCGCTACGTCGTCGTCGCCGCCTGTCGCCGCCGCGATTTACGCGCGCAGCATCCCTCAAACATCCCCGCCCACCCCTCGTGCATCGCCCGGCTCCAAGAATTCGCGAGCACGTCGTGCGACTCCCTGAGCACTCTCCTCGCCTCGTCCCGGTCTTCGCCCGCGACTTCGTAGTCTAACATCGCCTGCAGCGTGTTGAACGACGTCCTCAGAGCGTCCGCGTCCATCTCCCGACCCTCGCGCGCGGTCACGTCCAAGACCGCGTAGTGGTCGCCCCGGCACGCGAGTATTCGCGTCGTCTCGTACGTGTCGTCGTCGCCCAGCGTCCGCGGGGACGAGGTCCCGGACCGCGCGCTCGGCCATCCCGAGCTCGCGTGGCTCTTGGCGCTCCTCGACGGGGAAGGCTTCGGCTGCGCGGGCGTGGACGGCGTCGTCGCTCGCGGGGAGCGGAGACTCGCGACGCGCGCGGCCATCGCGTCGTCGTCCACCGCGTCCTCGTCGACCGGCGCGGGCGGGTCTAGCGCGCGCGGCGAGCGCGCGACGTCGAGTGTGCCTACTTTTCGATCTTTTTGAGTTGAATGGTTTCGGCGAGTGGAAATTTCCATCGCGTTCTGTTCGCGATCGCGTCGCGTCGTCGTCTCGTCTCGTCTCGTCTTCGTCTCGCGCTTCCCGCCTCGGCGTCCCACCGCCTCGAACGCGTCGCGCGTCACGTCGTCGTTCTTCTCTATTCCTCCTCTTCTCTATTCCGTCGCGTCCTTCGCGCCGCGCCGCGCGCCATCGTCCGTCGCGTCACACGCTTCGATCCTCGGGCGCGACGTACGTCAGCCGCAGAGGTGCGTTCTATACACTGGTTCCCATACGACCCCGTCGGCGTGGTGAACGCCGATCCTTAAGGACTTTTGCCGGCGCATCTCTCCGCCCACCCCACGCTTTCAATCCCCGCCCTCGATGCCTTTCAGCGCCAACTGACGCCTTTGAACTCCACCCCGACATTCGCTTGTATAGAACGGCCCTCACGTCGCGTCACACGCTTCGATCCTCGGGCGCGACGTATTTCAGCCGCAGATACTCGAACACGTCCGCCTCGTCGTCGATCTCCGCGTCCGTCACCTTCGACGCCGCGTTCGACGTCTCGCGAAAAATACCCTTATCGTTCAAGGACAGCCCGAACCTCCGCTTCGCCCAGTATCTCATGCTCCGGTTGAAGTACCCGCTGCCGGTGAAGTACAGCAACGCGAACGGAAGCTCCTCGGGGGCGTACACCTTGACGTCGATCCGCCGGTGCGTCCGCGCGGGTTCGACGGGGACTACGCCCATGCCGCCGCCGCCGTCGGCGTCGGCATCAGCGCGCGCGAGCTGTAACGAGGCGGCGTCCTCAGAAGGTAACAACGCGACGCCCATGTACGAGTCCTTCCCGACGCTGAGGTCGTCCGTCAAGACGCCCTTCCCCCGCAGCTCCGCGAGCACCGTCGGGAGGATGTCCTTGAACGTCGAGACGCCGCCTCTTCCGTCGCCTAAACTCCCGCAGCTCTCCGCGGTCATCCACTCCCGGGTCGGCGAGATCAAGACGTCGAGATCGCCGCAGGTGGGTTTCCCGCGGCGGTACGATCCCGCGGCGACGGCGACGCATCCCGGACACGCGCGCCGCGCCGCACGTTCGACGTACCCCGCGATCGCGGACGCTTCCTCTCTCGGCATCCGCTGATCGAACTCGTCGAAGTATTTCAACCCGATCATTTGCTGCGACGTGAGCAGCGCGCCGCTCGTCCCCGGGCCCTCGCCCTCGCCGCCGCTCGGGGTGACGTCGTCGTGCACGCGCGCGCGGAGTTGGTTCACGGTTTTAATCCCGACGTTGAAGAGGTGCCGCGCCTTGGCTTCGCCGACGCCCCACACCCTCGTCAGCTCCCGCACCGCGACGACGCGGTCGTTCCGCTTCAGCTCCTCGAGCTTCTGTAAGCGACCCGTCGTGAGGATCTCGTTTATCTTCCCGCGCACGGTCGACCGTTTGCTCGCCATCGCGGGAATCACCGGAGGGTCCACGAGCTGTTCGATCCGCGTCGCTTTAAACGGCAGGTCCTTGATCGCGTTCGCCGCGAGGTTGTGGTTCTTCGCCTTGTACGGATCGCCGAGGACTTTGTCGTAAATCTCCGCGAGATCCTCGAGCTTGTCCGTGATGTGCGCGTTCAGGTTGACCCCCTTCGGCGGGTCCCGCGAGCGCTGCTGGCACGCGAGTTTCGCGCGCATCCGCCCGAGGTACGGCCGCTCCTCCTCCTCCTCGGGCGGCGGCGTCGTCGCGGCGGCGACGAGCTCCCCAGTCCCGCCGCCGTCCGCGGGCGCGATGCCGCCGCCGCCGCCGCCTCCCTCGTCGTCGCGCACGCGCGGCGACAGCGGCGACGGACTCGCCTGGCTCGCTCTCGCGCCGCCGCCGGTCGGGGGGAAGTCTTCGGGCGGGAGCGCCTCGCGAGCTTTCAGACTCTTGGATGCCCAGTCTGGATGCACGACGAAGACGCCCGCGCCGCCGCCGCCGCCGCCGCCGCCGCCCCCTCCGCCGCCGTCGTCGCGCGCGTCCGACGTGATCTCGTGCGTCACCGCCGCGGCCGAGCGGCTCTTCTCTTCGACGCGCGCGCCGGCTTCTCGCACGCGCTTCGCGAGGATCTCCCTTCGCTTCTTGGACACGGACGCGTCGAACCACGCGACGACGCCGCGGAGGAAACCGTCGCCGGACGAAGACGAGGGCGGCGGCGGCGGCGGCGGCGGCGGCGCGCGCTTCTCGTCGCTCGACTTCGCCTTCTTCCTTCGCGACGCCGCGACGATGCCCGCGGCGCGTCGGTACGGATCCACCCCCGCGCCCGCGCCCGTCGACCCCACGGCGCCCTCCGCGGCGGCCGTGACCTGCGAGCTCGTCGGCGCCCTCCTCCCCAACGCGCGGACGAGCGACGCTTCATTCTTTTCGCACAGTTGCGTCTCGCCTTCTTCGCCGTCTTCGCCCCCGACGCGGACGCCGTCCCACTCGTCCCCTTCCGTGCCGACGCCTCCGCCCTCTCCTCCTCCCCCTCCTCCATCTCGCGTCGAGCCGCCGCGCGGCACGTCGGGCGCGCGCAAGCTGGCGCCCATTTGCGTCGGCTGCGTCTCGGGCGAGGACCCGCCGCGGAGGTCGAAGCCTCCGCCGGCGCCGCCGCGAAGGGACGACGGGAGGTCGAACGCGAACGTCGCTTGGCTGTCCGACGCGCCGCCGCCGGTCTGCTCCGCGCGAAGCCGCGGGTCCGGGTCCGGGTCCGGGTCCGGGTCCGGCGCGGGCGCGCGGCCGACGCGGCGGCCGCGGCGTCTCGGCGGCGAGCCTGGAGAGGGGGCGGCGGCCGGGTCCGTCGGAATGTGGAATGTGGGCACCCCCGGCGAGTACGAGAAGATCCGACGACGACGACGACGACGCCGCGCACCTGTGACGACGTCCGCGCACCGATTCTGCGCGTCCTCGGCGCGGCGCTTCCTCTCATTCTTCTTCCGCGACGCGACCTCCACGCGCGCGCCGCCCATGCCGCGCGCGCGCTCGCTCTTCCGACTCGCTCTAACGTTCGGTCGCGACGTCCGAGTCGTCTTCTTCGTCCTCGTAGCTCGCGTCCTCGGACTCGCCGACGTCGTCCTCGTCTTCGTCCTCCTCCCCGGGGCTCTCCTCGCGGACGTCGATCCCGCGATGCGTGCGCTAACCTATCAGCGGTATCTTCGCGCGGCTCTCGCGTATCTTCGCTCGCTGCGAGGGGAGGGAAGACGTCAGGTCGACCGGTCGATTGTGTGCACCTTCACGGAGACGTCGACGACGACGCGGAGACGACGCGACGGGAAGATTTGTCGCGGCGTCCGGAAGAGCCCCCCGCGCGCACCTTGTCCTCCTCGGCCTTCTCCGCGCGCGCGAGCGCGATGGACTCGGTCGCTTCGAAGTCCTCGCGGTCGTCGACAGGTGGCGCGGGCACGCGCGCGATAGTTGGATATCGCGCGTTCAACGGCGCGAGCATGCCATCACGCGTGCCGAGGAATGATGGCTGAGTGGGCGTTTTTTCGAGCTCGTCGACAGGAAGTCTCATCCTGTCTCCTTCAAAACGAACGCCGACGGTTCCGACGCCGCACTACCGTCGGCACCGCGACGACGCGATGCTGCGCCGGGCGGCCCTCCGGGCGGGCGCCTCGAGCGGCCTGTGCGGTTCGACGTCGACGCGGACGCGCGGGTTCGCCTCCAGCGGCGCCTCTCAACTCGGATGGTTCGGCCTCGGCGGTGCGAGCGCCGATGACGCGTCGTCCGCGGCGGTCGCGGAGACCGCCGCCGACGCCGCGCGCGTCGGCGAGACCGCGACCGGGGAGCTCTCGACGACCGCGTCCACCAGCGCGTTTTCGTTCGACGCCATCCCGGACGTCGTCGGGCACGCCGCGAGCGCGCTCGCGCACGCGCACGATCTCTCCGGGCTGCCGTGGTGGATCACCATCGGCGCGAGCGCGGTCGCGGTGCGCCTCGCGCTCCTCCCCGCGGCGGTGCGCCAAGCCAAGGCGGGCGCGCTCGTGACCGCGGCGGTCGCGCGCGCGAAGGGGCCCGACGGGAAGCCGCCGAGGTCGATGCGCGACATATATAACGCCGCGAGCGAGCTCCGAAGGCGCACGAACGGCGTCGCCGTCGGATGGCTGATCGCGGGGCCGCTCGTCCAGCTCCCCGTCTTTTTCGTCGCCGTGCTCGGCGTGAGACGACTCGCGCAGCAGCCCGACATCGGGCTCGAACTCGGCGGCGCCGCGTGGTTCACGGACCTCACGCTCGCGGCGGTGGACCTCTCCACCGCGACCGCGCCGATGGGGCTGATGGGCGCGGCGTTGCCGTGCGCGACGGCGGCAGCTTTGTTCGCGAACGTCCACCGGTCGCTCGGCCCCGCCGCGGCGGCGGCGCCGGCGGCGGCGACGCTGAAGCTCTTCGTGGAGTGGCTCACGGTGCCGACGCTGATGATCGGGATGCAGCTCCCGCACGCGATTCATATGTACTGGCTCCCGGCGTCGCTGAGCGCGCTCGCGCAGGGGGCGTTCATGAGGACGCCGGAGGGGAGGCGGGCGCTGGGGATCGATCCGGATTTCGCCGCGGCGGCGAGGTATACCGCGAAGGAGCAAGCCGCCGCGGGGTTGAATTTATCCCGCGCGCTCGACGCCGACGAAGTTCGGTGGCTTCGAGACGCCGCGCAGGCGAGGGCGGACAAGAAGATTGAGGACGCGCTGCGGATGTTAGAGCGCGCGGCGGCGCGGATGCCGGCGCCGGAGGCGGAGGAGGAGCCGCCGCGAGCGGACGCCGCGGGCGACGGCGACACCCTCGACGCCGCCGCCGGCGAGACGAAGACGTCCAGAGGCAAGGCGCCGCCGCTCACCGTGAGCGCGAGCGCGCACCCGACGGTTCTGTACGCGCTGGCGCAGACGCGCATGGTCTTGAAGCTGTGGAAAGACGCCGCGAACGCGTACGAGTTGTCCGCGAAGATGGAAGTCAACGCGGAGCGCCGAGCGATGGCTTTCGCCGGCGCCGGGGTGGCGCGCGCCAACGTCGGGGACCTCGCCGCGGCGGCGACCGCGCTGGACGCCGCGATCGCGCTCAACGATAAGGACGTGAGCTCGATGATATCGCTCGCGGCGGTCAGGAAGAGGAGCGGCGATCTGAAGGGCGCGTTCGAGGTTCTCGAGAGGGCGGCGAAGATCGCCCCGGAGGTCCGAGAGCGATTCATCGCGCCCCTGGAGAAGGAGACGGCGAGGGGAGGGAAAAAAGGAGGAAACGCGCGCGCCTCCTCCGGCGGTCATAAGGTTAAGGGTGCGGGTAGGGAAAAAAACGCGCACGAGGGGGGTAGGAACGGGGGACGCGGCGATAACGATAGGAGGACGTAGCGCGACGCGTCGATTACAACTAGCTGCTAGACGGTCAACACGAAACATTCGTCGTCGTCACGACAGATCGAACCCGCTTCCGCTCGTGACGGCGTACAGAAGCTTCTCCTTCACCGCGTCTTTCGTCTTATACGGCGGCAGCTTGAGCAAGTTCATGCACGTCGCCGCGGTCGGCAGCCGCGCCAAATCCGCGGTGTCCTCGCTCGCGCGGCTCCCGCTCGACATCCCGGACCGATGCACGCAGAACGGCGGCATGAGCTGCGAGAACCCGAGCAACGGCGTGTTCGGACACGCGGTGACGAATTTCAAAAACGCGCGTTGATCCTCCTCGCGACACTCTCTCAACGCGTCCCACAGCGCCGTCACCGTCGGGTGGTCCGCGGTGTACCCGCCGCTGTACGTCGCCGACCGCGCGAGGTCGTCGATGTCGATCTTCCCGCCCGCGCCGCTGATGAGTAATCGCAGCTCCGCGGGCGCGAACACGCGCAGCCACGAGGGTTCGATCAAGCCGCGGAACCCGTCCACGAACGCTTTCGATTGCCTCCGAATCCTCGCGTGCATGAGGTGATGCGCGAGGAGGTGGACGTACCGCCCGCGGTTCTCTCCGTCGACGCGAATCTCGGACCCGCCGGGGATCAAGTCGACGTCGCCGCCGACGCCGTCCGGGTCGGACGCGGTGAAGTGCAGAAACAGATCCTCGACGTCGCGCGCGGGGAGACGTTTCAGCGACAACAGGTGGTGGTACAGCTCCGGGTCTAGCGTCGCGAGGTCGTTCAGCTCCGGCGGTCGGCCGTCGCGAAGTTTCGCGAGGAAAAAACCCGCGAGAGGGAGGTCCACGAGGATACCCTCGTACACCGCCTTCCCGAGCATCGCGCCCAAGAACTCGAGCTTCCGAAGGTGGTCCGCCCCCGCGTGTTTCCACGACGCCGGGTTCGGGTACAACGTCCGGTCCGGGGTCTCGACGAATAATCCAACCTTCGGGTCGAACGCCTCTTCGATCAACGCGCTCAGAAAATCTTTGAACAGACCGCCGCCGTCGACGCCGGCTTCCTCGACGCCGTGCTCGTTCACGAAGTTGACGCGAACGACGCCTTTCAACGACCCGGGGGGGCGCTCGCCGACGTGATCGTCGCGCCACCGTCGGTTCTCGTGTTTCAACGCCGCCGGTCCGAGCGCGTCGAGCGCGTCCGCGAAGACCCGGCCGCGCGTGACTTGGATGTGATGCTCCGGGGTGAACCCGAACGCTTCCATCGGCCCGCCGCGGCCCGCGTGATCGTTTCGATCGCGAAAGATGGAGTTTTTGAACCACCGCACGCGCGCGCCGAACGGCACCAGGATCGGCGCGCGACGAAGGAGTTCCGCGGCGCGGTTCCGTCGAAAACCGCCCGCCGCGGTGCGTTTTTTATCCCCGGCGCCGTTCACCGGATTCGTCGCCTCGTCCAAGAACGCGTCCACGGACGAGCTCCGATCGCCGCCGCCGGCGTCGTCCTGGCGGAAGAGCTCCGGGGCGTGGAACGACTCGGGCGGGATCAGACGAAGCCGCCCGTTGCGGTCGTGCACCTGCGCGAGCGCGCGCGCGAGCGCGCGCGCCGCCGACCCTCTCGCGCCGTCTCCCTCGCCGCCGACCGCGAGCGCTCTTCCCGCGTCGTCGCCGCCTTGCATACTGCCGCCAACCGCGGCGGCGTCGCCGCCGTCGGGGTCGACGTCCACCCACAGAATCCGCCACAGCGCGTCGCGAAGGCACGCGACGAGCGTCGGCGTCTCCTCCGCCGGGAGCGGCTCCCCCGCGTCGCCCGCGGCGGCGAACTCTTCGTCGTCGCCGGTGAGCAGGAACGTCCCGTACGCGGCGGCGAACGCGCCCAGGCTCTCGAGCCACGGCGTCGAGACGGACTGCGTCGCGCTGTCGTCCGTGACGCGCGGCCACGCGCGGTTCGTTTGAAACGCGCGCAGCGTGCGCCACGCGCGTCGAACGAGCGGCGTGCCGAAGGCGAGCGCGGACATCAGCGCGCCGCGTTCGGACGCGCGCGATCGCGCGGAGACGGACGCGACGAGCGCGGCGACGGAGCGCACGCCGATCTGCGCGGCTGAAGACGCGGATGACGCGGATGACGCGATCGTCGGGCGCGGCGGCGGCGGTCGCGCGGCGGCGCCGAACGCGGGCGCCGCCGCGGCGCCGAATCCAAACGCTGGCGGCGGCGGCGGCGCGGTCGGCGCGTCTTCCATCGCCTCGTCCGCGGCGTCGGCGCTCCACCCGTCGTCTTCCCCCGGCAGCGCGTCGATCACGAGCCACTTCAACAGCGCGCCGTTTCTTAAGCACTTCAGCTGCTCCACGAGCTGCGGCGGGGTGCTGACTCGCGCGGCGCCGCCGCTCGCCGCGGCGGCGCGTCTTCTCGCCGCCGCGCGTCTTAAGCCTTCGTCGTCGTCGTCGTCGCTGTCGACCTCGTCGTCGCTCTCTATGTCGTCGTATCCCACGTCCATCGCGGCGGACTCGCCGTCCACGTCCATGGCGTCGCCGGCGACCGCGGGCGCGGACCAAATCAGCGCGCCGGGAGGAAACTGCCGCAACGCGTCGGACGCGAACGCCGCGAATCCGTTCGCCGCGAACCACTTTTCGCGCGCGCTCCCGTCGCCGCCGCCGCGGCGACGCGGCGCCTTCGCCGCGGCCTCCGCGATGTTCCCGAGCAACCACCCGATCGCGGGGAACGCGCTGCCGGTGTCGTCCCCCGCCGGAAGCGACGCGGGGGGGCACCGACGAAGGCTCTCCACGGCTCGCGCCCACACTTTATGCGGCCACCTCTCTCCGCCGGCGCTCTCGACGCTCAACGCGGACGCCGCGCCGCCGGCGCGTCGCCACAGCGACGGGATCGTCAGAATCTGCGGCGCGAATCGTTTCTCGGGCGTCGCGACGGCGTCCGCGCACGTCTCCAGCGCGCGCTCGCTCACGTCGCGGACGAGCGTCTCGAGGGCATCGTACGCGCGATATCGTTCGCCCCCGAGTCGCATCCGAGCGAGAATCATCCTCCTCAGGCGAGCGAACAAGTCGTCTCTCCCCGCGAGCGTCGTCAACACCTCCGTCGCGACCTTCCCGTCAACACCTCCGTCGGCCCCCGCGGACGACCCGCGCGTCGCGAGCTGAACGACGCCCGTCAGCGGTTCGACGAACCCGCGCTCCCGCGCGAACCCCTTGTCGTGCTCGGTCAGGCACTCCAACGCCGCCGTCGCGAGCCTCCGCGCGCGCAGCTTCACCCTCGCCGCCGACGTCGCGTCTAGTCGATGCGCGCCCTCGAACAGGACGCGATGCCGGCTCGCGTGGTGGCCGTCGCACGCGTCCGCGAACAGCGACGCGTCCGCGGCGACGCGCGGGTCGACGAAGAAGAGCAGCTTCGCGAAGAAGTCGGCGACGTCCGCGTCCGCGTCCGCGGCGTCCGCGCGCGCCGACGGCGGCGTCGAGCGCGCGTCGCCGTACGTCGCCGTCCACTCGTCTCGAACCGCGCGCCGCGCGGCTTTCAGATCGCGGCTCGCGCGCCACGCCGCCTGCGTCGTGAATAGGGGGGGAGGGTGACGGGGACGCGAGCGAGCGAGTGAGCGCGAACGAAAGACGATCGAGATGCGGTGGGCGGAGAGATGCGCCGGGCAAAGTCCTTAAGGATCGGCGTTCACCACGCCAACGCGGTCGTATGGGGACCAGTGTATAGAACGATCGCGTTCGGAGACGTGCGGGTGCCGATTCGAAGGACGTTCGTCGACGCGCGGATCTGAGCGCGAGGACGCGCCTGGACCGTCGTCGCGGACCGCGTCTCCGCGCGAAGCCTTCCTCGCCGCTCGCGGTCCGCCCTCGCCTGCTCCACGAGCGCGGCGCGGTCGGGTTTATCCGCGCTCTTCGACGCCCCGCCGAGCGCGACCCTCGACGTCGGCTTGTGGTTCCCGTCGAAGAACCGGAGGGAAGGCATCTTCGCGTCCTCCTCCTCCTCCTCCTCCTCCGCGTCGGCGTCCTAGCTAGACGCCGTCGTCCTACGCGTCCGTCGTCGCTCGAGCGCGGTCGACGGTCGCGTCGCCTCCGCGGCGGGACGTCCGTCGCGTCCGCGTCTGGCGACGTTCGCGCGGGGGAGAGTGACGCCCGTCGAGCTCCCGCCTCTCCCCGACGTCGTCGTCAACATCGTCGCGTCGAAGCGACGACTGCGACTGGACTGCGACTGGACGCGGACGAGTCGTGTTCGCCGTGAGACACTGTCTGCTGTTTCAAGCGACCGTCGAGCGTCCCGCGCCTCGTCACTTCGAGGAGCGCGTCTCGGGATCGCGCGCGTGGCCTCGGGGCGAGCGCGGACGCACGCGCGAACGCACCGCGCGGCGCCATGAGCAAGATCAGCCTGCACACCGGCCTCAGCACCGGCGGCGTCGCGGGGCTTCGAGGGTTGAACATCTTCATCCAGGACGTCCGAAATTCTAAATCGAAAGAGGCGGAGCTCGAGCGCGTGGAGAAGGAGCTCGCGAACATCCGGAGCAAGTTCAAGAACAAAGGGCTGTCGTCGTACGAGAAGAAGAAGTACGCGTCCGCGCGGCCATCGCGCGCGTTTCTCGGGGAAACCCACCGCGGCGACGTCGCGATCTCGCGCGTCGCGCGACCCGTTCTTCTCTCGCGCGGCCCGACCGAGGAAAAAAGAAAAATCAAACGACGCCCGCCCGCGTCGTCGATCGATCGCGCGACTGACCCCCCCTCCCCCGTCGTCCCAGGTACGTGTGGAAGCTCCTGTACATCTTCATGCTCGGGTACGAGGTCGACTTCGGGCACATGCAAGTCATCGGCCTCATAAGCGCGACGAAGTTCGCGGAGAAGCAGGTTGGCTACACCGCGACGTCAGTGCTCCTGAACGAGACGCACGAGTTTTTACGACTCGTGATCAACTCCGTGAGAGAAGACATCATCGGACGGCACGAGTCGCATCAGTGCCTGGCGCTGTCGTTCGTCGCGAACGTCGGCGGCAGAGAGTTCGCGGACTCGCTCGCCGCGGACGTCCAGGTCGTGTTGACGAACAGCGCGGTCCGACCGATCGTTCGGAAGAAAGCCGCGCTCGCGTTGCTCAGGCTGTTCAGAAGGAACCGCGAGATCTTACTTCCGGAGACGTTCGCGCAGAAGATGCTGAACCTGCTCGACGAGAGGGACTTGGGGATACTCACCGGGGTGATATCGCTCCTGACCGGGATCGTGAGCCACGACTACCGCGGGTACGAGGCGTGCATCCCGAAAGTGTGCGACGTCATGAACCGACTCGCGAGGAACAAAGACGTCCCGCTGGACTACCTGTACTACGCGCTCCCGTCGCCGTGGCTGCAAGTCAAGTGCATGCGCGTCCTGCAGTACTACCCCACCCCGGAGGACCCGGAGTATCGGCAGGCGGAGACGGACGTGATTCACCAGATTTTGACCGGGACGAACATGGTTCGGAACGTGAACAAAAACAACGCGTTGCACTCCGTGCTCTTCGAAGCCGTAAACCTCGCCAACATGCTCGACTTGGAAGACCGCACGTTGCTCACGGAGTCCATAGAGACGTTAGGGTCGTTCGTGGAGATGGAGGAGCCAAACATCGTGTACCTCGGCCTGCAGTACCTCACGAAGATGGTCGCCCCGGACACGTTAGAGGCGATCAAGCAGTACGAGTCGCTCGTGGTGACGCGGCTGCATCACGGGGACATCTCCATTCGCAGGCGCGCGTTGGACTTGCTCTACGCGATGTGCGACGGGAACAACGCGAAGCAGATCGTGGGGCACTTACTCACGTACATGATCACCGCGGACTTCAACATACGCGAGGAGCTCGCGCTGAAGACGGCGATCCTCGCGGAGCGATACAGCGGCGGTTCGGTTCAAAACAAGCGGTGGTTCCTGGACGTCTCCCTCGCGCTCATCGAAAAAGCCGGCGACTACGTGTCGGACGCGCACTGGCACAGGGTCGTGCAGATCGTGACGAACGCGCCGGAGCTGCACGAGCCCGCAGCGCGCGAGTCGCTCGCGAGGCTGAGAGACGGCGCGTCGCACGACATGTTCGTGAAGCTCGCGGCGTACCTCTTGGGCGAGTTTGGACACGCTCTCGCGGCGACGGAGCGTCCGTCGTCGTACGCGTCGATTTTGATGGCGATGCACGAGCGGGTGGGGACGCACGCGCGGGAGATCATCCTGAGCGCGCTCGCGAAGATGTGCATGCACGCGGGCTCGGACGAAGCGCTAAGGAAGATGGTCGGGGAGCTGTTCAAAGCGGACGCGAGCACGGCGGCGGTGGAGCTGCAGCAGCGCGCGGTTGAGTATTACGTGATGACAAACACCAAGGATTACCACGCGACGTTGCGGAGCGTCATGGACCAGATGCCGGAGTTTCCGAACCGGGAGAGTAAGCTGGAGAAGAACTTGGAGGAAGCCGTCGGCGAGACCGCGGACGCGGCGGTGGTGAAGAGGGACAGAGTCGCCGCGACCGCGACCGCGGTGATCGCCGCGAACCGATGGCGCGCGGGGCGGGGCGGCGGCGGCGGCGGCGGCGGCGGCGGCGCGACGGCGGATGCGAACGACGTGCCGACGATGGGGCTCGCGGATTTGCTCGGCGGGTCGTCCGTGCCCGACGCGCTCGGCGGGGAGCGCGGCGGCGGCGCGGCGGAACCGGCGACGGCGACCGCGGGGGCGATGATAGACCCGCTGGAGGCGATGATGGGCGCGGCGGCGATAACGCCCGCGGCGGCGGGGGCGGGGGCGACTATGGATCCTCTCGAGGCCCTGATGGGCGGCGCGCCCGCGGCCGCGCCGGCGGCGATAACGCCGGCCGCGGGCGCGCTGATAGATCCGCTCGAGGCGATGATGGGCGGCGCGCCCGAGCGACCGGCGGCGGCGCCCGCGGCGTCGACTTACGGCGGGTTGGACGATCTCCTCGGCGGCGGCGGCGGCGCGCCGCCGCCCGCGCCCGCGCCGACGGACGACGTCGCGGCGATCATGGACCCGCTCGCGGCGGCGCCGGCGCACCGCGCGCCGCCGCCCGCGCCGGAACCCCAACACGTGGCCGCTGCCGCCGCGGTCGTCGATCCGTACGCGGCCGCGGCGCCGCCGCCGTCGGTGTCCGCGACGCCCGCGGTGGCGCCCACCGTAAACGTCGCGGAGTGCCTCAAGAAATTGCGCGCCGCCGACAACGGGCTCCTGTACGAAGACCCGTACATTCAGATCGGCGTCAAGTCGCAGTGGCAAGGGAACCAAGGCAGGGTGATGTTCTACCTCGGGAATAAGCACGATGCCGACTTGAACCAGCTCGAGCTGACGCTGTCGTCGACGCCTGGTCTGAACGCGCGCCTCGCGCCCGCGCCGCCGTCTCTCGGGTCGAAGAAGCAGGTCCAGGTTTTACTCGAGCTCGCCGCCGCGAGCGGGTACGCCGGGTCCCCGGTGGTGACGCTCAGATACGACGTCGCCGGCATCGGGTCCGTGCACCAGAACCTCACGACGCCGTACGGCGCGCACAAGTTCTTGACGCCGTGGGCGGCGCCGGACGCGGGGGCGTTTTTCGCCAAGTGGCACGAGACGACCGCCGCCGCGCAATCCGTCGACGTCGTCACCGTCTCCGCCGAGATTTCCTCGGGAGGGCTTCCCGCGATCGAGCGCGCGCTGACGAGCGTGAACGCGCACGTCCTGCCCGGATTGGACCCGAACGTGAACAATGTCGTCGCGGCGTCGACGGTGACGTATTCGAACGGCGCGGAGTGTTTCGCGCTCGCGAGGGTGGAGTCGGATGCGAACAACCGCGCGGTGTTTCGCGTGACCGTCGCCGCGAGCGACCGAGGGACGATGGAGGGGGTGCAGGCGGCGCTGTATTCGCAGATCTTGGCGCCGTGAGCGAATCGAATCGATCGATGGGGGATGGACGCTTTAGAGAATCCGGTCGGGACGCTTTTAACGAACGCGTTAACTCGACGACGACCCCCGGCGCTCGCGCTTCGAAACAAATCGATCGATCGATCAAATCACTTTTCGTTCCGATTTATTACACCCGCTCTTTTTCGTTCTACTCTAGATGGCGAGCCAGTACACGGTCGCGATGCACTGGATCGTCTGGCTCTCCCACAGCACCGTGTGCTTACCGTCCACCGCCGCGTCCCACAGCGCGGTGCTGGCGGTGTGCATCCCACCCCCGGTCTTTTGCACAAAGTTGCACGTCACTGGAGAGAAGACGAGGACGAGGACGGAGGAGGGCGGGCGTCAGCGGAGGGAACGGGGCGGACGAGCGGACGGCGGCGCGAGCGCGCGAGGCTCGGTTCGTTCGTTCGCGCACCGATGTACTTGAAAGGTTTCTGCAAGCCCGCGAGTTTCTTAAGGCACCCCTCCTGCGAGACGAGACGGGAAGGAAGAGGGGACGGTGAGTTCGGTCGAACGAACGATTCGCGCGCGACGACGCGGCGAGGCGCGCTCGGTCGCAATTGAAACGCGACGGGTCCGCGGACGCACCACGACGTTCGACGTCCACTGGTTCACCTTCGAGTGAAGGAAGCTGTTCGTGCCGACCGCGCTCTCGATGCACTGCGGGCGATCAGCGACGAGGTTGGGGGGGAGGTCAGCGTCGATCGGTCGTTCGGAAGCGCGCGAAGGGGGAGCGAGCGCGGTCGAAAATCAATCAGTGGACGCGCGAGCTCGGACGCGCGCGCACCTCTCTCACGATGGTGTCCATCTCCTCGTTCGTGATGAGCTGGTCCTCTCTAAGCCCGGAGATGAGCCCGGTTTCTTCGTCGAGGCCGCCCATGGTGATGCGCGCGCGTCGTCGGGGACGAGCGCGAGGCTGAGTGACGTGCGCCCGATTTGGAGCGCAGCTCAACGGCGATTTGTCGAGACAGCGCACGGCGACTGGACGGGCACGGTTTTTTTCAGCGCGGCGCGCGTCGACGACTCGCGTACGCGTGGTCTCGTGATTGAACGATGCGCGCTACGCTCGCTAATCTGCGTGCGCGTGCGGCCTATCCCCCGGCGGCGGGTTCGCTCCCCCCTCGGCGCCTCCGCCGCCGCCGCCCAACGCGCGCGCGATGTCGTCGTTCCCGCCGCCGCCGCCGCCGCCGCCGCCCGCGCCGCCTCCGCCTCCGCCGCCGCCGACGCGTCGCGCGCCCCCTCCCCCCATGAACACCCCCGCCCTCGGCTCCGCGACGAATCCCCCTCGCCCCCACACCTCCCCGTTCGGCCCGTCCACCTGCCCGAACGCCCACTTCAACGCGCGCGGCGTGCGTAAGATCCGCCGGTTCGTCATCGTCGGGTAGACGTCTTCGAGGAAGTAATACGCGTGGCCGGCGCCCATGCCGAGGAGGTCGACCACCGGCGAGCTCCCGAGCATGACGCTGAAGATGAGCAACACCCACGGGAGATACGGCGCGGTGAACGAGAAGAGCCCGAGGAAGGACATGTTCACGTACGAGTTCCTTCGGCCCCAGACGTAGACCATCATGAACGTGAGGCTCGAGCCGAGGAATTGGATGTTCACGAACGGCGCCGCGAAGGAGAGCAGACACCCGCCGAACACGAGCATGGTGAAGAAGTCCGCGCTTCTACCTCGGAACGTCCCTTCCTCGAGTAAGCGGCAGTACCGCGAGAGGAAGAACATGTGAAACACGAAGTCCATCCCGAGCGACCCGAAGAAGAAGAAGTTGGTGAAGAGCCTCCAGAGCTGGTACTTTCGGAAGATCAGATGGCTGTTGTAGTACACGCTGAACGGGGAGATGAGCTCCAACGCGCATCCCGCGGTGGTGAGGAACGACAGCGTGAGGTACGACCGCGTCACGATCGGCATCTGGCGGTACCATTGCTCCAGCGTCATCGGCATCGCGCGCGGATCTCGCGGCCGCGCGTCGATCGATCGATCCCTAAATTTATTTTCTCAACGAACGAACGACACGCGGAGGTAACACCGAACGACGGACGACGCCGGCGGCGCGACGTCGCGGATCCTCGCGAGCGGAAACGCCGCTTCCGAGCTCGCTCGCGGTGTCGGGACGCGCGTCTCGAACCCGATCGCGCCGGTTCGAACCGTTCGAGGCGCGTCGCGAAGTGAGCCTCAGATCCCACCGCGACGGCTCCAGTTCCTCGCGTCGCGTCGCGTCGTCGTCGTCGATGAAAGTCACATCAGACGAGAAAACCACGATCGACGCCGTCACACGTCCCAGGCGCAGCGCGCGATCATGGCGCAAGATAAGCTCAAGGTGCTCTTCGTGGGCGACGTCGAGGGCAGGTTCGACGAGATCTTCACGCAGGTGAACGCGGTAAACGCCAAGGCGGGGCCGTTCGCCGCGATGCTCTGCGTCGGGAGATTCTTCGCCCCCGACGGATGCAGCGACGCGCTCATGCCGTACCTCACCTCGGAGAAGCGCATATCCGTCCCGACGTACTTCATCACCGGCGACGAGGACCCCGGCAAAGGCAGCACGTCGCTCGTGGACGACATCCAGGACGGCGGCGAGGTGTGCAAGAACCTCACGTTCCTGGGCCGAGCCGGCGCGAAGCGATTGCCGTGCGGCCTCAGCGTCGCGTACCTCTCCGGCGCGTACAAGCCGGACAAGTACGCCCTGGACGCCGCGTTCGCGGGGCGACGCAACGCGAAGACGCTCGCGCCGCACTACATCTCCAGCGACGTCGACGAGATCGTGCGCGCCGCGCGCGGGGGCGAGGACGGGGAAGAGAACGAAGAGTTTTCGCTCGCCGGCGTCGACGTCTTGCTCACCGCCGAGTGGGGCGAGAAGTTCGACGCGTTGCTTCCGGACACGATGTCGCACCCGCTCGCGAGCGCGACGGAGGATAACTTATCGCCCGCGGTGACGCGGCTCGCGACGGAGGTGGCGGCGAGGTATCACGTCGCGGGGACGGAGGGCGCGTATTTCGCGCCGCCGCCGTATCGAAACGCGCTCCACGCGACGCGGTTTTACGGGTTGGGGAAAGTAGGAAACGCCGCCGGCGCGAAGAGCTTGGTCGCGGTCGCGGTGACGCCGACCGCGCAGCTCGCGCTCGATGCCGCGCGGACGGGCGCGCGCGACGGCGGCGACGCGTGCACGCCGTGCCCGTACACGTACGAGCGTCCGAAACCGCGCGTCGCGGAGCCCGAGGAGGACGCGGAGCCCGAGGAGGACGCGTCGACGCCGGCGGCCGCCGTCGGACCGGCGCCGCGGGATCATAACGCGCCGAAAAGACACGAGGACCTCCCGTCCGGGGAGTGGAAGTGCGGGATGTGCGGGAACGTCAACCGCGCGCATCAGCAGAAGCAGTGCCACATGAAGAAGTGCGGCGCGCCGAGAGAGGGGGACTTGGAGCTGTGGAGGATGCAAAACATGAGTTTCAACGGCAGAGGCGCCAAGCGCGACGCGGACGGCGCCATCGTGAACGCGCTCGGGGGCGTCCGCGGCGCGGGCGGGGGCGAAGGGAGGGTGTACAGCATGATGTCCAAGGCGGAGGCTGAGGCCGCGGCGGCGGCCGCGGCCGCGGAGAGAGCCGCGGCGGCGGAGGAGGAGGCGGCGAAGCGCGCGAAGATGACCGCGAAAGAGAGGACGTCGTTGTACGCGTCGCAGAAGACGATGACGGCGAAGCAAAAGTACAGAAAAGGGACGTCTAATCCGGGGGCGTGGAGGTGATCGTTTCGTTAGTCTAGGTGGTCCGTGTAGTTCTCGCGTTAGTCCGCATGCGTCATCGACAGCTCGCGCTCGAGTTTGGTCACATGCGCTTTCGCGTGCGCGTGGATATTGCGGGTATCGTGGGTATCGCGGGTATCGCTGCGCTCCACCGCGACGCGCCACCACTTCAGCGCCTCCTTTTTGTTCACCGCAACGCCGCACAAGCCCTGTTCGTAGAAGAGCCCGAGATCCCACGCGGCAATTCCTGATCCCAGCTCCGCCGCCTTGAAGTACAATTCGACTGCCTTTGCTTCATTTTTCTCCACGCCGTCGCCCTCCTTGTATAAGTAGCACCACGCGAGTTCGTAGGTCGCGTGAGCGTGCCCACACCCGGACGCTCTTTCGTACCACTCTGAAGCCTTCTTGTGGTCAAGCGTCTCGCCGAACCCGTCGAAGTACAGGTAGCGCTCTGCCATCTCGAACATGGCGTCGACGTCTCCACGATCGGCAGCTTTACGCAACCAGTAGATCGAATGCTCATACTTCCCATCGATGTAAAGCTCATAACTGAGCGCGGACAACGCACTTAGAGAGCCCCCAGGCAACGACGCGTCAGACTTTTCCGCGTCCCTCCACACCTTGCTCACCTGAGCGAGCGCGACGCGGTCTCGCGGGTCGTCCCCGAGGTGCGAGAACACGACGGCCGCGACGTTCTCGGGGATGGCGTTGAAGCCGATGCTCGAACGCGTCCGCATGGCTCGGATCTGAGCGTGCGGCGGAGGGGGGCGCGCGGAGGAAGTGCTGTGGTCGACCGACCTCGGCCGGAAGCCGCGTGTTTTCGAACTGAACGTTCCTGAGCGGCGATATCTCGGGCTGGCGAGGCACTGGTGAGCTCGCCGCGGTGAGAAGGACCCGCGGACGCTCACACGACGCGGAGGAGTCGACGACGGCGGTTGTCGACGGCCGCGCCGCGATGGCGCGCGCGGGGACGCGATGGCTCCTCGCGCCGCCGCTGCTGCTGCTGCTGTGCTTCGCGAATGAAGCCGCGGGCGGCGTCGACGAGGGCGCGTCCTCGGACGCCGCGCTCGTCGCCGCGCGCTACGGCGGGACGCACGTCGGCGGGAAGGTGTACGTGCACGACCTTCTCCCCGCGCGCGGGCCCGCGTTCGGGGGCTCCGAGGTGACGATATACGGTGAGAACGCACCCCGTCCGTCGTCGCGAATCGTTCCTCGCCTCGCGCGTCATCATTTCATTCGTCTCTTGTTGAATTCTCTCCGTCCGCCCCACCCACCATCTGACGCGCGCGCGCCCCTCCATCGTCTCCCTCGCAGGCGCCGGGTTCACGACGAACATGGCGTGCCAGTTTGGCCCGCACACGGTCCGCGCGCACGCGGTCTCCCCAATCGGCGACAGGATGCTGTGCGTCACGCCGCCGTACGGACGACCGGGAGGCGGATTCACCGCGGTCGGGCTCACGATATCCTCCCTCGACGCACAGCTGTACTCCTCCGCCGACGCCGACGCCGCGCGCGGCCGCGCGGTCGTCTCCCCGCGCGGCGCACAGGGGTTCGAATATACGCCGACGTGGATCACGCGCGCGGCGCGGCCGTCCGAGAGCGACGCGAACGGCGGCGCGGTCTTGACCGTCGTCGGCGCGCATCTCCAAACCGCGGGCGCGTGCGCGTTCGGCGCCGACGTCGCGGGCGGCGTCCGGCTCGCGGGGCGCGCGGCGACGCACGTGGTGTCGTCCGCGCTGATACGGTGCGAGGTCCCGAAGCGAGAGGTCGGCGACGGGTCGCTGACGCTCGCGTCGGAGACGCCGGAGGAGGACGCGGCGCGGCGCGCGCGCGGGTGGGGAGCGCCCGCGCTCGCGGCGTCGCCGACGCCGTACGATCCGGAGGACGAGGTCCCCGGGCTCGCGCTCACCGCCGTGCGCGTGCCGGTCGTCAGCGACGTGACCGTCGGCGACGCGAGCGACGGCGGCGGCGCGGCGACGATCACGATGTGGGGCGCCGGGTTCGACGTGGGCGGGTCGTCGCGCGCGGCGGCGACGGGCGCGGCGGCGGCGGCGGCGGCGAGCGAAGACGACGCGGACGCGGAGACGGAGACGAGGGCTCCGCCGAGGAGAAACGCGGGCGGGTGCCGCGTCGGGACGACGTGGGTCGCGGCCGCGACTACTTCCAGGGTGCACGCGTCGTGCGTCATCCCGTGGAGGGCTCCGAGCGCGGTGCGCGTGCCGGTGGCGTATCACGACATGCGCGACCACGCGACGGGCGGCGCGGTCGTCTCGAGCTCGAGCGGCGAGAACGCGTTCACGTTCAACCCGCAGTCCGCGCCGCACGCGCTCGCGCTCGTGCCGTCCGCGGCGCCGACGGACGGTGACACCATCGTGTACGTGTTCGGCGAGCTCGGGATGGGCGGGGGAGGCGTCAACGGCGCCGGCGTCGCGTCGCGATCGTTTCAATGCGACGGCGGCGGCGGCGGCGGCGGCGACGGCGCGACGTCGTCTTCGTCGTCGATCGTTCAGCTCGCGGCGTGGACGTTCGCGTGCTACGCGTCCCCGCGCGGCCCAGGCTTCGTCGCCGCGCCGAGGGCGTCGTCCGCTCTCGCGCAGACGCCGAACGCGGCGACGGACGCGGTGTTCGCGTACGCGCGAGCCCCGGTCGTGCGTCGGCTGTCCCCCGCGGAGGGCGGCGGCGTCGGCGGCGAGCCGATTTGGATCTCCGGCGCGGATCTCCACCTCGTCGGCGACACGCGCTCGCCGTCCAGCGTGCTCTGCCTCGTGGACGACCGCGTCGCCGTCCCCGCGCGCGTGGTCTCCTCCGCGCTCGCGTCGTGCGAGCGCCCGAGGAGCGCGTCCACCGGCGGCGGCGGATCAGGCGGCGAGACGCGGTCGGTTCGATACGAGCTCGGCTCGCACGCGATTGGGTTTTCGCGCGGCGGTCGGGCGTTCGACGCGTGGCCTCCGTCGATGACCGTGACCGGCGTGGAACCGCGCGCGATCGCGAGCGGCGGCGGGACCGCGGTGACGTTGCGAGGGAAGCACTTCGCGTCCTCCCCGGGCGCGGCGGCGTGCCGGTTCGGCAGCGTCGGCCCGGTGGCGGCGTCGACGTCGGCGGCGGACGCGTTGACGTGCGTCTCTCCGGCGGCGGCGCTTTCGGCGCGCGGCGCGCTTCGCGTGTACGGGCCCGTCGCCGGCGGCGTCGTGGGGGTAGAAGGGCACGGCGTGCACGTGATAAGAGACGGCGGCGACGTCGTCGTGGGCGGCGTCGGCGTCTTCCCCGCGCGCGCGTCCTCCGCGGGCGCCGCGGGGGAAGAGGCGGACGCCGCCGCGGACGCGGAGGAGGACGCGTCGTCGACCGCGGCGGCGACCGGCGGCGAGGATAACAACGGCCGAGGGTCCGTCGCGGGCGCGGAGCTGCGGGCGTACGCGACCGGCGCGACGTCTCCACTCGAGTGGCTCGCTGGGAAAGGTAACGTTCGAACGTGGTGCGTTTTCGACGCGTCGCAATCCGTCGGCGGCGCGTCGGCGGCGCCGGCGTACGCCGCGACCGGCGGCGCCGGCGGCGTCGCGTGCCGCGCCCCGCTCGGTCCTCCCGGGTTCGCCGCGCTGCGAATCGTCGCCCTCGGTGGCTCGGAGACGACCACGCCGACGCACGTGGAGTTCGCGCAGCACCCGGTCGTGCAACGACTGTACGGTCCGCACCCCGGGGAGCCGTCGCTCGTCGTCGGGTCGCCCGCGGTGATGGACGTCGTCGGCGGCGGTTTTTTCCACGGCCTCTCGTGCGCGTGGAACGGCGTCGCGCGCGCGCCCGCGAACGTCGTGTCCTCCGCCGCCGCGCGGTGCGAGTGGAGCGGCGTCGGCGTCGGCGTCGGCGTCGGCGCGGAAGTCGTGGTGTTGGGGCTCGCGGCCGGGAACCTCGGCGCGTCCGGCGCGTTCGACGGACCCGTCGCGGCGACGCGGAAAACCCCCGCCGTCGTCGCCGCGATCGCGCCGTCGACGACGCTCACGCGCGGCGGAACCTCGATCCTCTTCTCCGGCCACGGGTTCGTCACCGCGACCGAGGGTTGGTGTCACATCGGCACGATCGGCCCGATCGCGGCGACGCGCGTGGGCGTGGACGGGACGCGGTGCGTCGCCCCCGCGCGCGCGGCTGGCTCGACGCGCGTCGCCGTCGCCGGCGCGGTGGCCTCGAGCGACATCTCGCTGACGTACGTCTCCGGCGGCGGCGACGACGCCAGCGCGGACGGACGACGAAACGTCGTCGACGTCCTCCCCTCGCGAGTCAGCGCGGAGGGCGGCGTCGCGAGCGGCGAGGGCGTCGCCGCGTACGCGGACGACGGCGCGCTCGCGGCGGCGTGCGTCCTCTTCGGCGGCGGCGGCGGCGGCGACGACGACGCCACGACCGCCGCCTCGGACGCCCCCGACGCGGTCTCGACGCCGGGGCGGACGTGGTGCGGCGCGCTGCCGCCCGCGCCCGCGGGGTTCACCGTCCTCGCGCTGACGACGACGTTCGCGCTCGCGAAGGACGCGGCGAGGGCGAAGAATCGGTGGCCGTCGCGCGCGGACGCCGCCGCGGCGGGCGAGATCGAGATCGTCGCGTCGCCGTCCGTCTCGTCGCTGATGCCTCGAGACGCGATCGCGGGCGTGGACGAGGTCTTGACCCTGCACGGCGCGAACATGCGGCGCGGGGACGGAGCGTGGTGCGCGTTCGGCGACGGCGCGGCGACGGCGGCGAGGGCGTTGTCCTCCGCGGTGACGACGTGCGAGCTCCCGCCGCCGCCGGCGTCGCGGTCCGTCGCCGCGGCGTCCGCGCAGCTCGCGCCGGTCCGTCGCCGCGTGGATCTCACTCCGACGCGACGCGCGGGCGCGTCGACGCCGTGCACGGACGCGGACGTCGGCGCGGGCGCGTCGTGCGTCGCGTTCAAGCACTACCGCTCCCCCGGGGAGGCGTCGTCGGCGGCGCCGGCGTCGATTCCGAGCGACGGCGGCGTCGACGTCGCGCTTCGCGGCAGGTCCTTCCCGGACGCCCCCAAGCTCGGATGCAGGTTCGGGTCCGTCGGCCCGATCGCCGCGGCGTGGGAGAACTCGGAACGGATCGCGTGCGTCGCGCCGGGGATGGCGCCGCGCGTCGGCGTCCGCGTCGGCGTCGTCGTCGGCGGCGCCGCGCCGTCGGTGACGGTCAGGTCGCGTCTCGTCGCGGACGCGGCGGTTCCCGGCGTCTCGCGAAGAGACCCTCGCGGCGCGAGCGTGGAGTTGCGGTACCGGTACGCCTCCCCCGCGGGCGTCGGCGTCGCGGAGCGCGACGAGGCGATGACGTGCCGGATGGCCGTCTCCGGCGCGGCGTCGAAGGCGGTCGCCGCGACGACGACGACGACGACGACGAGCGGCGACGGCGGCTTTTTCGGCGCGCGTTGCGTCGTCCCTCCCAACCCGACCGGGGACGGCTTCGACGTCGTCGCCATCGCGTTCGCCGCGGAAGCGACCGGCGTCGTCGTGGACGCCGCGGGCGGCGTGACGTTCGAGTACGTCGAGGACGCGCCCGCGGTGAGCGCGCAGCCGTCGAGCGCGTCCGCGGAGGGCGGCGGCGTCGTCTTCGTCGTCAGCGTTCCCGGCGGCGCGCGGGGGTTCGCGCTCGGCGCTGACCGCGGCGACGGCGCGCGGCGCGCGAGGTGCGTCTTCGGCGGCGCGACGACGGACGCGCGAATTCACTCGTCCGCGCTCGCGTCGTGCGAGACCCCACACAGAGCGACCGAGGGCGTGGCGCCGTTCGACGTCGTCGTCGGGGAAGCGGTCTCGGGCGGCGACGCCGTCGGGTCGTTCGCGCACGCGCCGCCCGCGATCGTCGCGGACGTTTTCCCGGCGGCGACGGATTGGTTGTCCGGCGCCGTGCTGACGCTCACCGGGCGAGGATTCACCGCGGACGGCGGCCTGGGCTGTCGCGTCGGGACCGTGTACGCGATCGCGATGCAGTGGGTCAGCGCGGGCGAGGCGCGGTGCGCGACGCCCGCGCACGCGGGCGCGAGGACGTCTGCGATATCCGTCGCGTCGTCCGTCGCGGAGCCGCCGCCGTCGCTCGGTCGGCCGCTCGCGGTGCGATTCACCGTCAGCGCGGAGCTCATGGACCCGCGCGGGAGGCCCGGCGGGAGGTCGATCGAGGTGGCGCGGCGCGCGACGAACGACGCGAACGCCGCCGCGAGGGCGTCGCTTCGATCGACGTCGCCGCCGGCGACGGCGAGCCGCGCGCCAGCGTCTCTCCTCGGCCGCGAGCTCCCGTCCGACGCTGACGCGCGCCGATGCTGGTGCGTCTTCGGCGACGCGCTCGCGTCGACGATCGTTCCCGTGTCGTCCGCGGTGGCGCGGTGCGCGGAGTCGCCGGACGGGGCATCCGCGATCGGCGGCCGGGCCGGCGAGGCGACGTCCGTGCGCGTGGGGTGCGGCGGCGGCGGCGGCGGCGACGCGGGGTGGCTGACGCTCGGCGTCTCGCGGCTTCCGCTGACGCTGACCTCTCCGACCGTGCGCGCGGTTCGACCGGGTCGAGTCCCCGCGATCGGCGGCGTCGCCGCGACGTTCACCGGGTCGGGGTTCTACCCCTCCGACGGCGGAAGCGGCGCCGCCACCGGCGCCGGCGCGGACGGAGACGGCGAGGACGCCGCCGCCGGCGCCGGCGCGTTTTTTTCCTTCGCGTGTCGCTTCGGCGCGATCGGTCCGGTCGCCGCGCGGCACCTCTCCCCTCGCGAGGTCTCCTGCGCGACCCCCGCGACGATGGGCGGACGATGGATAAACGTCGGCGTCGCCCCCGACGCCGCGGTCGCGGAGACCGCGTGGGGCGGCGACGGCGTCCAGGTGTACGTCGACGACGCGTTGACGCGGTCCGCGCTCGATCAATCCTCCGCGGCGAGCGCCGCGAGTTTCCCACCCGGCGGGAGCGCGCGCGGCGGCGTCGCGTTCGAGCTCCTCCACGTCGCGCGAGGGTCGCCCCCCGGCTCGGGCTCCGACGCCGCGGCGCGCGTTCCGCCGCGGTTCGTGTTCGGGGACGCGAGCTCGAGCGCCGTGCTCGGCGCGTGGCGCGGCGACGCCGCCGCCGCCGTCGTCGCCGCGCGGTGCGTCACCCCTCGTCGGTTCGCGAGCGGCGGGTTCGAGGCGGTGCGCGTGTCGATCGACCTCGGCGGCGCGGTTCGCGCGTTCGCGGCCGCCGCGACGCAGTTCCACGTCCACGCGGACCCGCGCGTTTTGAGCGTGTTCCCGCGCCTGTCGTGGGGCGCGGAGGTCGTGCACGTGTCGGGCGAGCACCTCCGTCCCGGCGGCGGCGCGCCGTCCACCGCGTGCGTCTTCGGCGGCGGCGCGTCGCCGTCGCGCGCGGTGTCGTCCACGCTCATCACGTGCGAGGTCGCCGCGGGGGTCGAAGGCGGCGGCGCGAAGGCGGCGAGCGCGAAGAAAGTGGCCGCGAGCGCGGGCGCGTCGCGCGAGGAAGACGCTTCCGCGGTCGCCGTCGCGGCGGCGGCGTCGTCGTCGGCGACGGCGGTGCGGCCCGTGGGCGTCTGCCCGCCCGGGTCCGAGTGCGACGACGACGGCGCCGGCGACGACTCGCTGTGGTTTCAGTCCGTCGCGCCCGTGGAGCCGATCGAGTCCGACGTCGCGCTCGGGTGGACGGACGGCGGGACGTTGACGCGGTTGGCGCTCACGGCGCCGATTCGCGCGGAGTGGCTCGAGTGTCGATTCGGAACGACGATCGTGCCGTCGCGGCCCGCGAGCGCGTGGGAGGATCCGCTCGCGCAGTTTTACGGCGTCGAGGGCGCGCTCGTGCGGCCGAGTCGGAAGATGGACATCGAGTGCGTGTCCCCGGGGCACGCCGCGGGGAAGGTGCCGATCGAGGTGGCGTTGGGGAGGAGTAAGGTCCCGAGCGCGAGGGGCGCGGTGAGCTTCAAGTACATCTAGTAGCTCGGCGGACGACGATGACGGCGATCGACCAGGGAGGAAGATTTCGTTCGCGCGCGCGCAGCCGACGACGACGACGGAGCGAGGCGGCGCGGTCGCGATGATAGATAGCGATACACGATGGAGTACTAGTCAGACGCTCCAACGCGCGCCCGCGGTCGCTTCCCATCCCCGGCGGTTCCGCGTCGAACCGTCACAGGTCAGCGACGTGGCGAAAAACGTCGAGAGGAAAAACGTCGACGTGTTCGCTTCTGCGACTCGCATTTTGTGTTTGGCGCCGAAAAACCCCTATGGGCAATTAGTCGTAAAAAACTGCCCTTGCCAGGTGGCACTTCCGACGGCTCCACGTCGCTCGCGTTTTCGCTTTTCCGCCGGTTCGACGCGTTTTCCCCGACACTCCGTCCACGCGCTCACGCACGCACGCACGCATCAAAACATCAACAACATCACAATGGCCTCCATGACCTTCTCCCCCCTCGCGCTCTCCTCCCGCGTCGCGCCCCGCGTCGCGGGCCGCGCCGCCGCGAAGGCGTCCAAGGCGTCCTTCCGCGTGAAGGCGTCCATGGACGAATCCATGCCCGCGGAAGCGCAGGCGGTCGCCGCGCCCGCGCCGGTCTCCAAGTTCGAGGCGTTCAAGAACACCATGTCCTTCGGCGCGTGGGCGCCGGAGACGATCAACGGCCGCGTCGCGCAGATCGCCTTCGTCGCCGGCCTCGGCGCGGAGCTCTCCACCGGGGAGTCGTTCACGTCCCAGTTCGCGGCGCACACCGGCGCGATCGCCTTCGCCTCCGGCCTCATCACCCTCGCGTCCTTCATGCCCAGCATGCAGAACGCGGACGGCTACAAGGCTGACCCCGCGACGCTCAAGCCGGGCAAGCCCTGGACGATCGACGCGGAGAAGGCGAACGGCCGCGGCGCGATGATCGGCCTCGTCTCCATGCTCGTCCTCGAGAAGGTGATCGGCGGCCCGATCACCGGCCTCTTCGGCGGCGCGTCCGATTCCTTCGGCAACGCGGACCAGTTCTACGACGACTCCTTCAAGGCCCAGGTCGAGGTTCCGGTCGCGATGCCCGCGGCGTCCTCCTTCGCGGACTTCGACGCCCCGGTCGCGGCGGCGGCCCCCGCGGTCGTCGTCGAGGACGCCGCCGCCGTCGACGCGGTTGTCGCGTACGAGGCGGCTGTCGTCGCCGAGCCGGTGCGCGTCGAGGGCGCGGTGGTCGAGGAGGTCGAGGCCGCGGCGATGGAGCTCGGGCGCGAGGTGTCCGCGGCGCAGGACGCCGCCGCGGACGCGGTCGCCGTGGAGATGTAATTCTCGTATTATTTCGCGAGAGCTTCGTTTCGCTGCAGAAGCTCTCGCTCTGGCGCGCGCTACTAAGTAGGACAAACTAGACATTTTTTGTGAATCTACGCATTCCTTCATCTTTCATCAATCCAGAAACTAGTTATCGATGGTCTACACACTCTACTCGTCACAACGCGCGCATCCCCGCGAAACGCACGCGTCGCTGCATCGCCCACTGCGCCACCGCACACGCCATCGAGACGCACGCGAGCGCGCGCGCCGCCCGAACGTCCGCGGCGACGAACGTCAGCGCGTTCAGCGGCGCGAGCATCGCGAGCGCGCCGCCGGAGACGCGTTGGAAATTCCACAGATAACGCGCCAACGTCCCGACGCACGGCGTCGCGCACGCCGTCAGCGCGACGTTCCTCAGCGCGTACGGCGCGCGACGCGTCGTCATCATCGGCAGCGGAATCATCGACCCGCGGAGCGGCCCGCGCGCCGCTCGAACCATCGCGGACGCGCACAGCGACACCGCGGTCGCGACCAGCGGCGGGACGTACCGCTTGCGACCGCCGCGGAGCGTCTCGAAGAAGAAGCCGTCCTCGTGGAGGAGGAGGAGGATCGGCGCGAGCGCGATGGTCGCCGACTCCGCGTCGGTTCGCGAACCGATGCGTCGCGTCAACGACGCGCTCGCGAGGTACGCGACGACGGTCGCGACGTTCCCGAGGACAGGCATCCACGCCAGGTTGGACGACGAGAGCGCGCGGTGCGCGAGCGACGCCGCCGCTGACGCGCTTCTTCGCGCGCGATACGGCGAGGAGAACCCCGCCGCGGCCGCGGATGCGCCGTCGCTCTTCCCCGTCACCGCGGTCCCTCTCGACGCGCCGCGCATGACGCCGCCGGGGCCGGGGCCGGGGCGCGCGCGGTCGACGCGACGGTTCGGATCGCGAACCGACGCACCGCGCGATATCCCGCTCACCTTGAGCTTCAGCGCGAACGCGATCTGCAGCGACAGCCCGGCGAGGACGCTCGCGACGCCCGCCCTCGCGTCCTCCATCCTCGCCCTCTCGTGCGCGCTCTCGTGCCCGCCGCCGCCGCCAAAACTGCCGCCTCCCTCCCCACCAAACCCACCGCCGGTCATCCCCGGGTGCTGCGACGCGTACGCGGCCGCGAGGCACGCGAGGTACGCGCCGAAGACGAGCGGCAGCCACCGCGGGGCGCCGCCGGACGGCGCGTGCACGAACGCGACGAAGACCCCCGCGAGCGCGCACGCCGTCGCGATCGACGTCCGAAGCGGCACGTCCGACCCGGGGAAGTGCTCCACGGCGAGGTAGACCCCGCCCGCGGCGCCCGCGGCGGCGGAGAGGACGAAGCGCGCCTCGGCTCCGCCCGCGCCGGAAGCGAGGCCTCGCGAGGGCGGCGACGACGCGACGAACGACGCGACGAGAATCGTGAAGATCAGGAGCCAGCACGGCCATCCCGCGCGCGCGCCGATTCGCGTGCCGTACACGTTCGCGTCGTCCGGCTCCGCGTCCGGGACGTGCGCTTCGTCGTACCAGAACCCGATCTCGCCCTTCCACGGCATCGGCGGTTTCAGCGCGCACAGGAGGACGCCCGCGGTGGTCGTCAGCGTCACCGCTCTCGCGGCGACGCGCGAGCGCGAAAAGTGCGCCCTCGCGAGCGGCGCGTTGCCGATCCCCGCGCACGCGAGGAGGCCGCCGAACAGGACCGCGTCCGACGGGCGGTGGCCCGTGATCGCGAAGACGACGTCGAACGCCGCGAACCGCGCGTGTATCAGCGCTAAGACTAAGAACGCCGCGTGCGCGAGGCCGCGCGCGGGGGACATCCGGCGGTTTCGCGGTTTCGCGCCCCCGCCGCCTCCGACTCCGGGGTCGACGACGTGCGGCGACGACGCCGCGAGCGCGACGAGCACGCACGGCACGAGCGCGCGGTCGCCCGGGATCATCGCGATCGCGAGCTTCCCCGCGTACACGCACTTCATGAGCCACCCCGTCGTGTCCGTGACGGTCCCTCGCGCTTTCAACTTTTCGCTCAACGCGACGCCGAGCGCGGACGTCGCGACGACGAGGTACGGAGGATACATCGGCTCGCCGTCCTCTAAAACCTCCGCGTACAACGCTTCTTCGCAGCGCGCGAACACGAGCGCGTGCACGCACAGCAGCGTCCCGATCGAGGACGCGCGCGCGCCGCACGCGGCCATCCCCGGCGCCGCGAGCGCGACCAGAAGCGAGAAGAGGAGAAAAAAACACAGCTCGGACATCGGCGCGCCGTCGACGGCGACGTCCAGGTCCCAGAAGTTACGCCGCAAGAACCAGTGCGCGCAGACGCCCGCGCCAGCCACGAACACGAACCCGCTTCTCGCGTCGCGCGACGTCGCGAAGCTCGCGCCGTGCCACCCGCTCGCGGCCGCGAACGGACACGTCCACGGCGGCGCGCCGACGGCGACGACGCCGGCGACGCCGGCGATGGCGCACGCCGCCGCCGCGGCTCTCGTCGGGACGCCACCGCGCTCGCCCAACGCGCCGCTCGCGGCGGCGACGCACGCGCCGAGGCCGCCGTACAGCGCGACCGTCACGAGGACGTAGCTCCACGGCGCTGGGACGCGGACGTACTCGCCGAAGCCGTGGAAGACGACGCGGCTCTCCGCCGAGCCGACGAAGACGGCCAACGCCGCCGCCGCGATTCGCGTCCTCGCCTTCGAGTTCGACCGCGCGACGCCGGTTCGATCCCCCCCCCCGCCGCCGCCGTCCGCCCACCACGTCCCGCCCGCGGGCGCGCACGCGCACGCGAAGACGACCGGGAACGAGAGCAGCGCGCAGACGGCGCTCCAGTGCTCGGCGATGGCGCCGGCGTCGACGCCGCCGACGATGGCGTCGCGTCCGCCGCTCGTGAAACCGCCGGGGAACATCGTCGGCGCGTGCGTGCGCGCGTACGCCGCGGGCGGGACGAGCAGGAACAGCAGGAAGTGGATCATCGCGTCGCGCGGGCGCAGGATGCATGTTGTCGCGTTAGTCGCGCGCGCGTCCGACGCCGACGCCGATGCGGGGGTCGCGGAGGTCGCCGCGGCGGCGGTACAGCTGGCGCCGCGAAGCACGCGAAACGACGACGGCGTCGGAAGCGAGAACGCGCGGTATAACGCCGCGAACGCCGCGGAGGCGTAGAACGGCGCGCTCGCCGCGCCGAAGGACGCGGACGCGACCCACGTCAGCATCGGCCCGCACACGCTCGGCGCGAGCGCGAAGAGGAGCTTCTCGGACGCGAGCGCGACGCCCGGGTGCGAGATCTGCACCCAGCGAAACTGCAGCGTGATCCACAGCCCGCACAGGAAGAGCGTCGCGCCCGCGTTCACCACGAGCATCGTCGCGACCGCGTCGGAGCGCGCCGGGGTGAAGAAGACGTCGCCGGAGATGAGCGACGCGAGGTACGCGCCCGCGAGCGCGCACCACGTCGTCGCGAGCGCGCCCTCGGGCATCTTCAGGACGTCCAAGACGTACGCGATCATCACGCCCGCGAGGAGCGTCCCCGCGACGAGCGATCCGCCCGCGCCCGCGAGCATGAACACCGCGGGGAGGAGCGCGCACGCGACGCGCGCGTTGTGGCGGAACGTCCCGATCCTGTACCCGACGCCGCCGCCGACGGCGGCGCTCGGGTGCGTCATGCCCGCCCGGCGGAGCGCGAGCGGCACTGACGAGGACGGTGCCGATCTGCCGACGAGACCTGAAGCGGGCTCTGTTGTCACTTTTTTCGAGAGAGCCGTTGAAATCTCGCGCCCCCCGCTCCGCCCCGCGCCACAACGCAACGCACGTCGCGCACGATGACGCGCGCGGGGGTCGCACCGGAAGAGCACGTGTTCGTCACGACCGTGACGACGATCACGGAGGACGTCGCGGATGGGATATACTGTCAGCGCATGGCGCTGGACGCGCGCAAATGCCGCGGCGCGTGGCTCAGCTTTTGCGATTTTTTGTTCAACGTGTTGAAGAACAACAAGGGCGTGTCCATGCCCGGCCTCGGGTCGTTCGCCATCGGGCAGTGCGTGGACGCGCTCAGCGGCAGCATGCAAACGTCGCGCGCGCCGGTGTTCGTCTTGAGCGAGAGGTTCAAATCCGTCCCGCAGCACAAGTCGCGGTTCTACCTCAAGACGCCCGCGACGTATCAACGAATCAACTCGCTGGCGCTCGCGAGGCGATGTAAGATGCACAAGTCCGCGCTGACGCACGTGCTGAAGGAAATCTTCGCCGCGATCGCGGCGTGCGTGCGCGAGGGCGAGCCCGTGGACATCGACTTCACGTTCGCGCGCTTATCCAACGTGAACGGCCCGATCGAGATGCGATTCAACCAGAGCTTCCTGAACGACTACGGCATCGACGCCGACGAGCACCCGCCGTCGACGCGGCACCACTTCCTTCCCATACACCCGAAGCACGAGCTCACGAAGAAGGTCACGACCACGACCCCGGAGATCGAGCGCATCATCGCGAAGAAAGAAGCCCTGAAGGCGCTCAGGGCGGCCAAGGCGAACCCGCACAACACGAGCCTGTCCATCGCGGGCAGAAACGCGCTCGCCGGGGAGGACGGCGACGCGCTCGACGCCGCCACCGCGGGGGTGAAGCCCGCGTCCGTTACCGCGGACGCGGTGATCAGGTCCGCGGTAACGGACGCGGGGAAGACGTTCATGAAGATTTGCTCCAAGCACGACCGCCTCGGCAGCGGCGCGGTGGGGAGGCTCGTCATCGAGCGCATCTTAAACGGCCCGGAGTGCTCCGGACTCATCGCCGACCTCAGCGCGAAGGCGGTGTTCGACGCGATGAACGACAACGCGGGCGGGAGACTGAAGCGGTTCGTGTACTACAAACCGCTCCTGGCGACGTTAGAGGCGGCGAGGGAGACCGCGAGCGCGCTGTGGCCGTCGCTGCCGGAGTCGGCGTGGAACGAAGAGGAGGTGGCGGCGATCGAGGAGGAAAAAGCGGAAGCCGCCGCGCTCGCCGCCGACGCGGAGATCGACGCGGAGATCGAGAACGCGATAAACACGATGAAGTTCGCGGACCTCCCGCCGCGGCCGAAGACCGCGGGCGCGGCGGCGGTGGCGAGCGGCGTCCCCGAGGGCGCGGAGAGCATCGCGGACCTGGTGAGCACGATGGGCGTGCACACGAGAGGGTTGGACCGCGTCGAGATTTCGAAATTCAACCGCCAGTACGGCCCAGCGCTCAGCTCGTTCCGACGCGGCAGCGCCGGGGAGGTCACGCCGAAGGTGACGAACAACCGCGCGATGGAGCTGTCGTTCAAACCCAAGGGCGCGGTGAACCCGCTCGGGGCGTTTCTGCAGTCGCAGATGGACCAGAAGGCGGCGGCGGAGAGGGCGGAGAAGGCGGCGACGAAGGCGCTCGCCGACGCGCTCGTCGCGGACGCGAAGGCGTCCATCGCCGCGGAGGAGGCGACGACGAGGCAGAAGAACGAGAAGATCGCGAGCGATCTGTTGTCGGGGTGGGAGATGCAGCTCACGGCGCGGAACACGATAAAGAAGAACCTGGACACGCTGGAGAGGTCGTGGCCGTTCGGACCGGCGCACGTGAAGCCGTCGACGCCGCTGTACTTTGAGAGCAGCAGGCGGTGACGGACGCGGTGTACATAACTTACCGTACTGTAGTAGTCTGTTGTCTAAGAAACGTGCGTGCGTGCGACGAGTGTCGTTCATGTGTTAAATTAAACTTCGCTTGCGGCGTGGTCGCGCGGCGTCGCACTTCGTGCTCGCGGCGCGGCCCGCGTGTTCTATTCTTTTTACTCCCCCCCGACTCGACCCGCGCGCCGTTCACACCTGCGGCCGCGTCTGCACGACGTACAGCGCGCCGTTCTGATCGATGCAACCCTCGATGTCCTGCGCGCTCCCGAGCGCCTTCTCGATCTCGAACGCCGCGTGCGCCACCGCCGCGAGCGCTTGCGAGCGAAACTCTTCGTCCGCGACGAGCGGATCCAACGAGTAATCCACCGGCCGCAACGTCGCCTCGTGCATCTGAATCGAGTCGTACAGACCCGCGCCCGCGAACCCCTCGAGGTCCTCGCCGTTGCTGTCCGACCGGAAGATGAGCGTCGGTCCGTCCGTGAACAGACCGTTCGCCTTGGACGGGAACCCGGTGACTTTCACGTTGGACAGGTCGTTCTTCTTGGCGACGAAGGAGAGCGCGCGGCCGGCAAAGTTCCCGACGAGCGCCTCGCCCATGCCGCACACCATCTCGCCGTAAATCTCGTTCGCGTCGCCCGTCTGCGGGTTCGTCGTGTGCAACACGAACGCGTACTTGCTCTGCACCACGGGCTGGCACAACACCGCCATGGACACGTCCTCGTGTTTGATTCCGGCTTTGCGACACGACAGCACCGCGCGTTCGTTGTACTTTGACCCCCACACGCCCGTGATCGCGGCCCAGGCGTGGACGCCCGCGCCGACGCCGCCGCGGCCTTCCGGGCCGAGCGACCCCTCCGGCCACGCGAGTCTCTCCGCGGCGAACGACGCTTGCATCTCGCTGAGAAGCTCCGAGGTGGGAACCATCTGCGCGATCGCGCGACGCATGCGTTCGAGTAAGTTGACGAATTTGTTCGCGTCGCCAAAGTCCAACGCGCCGAGCTCGAGGCGGCACTGCTCGAGCTCGGCCAGCACGTGCGCGTTCGCGGGCGACGCGAGGACCGCGTCGAAGGTGCAGAACGGCAGCGCCACGGACGCGGGGAGGTTGATCCAGTCCGGAAGCCTCCCTCGGAGCTCTTGCAGGTTACGCGACTTGGAGCCGACGATCTCGGACGTAAACTCCGGGGACGGCACCGCGTGTCTCCCCATGAACTCGCGCCTGCGGATCGCGATCCCACCCGCCGGGGCGTTCATCGCGCCGCCGAACCCGCCAGAGGCGCCACCCGCCGCCGCCCCGCCGCCCGGCGCGGCGCCGAGCGACGCGACGCCGCCGGGAAGGACGCTCACGCCGAGATCGTCCGCCGACGCGGACGGCGTGCACGTCACCGCCTGCCCCGCGAGCTGCTCCATCTCTTGCAGCTTCCCCGCGTCGAACACCGTCGCGAAGAGGCACCCCTCGTTCCTCGCGCGCACGGAGACGTGGGATAAGATGTCCGGCATGTCCGGGGTGATGACGCCGACGACGCCCATGGGAATGTCCTCCTCGCCGCCGACTCTGCGCGAGACGAGAATCGTCGGGACGGAGTACGTCTTGGTCTGAATCGCGACGAGGTCGTCCACGACTTCGACGACGCCGACAGCCTCGACCGGGGAGATGATGTTCCACGCCCCCATGTTCGCCATCTCTCGAAGCGCCGGGTCGAGCGCGCGCAACATCTGCGACAGCGGCGCGGCCGCGGTCCCGCGCACGATCTCTTCGCTGAAGATGCCGAGCACGTGCGCGTCCACGCCGAGCTTGCCGCCCATGTCCCCGGCGGTCGCCTGCAACGCGCTCGTGTACCGCGTCGAGCACGCGCCGAGGGCGTTCTGCACGCGGTCCGTGATCGCCTTGGCCTGAAGCGCCCAGTCGCTGCCGCCGCCCATCGCGGCGTTGACGATGTTATCCCACTCCCGGAGGCAGATGACGAGCTCGTCGTTTCCGCCGGTGGACAGCGCGAGGTTTTCCAACGCGAGGCCGGTGATCTTCAAGACGTCCACGGGCGCGCGCGTCGCCATCGACCCGAGCGCGCCCTCGATGACTTGCCGCACCGCGGACTCGAGCGCGAGGTCGAGGTAGATGATGTCCTTCAGGCGGCCGTTGTCGTTTCCGTTCGGTTTCGTCCACGGCCACAGCTCGCGTCTGGCCTCGAGCATCGCCTCCAACGAGTGCAGCGGCTCGTTCAGGTCCCTAAACCCGCGCGCGCTGTGCAGGAGCTCGCGCATCCGCGGCGTCGCCACCTCGTCGATGGGCGCGATGTTGATCTCCTTGCCCTTGCACGCGTCTTGGTGGTACCCGAGCACGGACTCGGACGCGCTGTCGAGGTCCGCGCCGGAGTGCACCGCCTTGAGCGTGCGTAAATACTCCTTCAGATCCCTGGTGAGGCCCTCGTACTGCTCCGGCTTGAACGACGGCAAACCGGTGATCTTCCTGTCGTACGACGCCATGCGCTCCGCGTCGATCCCGTTCGCGTGAAGGTGCTCCCAGTACACGTTGATGTCGCAGTCGCTCGCGATGAACAGCAGGAGCGCCTCGCAGATCGGGACGTCGTCCGGGGAGGTGTTGTTGTGAAGCTTCTGATGCCACTCCTCCATCATCCCGCCCTTGCAGTTGTTCGCCTGCTGGATCGCGAGGATCTCGTCTCTGATGCGCTGCCCGACGTCGCCGTCGCCGCCGCGGCCGATCGTCGCCATGATCAGACGCGTCACGTCTCGCAGCGCGGGCTCGTCGCGGTGGATCCGCGCGAGCTGTTCCGTGCACTTGAGCTGCGCCGCGGAGATTTCTCTCGGCTTGATGTTGTAGTCGTTGTTCCACACGAGCTGCCTCACCGCCATGAATCGGAACCACACCGCCATGGCGACCATGCCAGCCTCGCCGTCGGACAGACAGCCGGGGAGCAGGTCCGCTCCGGCTTTGTACCGATGCATGAGCGACTTTTCGCACTCGGGCTCGACGTTGACGATGTTTTGCACGGATCCGCCGGCGACGGGACCCGCGCCCGCGGCGCCGAGCGCGCCCTGGGACATCTTCACGTCTTCCGCGTTCCACTTGTTGCGCTGAATGACCCCCGGGCGCTCGGGCATCGTCGGCGGGACGAACGGCTTGGACTTGCCCCCGTGCTTGGATTTCTGACCGCCGTGGTCGTGGTGCTTTTGCTTCGCCGCGCGTTCTGCGTCCTTTCGCTTCTTTCGCTCGGCTTCTTTCCGCGCCTTGTACAAAGCGCGCACGTCCGCGTTGGAACGCGCCTCGTCGGGGAAAACGTAAAAGTCCTGGCCGTTATCTTTGATCCAGGTTTTCGAATCCGCCGTGCGAATGCAAAACACGAGGCCGTCGTTCCCCACGGGCGCCTCGATCGTGACCGCGTTCCATCCCGGCGCGGCGGGTTCCTTCTCGAACTCCGTCTCCCAGCTCTTGCCCTGCGTCCCCCACGACTTCGCCGGCGTCGTGGAGAACCCGTCGGGGGGCGACTGCCACTCCCCCGCGGGCTCGGTCACGGACGCCCAGTGAAGCACCAAGTCCACGTCCGCGCGCGCCATCGCGATGAGCTGCAGCGAGCCCGCGGACGTCTTCCTCGCCTCGATCACGAGGAGCTTGATCGTGCCGGCGCCCATGTTGATCTCTTTCCTCCACAGCGTCGCCGCGCCGTTCGCGCGTCGCTCGCACAAGTTCGCGATGTCTTGCGGCGACGCCTCGCCGATGATCGCGGCGGGCGCCGCCGCCGCCGCCGCCGCGGTCGGAGGCGTCTGATACGCCGCCGGCGCGGGCGGGGACTCGAACGCAGGCGTCGCGGGCGTCGCGGGCGTCGCGGTCGTCGCGGGCGGCGGCGCAGGCGCCGCCGCCGCCGCCGTCGCGTTCGTCCTCTCGACCAAGCCCGCGGGTATCCCCCACGCCGCCTCAATCGCGGCGACGGTCTCGCCGCTCGCGAGGCGCTTCGAGACGTGCTCGACAGCCTCGCCGTAGATCTTCGCCTTGGACGTCTCGTCCACGCGCGGCTTCCCGAGCTGCTCCCATCGAATGTACGCGGCGACGCCGTAGAGGATGTCGAGGCCGGTGATCAGCGCCTTCGCCGACGTCGGCGTCGGCGGCGGCGGCGTCGGCGTCGCGAGCGGCGTCGGCGTCGGCGTCGTCGCGTGCACCGGGCTCGGCGTCGACGCCGGGATCGGCGACGGCGGCGCGTAATCCGCGGTCGGCGGCGGCGTCACCTTGAGGTTGAACCCGTCCGCGGTCATCGCGGAGTTGGACGCGTTCGCGAGCCCCGCGGCTTTGATCTGGTCCCCGAGCGAGATGCGAAAGTTCTTCCCTCCGTCGTTCACCCACTCGTTCGCGGCGGTGACGAGGCAGAACTCCACGGCCGCCACGCCCGGGTCCAACACGAGCTGCAAGGGCCCGAACGCGGGGAACGGCGACCGGAGCGCTTTCTTCTTGTACAGCGTCGTCCCCGGAGGGTTCAGCTCGGGCGGGAGGAGTTGCCAGTCCAGACCCGTGGCGGGTCGCATCACGCCCCAGTGCAGGAGGAGGCCGTTCGGGCGGTTGGGCTCGCACTCGAGCGCGATCGTGTGCACGCCCTGCGGGTTCGTCTTCACCGTCGCCATGAGCTGCCTCCCGTCCGGGAGCGGGATCGCGATGAGGTCGCTCGCGTTCTGCACGCCCTGCGACGACGCCGCGCTGAGTGCGGTGGAGGAGGAGGTCTCGGGGCGACGGCGGCGAAGAAACGTCGACGCGCGCGAGGGCTTCAGAGCCGACGCGCGCGTCGGTCTGCCGCCCGGCGCGCGATCCGTCGATGTCCTCGCGGACCTGCGATGCGCGGGGGGGGGCGAGGGACGGACGGGACGTCATGACGGGCTCGACGACGCGCGGAAACCGCGCGAGGTTAAATCTCAACGTTTCTTTCGGGCCATCATCGTGAAGATATTAAAACGAGGGCGCGCGGAAAGAAGAAAACGATCGCGCGCGCACCAGACGGACGCGCCGGGCGCGGCGATCAGGGCGCCGAAACCCATGGGCATTGTCGTCGGATCGTCGTGCTCAGATCAAGAAAAAGACGTGCGGAGCGCGCGCGATGCGCCGTGCGATGTGCGACGCTTGGGGCGGATGAGAGGCACTTTTTGGTTTGGTTTCGTCATTCTTAACGGCCATTTAAACCCGGCGTTCTTGGGTTAATCCGACTGGCAGCCACGATGTGCACTTTTTACGGAACTTCCGCGTCGTGATTGGCCGTCGCCGCGGTGGCCGCCAGCGGATCCGACGAGGCTCGGGGCGGTCTCGCCGGGGTCAAACGTTCACATCTGATCGCGCTTTCCCAGACAGGACCTCGGCTGGGCACACCGAACCTCACCGAGTCGCGCCGAGTCGACGCGCTGCGATGGAGGAGAAACACGCCGCGGAGGGGAACACGACGTGGTTCTCCGAGCTCGCGAACGATGACTTGGAGAAGAAGCTGAGGCACCGGGACGAGGACGAGCGCACGACGCTGCACGTCGCCGCCGCCGCGGGTGCGCGCCGCGCGACGCCGACGAGACCGAACGAGTTGAAAAAATTATTCTCTCGCGCCCTCTCCCGAGCCGTCCCGTCGTCCCCGCGCGTCCCCGACGCTCACGCCCGCCTCCTCCCTCGCGTCGCAGGGCACACCGAGCTCGTGGAGTTCTTCCTGACGAACGCCGTCGGGCGCGGGCTCGTGAACAAGACCGACGAGGCGCGCGTCCCACCGCCAGATCTCATCGCCGGATCGAGTCTGGTTCTCTTCGTCCGCGCGCGGTGCCCACCTTTCGCCGACTCATCCGTCCGTCGCCGCCGCCGCCGCCCTCCCCCCCGCAGGAAGACTGGACGCCGCTGCACTCCGCGGCGTCGTGCGGCCACGTCGGCGTCGTCGCCGCGCTCCTCGCCGCGGGCGCGAACCCGAACGCCGCGAACAGCGGCGGGCAGCGCCCCGCGCACTACGCGGCGAGCAAAGGCGCGTTCTATGTCATCACACTGGTTCCCATACGACCGCGTTCGTGTTGTGAACGCCGTTTCTTAAGGACTCTCGCCGTAGTCTCTCTGCGCCCACCCCTCGGTTTCAATATCGACATACCGCGACGCCTTTCAACTCCGCTTCTGACGCCTTCGAATTCCACCCCGACGTCGCTTCGAACGATGGGCCCTCGACCCGAAGGCCACCTCGAGACGCTCGCGAAGCTCGTCGCCGCCGGCGCCGACGTCGCCGCCGCCGACAAGACCGGCAGCACGCCGCTGCACCGCGCGGCGAGCCAGGGCCGCGTCAAGATCGTCGCCGCGCTGCTGGACGGGTCCTTGCCCGGGGGCGCGACGTGCGACGTCGAGGCGAGGAACGGCGTGCGGCAGACGCCGCTTCTCGTCGCGTGCGAGGTGCGTTCTCCTTACACTGGTCCCCATACGACCGCGTCGGCGTGGTGAACGCCGTTCCTTAAAGACTTTTCCCGGCGCGTCTCTCCGCCCAGCCCTCGCTTTCAATCCCCGCCCTCGACGCCTTTCAACTTCAACCGACGCCTTTGAACTCCACCCCGACATTCGCTCGTAGGCGGGGCAGCACGACGCGGCGGCGGAGCTCGCGCGACACGGCGCGGATCCGCGCGCGGAGGACGGGGATGGGGGGTCCGTGGCGACGCTCGCGCCGAAGCTCGTCGCGGTGTTGCGGGCGATTCGCGAGGGGGGCGGGTAAACGCGCCGCGCCGCGCGCGGGTGGCGGCGATTCTTTCGTTCGCGTCTCGCTCGCGAACTCCTAAGTTAAGCTAGACGAGGGTCTTCTCGAGCCCTTCCAACAACTTTTTCTCGCGCGAGAGCAACCCGCGGCCGATGAGGACGACCTTGTTCAGTTCCCTCTCCCCCGGCTCGCTCGGCGGCCCCGGGGTGATCTCGTACACTTCCCTGACCGCCTGCAGTATTTTCTTCGCCTCCGTCGCGCCGTCGTCGTCGTGCGCGAACAGGACGCCCTTCGCTCGGAGCACCGCCAGCTTCGTCCCTTCGCCGCCGCCGCCACCTTCGCCTTCGCCGCCGCCGCCGTCGTCGCCGCCCTCCCCACCCTCCCACAGCAACCCCTCCAGCCACGTCTCGAACTTCCGGACGTCGATCCGCCCCTCGACCGCGAGACACACCGTCCGTATGCCGGCGTCGTGCACCGCGCTCGCGGCGACGTTCCCCGGCATGTACCTCTCCACGCCCTTGGCCCAGAACCCGCGCCCCGTCGCCTCCTTCGTCGCGTGCTCGCCCAAAGTCGGCCTCGCGCCGCGTCTCCCCGCGACGGTCACCGCGCCTTGGTTCAAAACGTGCTCCAGCGCGACGACGCTTCGCGTCGACCGGACGATCTTCGCCTCCGCGTTCATCGTGGACAGCGTTCGCTCGATCTCGTCCGCGTCGCTCTCGGAGACGAGGTCGAGCTTGTTCAGGACGATCACGTCCGCGTGCGCGATCTGCAGCGCCGCCTCTTTCCCCTCTCTGAGCTGCTTCGCGATGTTCGACGCGTCCACGAGGGTGACGACCGCGTCGAGGACCGCGCCGTCTTCTTCGAGGAGCTCGTCGTCGACCCAGAGCTCCTGCGCGACCGGTCCGGGGTCCGCGAGCCCGGTCGTCTCGAGGAGGATGAAGTCGAACTTTTTCCCGCTCCGCGCGCGGCGCTCCATGAGCGAGTCTATCGTCTGTATCAGGCTCCCTTTCACGGTGCAGCACACGCAGCCGTTGTTCATCTCCACCCACTCCTCGACCGCTGCGTCGTCGTCGCCGCCTTTCTTGTCCTGCACGAGCATCTTCTCCACGCCGAGCTCGGCGCCGAACTCGTTCAGGATGACCGCTATGCGATACCCGTGGTCCGCGTTTAAGACGTAGTTCACGAGCGTCGTCTTCCCGGCGCCGAGGAAGCCGGTCACGACGGTGATGCCCGTCGGAGGCATGTCGCGCGCGCGCGTGCTGGGAAGGTCTTCGCGTGGGCGGGGTGACGACGACGCGCCGCGCGCGAGGAAGTGAGCGTGCTCGAAGGGCGTACACGTAGGTCGTGGTATAAATTCTTGCTGAAGATAAAAATTATATGTGCTAATTGCGTGGACGCGGACGTCGGCCCGGGCGCGGCCCGCGCCGACTGCTGCGCGACGTCGACGCGACCGCTTCCGCGCTCGCGTCGACGTCGTCAAAGACAGAAGAAACGAACGAACGAAACACATCAAATCAGTACGCGTTGTAATACCCCGCCTGCGCGCCCTGCGCGCTCGGGTACTGAGGGCCATTCCATACAAGCGAACGTCGGGGTGGAGTTCATAGGCGTCAGTTGGAGTTGAAAGGCGTCGAGGGTGGGGATTGAAAGCGAGGGATGGGCGGAGAGAAACGCCGGGCAAAGTCCTTAAGGAACGGCGTTCACCACGCCGACGGGGTCGTATGGGGACCAGTGTATAGAACGCGCCTGATACGCGGCGCCGCCGCCCGCCGCCGCCGCCGCGGTCGCCTGCGGATACTGGTACCCGTAGTACGCCGCCGCCTGCGCTTGCGCCGCCGCCGCCGCCGCCGCCGCCGCGGGGTCCACCTTCGCGGTCTTGCCGCCCGCGCCACCGCCGCCCTGCGTCTCGCGCGCGCGCTTCCGACTCCGCGCCGCCTCCGCCTCGACCGTTCGCGGGAAACGCTCGCGGTGCTTCGCCTCCGCGGCGGCGACGTCGTCGACGTCCCCGACGAGGTCCGCGTACTCGCACGCCATGAGCGAGAACCGCTCTCGCTCGTCCACGGGCACGCCGCCGGCGTCGTCGTCGCCGTCGTCGCCGTTCGTCGCGGTCGTCTCTTTCTTCTCGTCGCCGGAATCGCGTTTGCCGCCGCCGCCGCCGCCGCCGCCGCCGCAGCACCGATCGACGAGCGCCGTCACGCGCCGCAGCCTCTCCTTCGCGCTCAAATCCCCGCGCGTCCTCTCGTGATGGATCCCACCCTCCCACACGAGCGCGTTCCCGCTCGCGCTGACGTACGCGCCCTCGTACACGTCTCGCGCGCCCGCGGGGTCGCCCAGCGCCTCCGCGACGAACGCGGCGTACTGGTTCACTAAACACCCGTACGTCGGCGTCTCCGCGCCCTCCTTACTGCGCTCGACCGCCATCGCGCGCTCGTACACCGCCTTGGCGTCCTCCGCGCGCCCCACCCGCCTCTCGAAGTTGGCGTGCGCGACCGCGGCGCGGATGCTCCCCGGCGCGACCTCTTCGGTGATCCGCGCGTGCGCCTCCCTCGCGGCGGCGACGTCGCCGGCGCGCTCTTCAAACGCCGCGAGCGCCAAGTGCGCGTCGAGCTCGCGCTTCACGAACACCCTGGTCGCGCGCTGCAGCACCGCTCGCGCGGGCTCCACGCCCTGGTCGCGCTCCGTCCGCGACGCGTACCGCAGCCACAGCGCGGGGTACGACGCGCACGGGATGAGGCACCGTTCGTACAGTCGCACGACGCTCGCGGCGTCGCCGACGGATTCCTCGTGCGAGAGGTACCGCTCCCAGTTCGCAACCTGCGCGTCGTCGAGCGGCTTGACGTGGAAGTACGGCCGCTTGATGAGGAGCTCGAACGGCTCGCGGATCGCGCGGTGCGCGCTCGCGGTCTCGTACAGCGCGCGGCGCGCCTCGCGGAACTTGATCGTCTTCGCGTCCTTCCCCGGGTCCGCCGTCGCCGCCGCCTCCGCCGCCGCCGCGGCCGCCTCCTCCGCGCCGTTCCCGGTCGCGGCGTCGCCGCCGCCCGCGCCGGTCGCGGCCGCCGCCGGCGGCGCGCTCGCGCGCACCTCCGCGGCGATGCTCGCGAGCTCGTCCTCGCTCGCGAGCGCGTCCGCTTTCCTCCCCTCGACGTACTCGCAAAACTTTGTCCAATACCGATCGAGCTCGCGGCTCGGAACCTGAAGGACGCGCGTGTACACCTCCGCGACGTGCCGCGGGGACCCGCACCCGCTGTTCTGCTCGAAGTCTACGTACGCATCCCACAGCGGGTGCGACAGCCAGTCCGTCCCGACGTACGCGAGGCCGCGTTCGAACAGCCCTCGGACGTGATCCGCGTCCGCGCGAGCGCCCACCGCGTGCGCGCAGTAGTGCGTCCACAGGTCGACGCTGTACGGCACCGCGGCGACGCCGCGCTCGTACACCTCTCCGGTCTTCGCCCCGCCCGCGAGTCGCGTCTCCGCGTCCGCGTACTTCTTCCAGTACCCGTAACAGAGCGGGAACTCCGCGAGAAACGCGTCGTAGACGGCGCGAATCTTTTCGACGGAGGATGTCTTCTCCCCCGACGCGATGAGCGCCGTCCACGCGGCGAAGTCGCCGACGTCCGCGCGGACGGCGTCCCAGCACGCTTCCGTCGGGCACGCCTCCGACGGCGGCGGCGGCGGGACCACTCCCGCCGCGGTGGACGCGTCGGGGGGTGGCTCGGGGACGACGCCGTTCGTCGCGGCCGCGGTCGCCGCCGCCGCCGCCGCCGCTGCGAGGAGGGAGGATGGATGGATGGGAAAAAGCGCGCGACGATCGCGTCAGCGCGGGGACGCCGCGGCGCGGGGACGGCGTTCGGGGAGGCGACGCGAGGGAGAGATCGGGGGCGCGGCGACGCGCGCGGGGCGATCGGGCGCGTCGAGCGCGCGCGATCGCGAGGACGACGCGCGCGGGGACGGCGCGCGGCGTCGGGATCCCCGACGACGTGGCGGCCGAGCGCAGCCGGCGTCGCATTATGATTAGTCCAACGCGCGCGGTCGAGGGCTACCAGGCCGCGCGCGTCGCGCGAGGGGTGGGCGCGCGGGCGGGATCTCACCTGCGTCTTTCTCCATGGTCGCCTCGGAGACGCTCCGGGGGCGTGCTCGCGCGCGTTCGCTAGTGCGGTCGCGCGCGACGACGGGCTGAGGGCACGTAGTCGAGGTTTTTGAAAAAAGCGCGGGCGATTTTTGCGCCCCGAGATCCGCGTTGGCTCCGAAAAAACCGGGGTGCCAACTTTGGTGCCCCACTCTCGAGGGCGCGCTAGGGAGGAGGAGTCAATCTCGCGACGTCATGCTCGCTCCATCGTTAGAAGCGGCCGCACGCCCGCCCCGCTCGACGCCCGCCGACGCCGCGGGGACCGAGACAGCGACCCAGCACATCTACGTCCTTAAACTGGAGGATGATTGTTTTTACGTCGGGAAAACCACCGACGTGCGAGGACGCTTGGAGAAGCACCGCCGAGGGTGCAACACCTGGGCGTGGACGGCGAAGCATAAGCCCATCCCCGGCGACGACGCGATCTATTTCGTAGAAACGATGACAGAGCCGACGGCCGAGGACGCGATCACGGAGCGGATGATGTGCGAGTACGGCATCGATAAGGTCCGAGGTGGGACGTTCAGCAAACCAAACCTCCCCGAGCATCAAGCGAAGACGTTGAAGGATAAGTGGTGCACGTGGACGGATTCGTGTTTCGTGTGCAGGGAGGCAGGGCATAAGAGCATCAATTGCAGGCGGAGGAAAGAGATGGTGCGGAGAGACCTAGAGGAAGCCCGAGAACGCGAAGAGCATGCGAGAGCAGAGGACGAGTTGCTTTTTTCCTTTGACAATTTGTCTGTTAGTCATACGAGTCACCCGAAGAATAGTGGGAAAAAATGGACGGAAGAAGAGAAGGAGCAGCTCGCGCGGGAGAAGAGAGAGGGGAAGACCAACGAGGAGATCGCAGGGATTCACGAACGATCGGTGAATGCTATATATATGCAGTGGAATAAGCAGAAGCCTAGGGACTCGTTATGAAATACATTTAGACTGGTGAGCGCCAAAAATAAAATGAGCGCGGCGCGGACGAGTCATCACACCTCCCCCGGCCTCTTCACGTCCCACTCCTCGTGCGGCTCCCCCCCCGGCCAGAACATCGGCTCCACCCCACCCCCCCCCGACGGATCCACGACCACCACCGGCCGCATCTCGCAATTGTTCGGCCACCGGTGCGTCTCCCCCTTGACCGCGGCGGGCGCCGTCCCGAGCTGAGGGCCATTCCATACAAAAACAGTTCACCGGTCAGTTGAAAGGGGGAGCGATCAAGTGTTGAAACCGGGCGATGGGTGAAATAGTGTACGTTTGTATAGAACGCACCTGATCCGTCGCGCCGAAAGACCTCAACATCGTGCTCATGAACGCGCTGTGCGTCACGACCGCGACGTGCTGCTCCGGCCGTCGCATCACCCACTCCAGAAATGTGTGCGCGCGGCGCGCCATGTCGTCGTTGGTCTCGCACATCGTGCCCCACAGCACGTCCTTCTCCTTCGTCACGTCGGAGAAGTCGACGCCGGGAAACGCCGCGCGATAGCTCGCGACGTCGCGTCGTCGATCGCACGGGTTCTTCCCGATATGCTCCCTGCACAGCTCGCACGCGATGAACGGCAGCGGCGCGCGGATCGTGTTCGTGTTCATCGCGACCGCGGCGTGACCGGGGCGGACGTCCTCCTCCGCGTCCGACGCGATCATCAGCGGCGGCGGCGCGCCGTCGGCGGCGGCTTTCGCGGCGGCGTCGGCGTCGAGATCGTCCCCGCCCAGCGCGCCGACCGCGGTCTCGAGCGCGCGCGTCAGCGGGCTCACGACGACGCACTCGATCCGGTCGAGCAAGCTCTCGCGCCCGTCCGGGGTCTTCGCGCTCTCGAGGTGCGCCTTGAGCGCCGCGCACTGCTCCCATCCTTTCGGCGTGAGCGACGCGTCGAAGAACTTCTCGGAGGCGTACTGCGCGTGATCCTTCTCGCCGTGCAGGTTGTGGTACCCCTCGCCGTGCCGTATGAGGTAGAGCGTCTTCGTGTGCCGCAGCGGGGTGATGTAGAACCTGTGCGAGGATCGGTCCTCGTCGCTCGGGGCCGCGGGCGCGGCGGCGGCGGGCGCCATGTCGAGTGATGACGAGATCTGCCTGGGAACGACGATCGACGCGACCGACGGTCGTTTCTGTTCGAGAAGGCTGAGCGCTTTCGACGTGCTTCCAACCGCGTCACCAGTCGTCCTCCGCGCGCCGCCGCGTTCGTCTCTCGAGACCGGTCCCTCGTCATGCAGGCCGCCGTGCGACTCGGCAACGGGCTCATCATGCACCAGCGCGACGTCCCGATCCCGTCGCCGACCGAGCCCGGGCAGGTCCGCGTCAAGGTGCACGCCGCGGGGACGAACCCCGTCGATTACAAACTCCCGAAACTCGTCGCCGGTCCGATCGCGGGCATCGACGTCGCGGGCGTCGTCGACGCCGTCGCACCCGGCGCGCCGCCCGGCGCGGCGTTCGACGTGGGCGACGAGGTCTTCGGGTTCGCCACCGGCGGCAGCGTCGCGGAGTACGCGCTCGCGGACGCGAGCAAGCTCGCGTCCAAGCCGGAGACGATGACGTTCGTCGACGCCGCGGCGATGCCGACGGCGTACGTCACGTCCTACCAGGCCTTGTTCGAGCACGGCGAGATGCGGCCCGGCGCGCGCGTGCTGATCATCGGCGCGAGCGGCGGCTGCGGCCTCGCCGCGTGCCAGCTCGCGGCCGCGGGCGGCGCCGCGGAGATCGTCGCCGTGTGCTCGTCGCGCAACGCACAGCTGTGCGCCGACGCCGGCGCGACGGAGGCGTTCGACTACGCCGACGACGAGCGCATGCAAGAGCTTCTCACGCGGCGGTTCGACCTCGTGTACGACGCCGCGAGCGGGAGCGGCGCGGGGGAGGACTACCGCGGGTTCGGGATGGACGTGCTCGCGGAGCCGCGCGGTCGCCGCGTCGCGATCAACGGCGGGTTCGGCGAGTGGTTCGCGACGCTGACGGGGTGGGGGCGTGGGGAACGCGATCGGCTGATGTTGACGCGGCAGGACGGCGAGGAGCTGACGAAGATCGTGGAGCTCCTGGGGGGGGAACCGTCGCCGGTGATCGACAGGGTGTTCGAGCTGGACTTGAGCGGCGTGAACCTCGGGTTCGCGCGGCAGAAGAGCCGACGCGCGCGCGGAAAGATAGTCATCAAAGTAGTCTAGCGGGCGCGGCGGGACGTTTGCGTTTTCGGATATCGGATTCGCTCGCGCGCGCTTCGATTCGAGTTCGTTCGTCCTTCGCCGTCGCCGTCGCGTCGCGTCGCGTCTTCTTCTAGTCTACCGTCGTCGCTTCGTCCCTAGGCCACTCCTGAAGTCCTCGTCCATGAGGTCGACGCCGTCGTCCTCGCTCGTGCCGCCTCCTCCTCCCGCGCCTCCGTGACCGCCGCCGCCGCCGCCGCCGCCGTGACCGCCGCCGCCCCCGCCCCCGCCGCCGCCGTGACCACCGCCGCCGCCGCCGCGATCGGCGTCCGTCTTGACCGTCTTCTTCACCGCCTCCACCCTCTCCGCGTGCGCCGCCTTATGCCTCTCCCGCTCCTCGATGTCCCGCCGCGCCCACGCGATCTTCTCGTCCAGACCCGACAGCGCGCCCGCGACGTTCTCGCGCCAATCCGCGACGGCGTCCACGAGCGCGTCGAACCGCTCGGGCGGGACGTCCCGCCCCGCGGCGCCCAGGACCTCGAAGCGCTCCGCGCGCTGGTCCAGCTTGCCTCGCGCGAGCCCGGTGACGACGCACTCGTCGATGAGCAAGTCCTCCAGCGCTCGCACGGAGGAGATCTCCAGCGCGGCGGCGAGATCGGCGTACGCGAGCGTCTTATGCTCGGTCGCCATCGACACGACCGTCAGCGTTCGGAGCTTCGCGAGCTGCGCGTCCGTCAGCGGAGGGAGGCGCGCGTCCGCGCGGTACTCCGGGAGCGTGCCCCACGCGAAGCATCTGAGGAGGCGGAGGTGCGGCTCGTGCGCGGTGCCTTCGAGCTGCGGCGTGGAGGGGGGGCGAGGGAGGGGCGGGGGCGGTCGGATCGATCAGATCGCGCGTCGGCGGGGAGGGAGGAGGGATCGGACGTTGTTTCCTCGACGCTCGCGTCGGCGCGCGACGCGCCTGCTTCACCCCGGGGAGATCGAGGAGCTCGCTGAAGTAGTAGAGACCCGGCGCGCCCGTCGCGCGCGTGATCAGGTCCACCGCGTCCTGGCCGCTCGCGCCCGCGCCTTCGCTGACGAACCGCGCCACGAGCGCGTCGGACGCGCCCATGGCTGCGCCACAAACACTAGTGGCGAACGCGACGCCGGCGTCAACTCACAGCAAGCTGATCGCTCGAAGCGAGAAGGACGTTCGAAATCCCTCGGGGCGCGCGGCGCGCTGACGCCGCGTCATAACGACGCGCGCGCGCGCACGAGTCGCCGAGCGGGGGTAAGCGCCCGCACGCGCGCAGTCGCCGCGCGGCGCGCATCGAGAGCGTCTCGCGACCGACGCCGCGCGCGGATCGCGGGGTCGATCGATCGCGAAGAGGGGCGGGCGCTCGGCCGATCGGATTCTTTTTTTCCGCCCGCGCCGCGCTCCCCTTTGAAAAGGCAACCGAGCGACCGCGCCGAGACGCGAGTTGAACGATGGGCGGCCCCGGCGGCGGCCCGTCCGGGTTCGGCGCGGGCGGGTTCCACCAGCAGCCCAAACGCCGCCGATGCCCGACGGAGAACGCGATGACCAAGGTGAACCCGTCCGAGCCGAAGCGCGCGCTGTTCCACTGCAACTACTGCCAGAAGGACATCAGCAACGTCGTTCGAATCAAATGCGCGGAGTGCGCGGAGATGGACCTGTGCGCGGAGTGCTTCTCCGTCGGCGTGGAGCCGCACCCGCACAAGGCGTGCCATCCGTACCACGTCATCGATAACATCTCCTTCCCGCTGTTTACGATGGACTGGGGCGCGGACGAGGAGGTGCTCCTTCTCGAAGCGATCGAGATCTACGGGCTCGGGAACTGGACCGAGGTGGCGGAGCACGTGGGGGGCGCGAAGAGCAAGATGCAGTGCCACGACCACTACTTCGAGACGTACGTGAACTCGCCCACGACGCCGCTGCCGGACATGAAGCGCCTCCTGGGGAAAGACTACGTCAAGGAGGAGCCGAAGGACGCGGAAGAGGGTAAGAAGCGGGGGAAAACGGACCCGGAGGACGCGGAACGAGAGCGGACGCTCGCGTCGTTCTCGCGGCCGGGGGACGAGCGGCACTGGGGGAACGCGCAGGATCTCACGGGGTATAACGTGAAGCGGGACGAGTTCGATCCGGAGTACGACGTCGAGGCGGAGCTCCCGCTCGCGGAGATGGAGTTCCGCGACACGGACACCGAGCTCGACAGGAAACTCAAACTGCGCATGATCGAGATCTACAACCGCCGCCTCGAGGAGAGACGGAAGCGGAAGCAGTTCATCATCGACCGCGGGTTGTTGAACGTAAAGCGGCAGCAGGCGCTGGAGAGGAAGCGCACGCCGCAGGAGAGAGACATCCACGCCGCGGTCAGGGTGTTCGCGCGGTTCTTGGAGCCGAACGAGTACGAGATCATGCTCGAAGGGCTCGCCGCCGAGAGCCGGATTCGGAATCGCATCGCGGAGCTGAAGGAGTATCGCCGCGCGGGGTGCCGGACGATACGCGAGGGAGAGCAATACGACTCGGACAAGCGCGCGAGGATCGCGGAGCACGCGCGGATCCGAGCGGCGGAGACGCCCGCGAAGGGCGCGGCGGCGGCGGCGGCGGCGAGGGCGAACAAGTACCTCAGCCGCGACGGGTTCGTCGCCGCGCCTCCGGGGGCGCCCGGGGGGGAACCGCCGAAGCCCGGCGCCGGCGCCGGCGCGTCATCGGGCGGCGGCGGCGGCGGCAGGAGGAAAGCGCCGCTGCCGCTGGATCTCGCGAAGCTCCCGGGCGTGGAGCTCCTCTCGAAACGCGAGCAGGATCTGTGCACGCACAACCGACTGCTCCCGGTGCAGTATCTCGCGATGAAAGAGGCGATGATGCGCGCGAGCGCGGACGGGGAGCCGCTGAGGCGCGCGGACGTGCGGTACAAGTTCGCGGTCGAGCCCGTGAAGGCGACGCGGACGTACGAGCTCCTGTTGAGCAACGGATGGATCACGGATCCGAACGGGGGGAAGGACGCGGAAAAAGAACAAGACGACGAGTGACGGACGCGCGCGTACCCCGACTTAGCAACGCGCGCGCGTAGCGGCGACGCGACGAACGAATCGCGCGGCGCGAACGATGAACGTTCTCTCGATGAGTGTTATTCATAACAAACGCTTTCGGTCTCGCGTTCGTCGAACGCGAGAAGGAAAGTCGCGTTTAAATAGAAGAGCCCGACCGCCCGGGCGTCCGCGCTCGCGTAGTACGTCTGCGCTCGCGGCCGCCTCACGCGAACCTCGGCTTGTTGTCCGCGTTGTTACCGCCGCCGCCCATGCTCTCCTTGATCCCGCGGTACACCAGCCCGAGCGACCTCCCGATGAGCGTCACGAGCAGCCACGACGTGAACTGCTGCGCGCGGCTCAGGAACGCCCTCGAGACGGGGACGATCACGTCCGCCAACTCGAGAAACACGCTCACGATGAGCCTCAACCCTTTCACCCGGTCGAGCTCGCTGTGCCGGCAGATGCTAATCCGCCGACGGACGATGTTCCCGTTCGCGTCCACGCCGACGAGATCGTGCCAGTCCTCGTACATCGCGACGACGTCCGTGTAGTTGCGATCGACCCACGCTTGGAGCTTCACTTCGTTCCGGAACTTTTCGAGCGCGCGCGTCGCCTTCAACCGCGGCGTCAACGCGAGGGCGTACCTCACGACGCGCGACGCGGAGGCCGCCGCGAGCGCCGCGGTCTTCCTCGCCAACTCCGCGCTGCGCTTCTTCTCGCGGCGGTCCACCCCGCGCGCGAGCTCGCTGCGCTGCACCGCGGGCGCGGACGCGGACTCGCGGACGCGCGACAGATACGCGGACGTCACCGCCTCGGAGATTCGAAGCGTCACGTCTTCGAGCACGGAGACCGTGATCGCCGCCATGGAACGCGACGCGGCGTCGTCCGCGCGCGCCTTGGCGACGGACGCGAGCTCGATCGCAGCCTCGGCCATCTCGCCGTCGCGCACTTTCGGTGTCGTCGCACGGCGAGCGGTCGAAGGAGTCTCCGCGGGTTCCGCGGCAGGATCCGGTTCCTCCTTCGAGAGCGCGGCGACGTGCGACAGCAGGTTGACGTACAGCGCCGTCTTGCTCCCGGGGGACTCCACCTCGCGGAACTGGATCAGCTCCGCGGCGAGGTCGCCCGCGCGCGTGACCATCGCGCCGTCCTCGGTCTCGGCGTCGGCGACGTCGACCTCGCCGGCGATCCCGCCCTCCTCCGCGGTGGCCGCCGTCATCTTTTCGAGCCACTCTCGGGTCGACGTCTCCGCCACCGCGGCGAGGAGCTCCTGCGCCGCCTCCGCCTCGAACCCTCTCTCCGGCGCGTACGACGCGCACGCGGACTTGAGCGCGCCGAGGACGACGTCCGTGAGCGCGCGGCGCGCGTCGTCCGTGATGGCCTGCAGCTCGAAGCGCGGCGCGTCGCCCGCGCCGTCGACGGCGCTGGAGTTGACGATCGTGCCGTTCCACCACCCGCCGGGCACCGGCGAGGCGTTCATCCCGACGAGCGCGCCCGCGTTCGCGGACGCGAAGACGCCGTCGAACGAGTGCGCGATCGGCGCGAGGTCCGCGCGCGCGATCTGGGACGCCTCGGACGAGGAGGAGGAGGACGACGACGACGCGTCGACTCGGCGATCGACGTTCGCGGCGACGACCGGGAGGCGCGCGACGCGATCGCTCGCGCCGTTCGCGCCGTCGGCGCCGCCCTCCATGAGGGACCTGCCGGCGACGACCGCGGCGCCGCCGACGACGATCGAGAGCGGATCGAACACGTCCACGCGGACGTCGCGCCTCGGGCGCGAGACGCTCACGCGAGAGAACCCGCCGTTGCGGGTGGCGGAAGATTTGTTGCTCGCCGGCGCGGCCGCGCGCGTCCTCGCGCGCGTCGCGTTCGCGCGAACGAGCGGCGCGTTCGCCGCGGTCATGAGCGGCGTCGCGGACGCGGCGAAGGCGGACATCGCGGTCCTGCGCTCGTGCTCGCGCGGCGAGTGAGCGCGCGCGTGTGTGTCGCGCGATCCACCGAAAACCTCGACCTTTGGGGCGCATTTTATCCACGCGCGGACGCGAGGTTGCCCACCTGGCAGATCGTTCGCCTGACTGAAATGCCCATACGATATTTGCGTATCGTAGTACGCGAACGCCCTCGGCATCGGAGCTCGGCGCGCTGCGAACCGAATTCATTTCATCGTTCGCGGAAAGAGCACTCGGCGAGGCGTCGTCGTCGTCCCGCGAGACTCTCCGTCGCGGTCGCGCGGACGACGCCGCGGGGGAAGGACGCGGCGGCGGCGCAGATCATACCGCGAGCGAACGTCGTCGGCGGGAGGAAGCCCTCGACCGAAGACCGCGCGAAGACGAAGACGACGACGACGCGGGAGGCGTCATGCACATCACGAACATCGGCGGAAGCCTCACGACCGCGGTGTGCCTCTCCCTGATCGCGTGGTCCATCCGCGTCCTTCGCGCGCAGCAAAAGGCGGACCAGAACAGGAGCAACCGCGGCGGCGCGCGCGCGGGCGGGCCGGGGGGCGCCTACCTCCCGTCGCTGAGGCATCGAAGAGCGTACGCGCGGCTGTCGCCGACCGCGTTTTGGCTCCTGACGGACAGCAAGTCCGTGAAGTGCTTCATCGTGGACGTCCGAAGCGCGGAGGAGGTGCGCGCCGCGGAGAGCTCCGGCTCCGGCGACGACGTCGTGAGCCGCCTCGAGCACTTCCGAGTCCCGGTGGACGACCTCGCGAGCGCGTTGAAACCCCGCGGCAAGTACGGCGGCGGAAATGGCGTCGACGGAGGATGGGCCGCGCGGTTCGGCGCGGCGCCGCCGAGCCCGCGCAGCACGATCGTCTTCGTCAGCACGCACGGGCACTCCGCGTCGCAGGCGGCGTCGCTCGCGGTGTCCTTAGGGTTCCAGAGGTGCTGCGTCATCGAGGGGGGGCTCGCGGCGGCGGCGCCGCTCGCGCCGCCGCCGCCGCGGTCGCCGTCGTGCGCTTCGCTGAGCGGCGACGACGTCGCGAACGGCTCCCTCGGCTCCCTCGTCGCCAACGGATCATCAATCGGGGGCGGGCAGAGCGTTTCGTCGCTGACGTCGCCCGGGGGGAAGTCGCACTCGTCGCAGCAGTCGAGCCTGACGAGCCCGACCGGGTCGTCGTCGTCGTCGCGCGTGTCTCCGTCTGAGCTCCTATCCAGGGACGCGCTCGGGCTGTTGCTCGAATACGGCGCCGCGCAGGGCGAGCCGCTGATGACCCTGATCGACGTCCGGCGCCACGACGAGCGGTCGCTGTACGGAGGCATCAGGTCCTCATCGCATCTCGCCGTGGAGCAGCTCCCGAAGGCGCTGCTCATGTCGAACGAGGAGTGGGCGAGGACGTTTCACTTTCGAAAGCCCGGCGAGGACGACGTCGTCGTGTTGTACTCGCGCCGCATGGAACGCGCGGTGTACGCGAAGCAGTTGCTCAACGACGCGGGGATGCACCGGTGTTTAGTCCTCGCGGACGGGGTCGTGGGGTGGTGCGAGGGCGGCGCGGGCGCCGCCGAGGGGATCGCGGCGTACAGGGGGTACCGAGAGGGGGAGACGCCGCCGGAGCCGGAGCGCGGGGACGCGGGCGACGGCGGCGGGGGGATCGACCGAGGCGAGGCGGAGGCGGAGCTCGTGAGGAAGCGCGTGCTGCTGCCGTGACGTGTTTGCGTTTTCGTGCGTGTTAAAAACAGAAACTATGGTTAGAGATCTCAACGTGAATGCAGACAGGGAGCGCGAGTAGGGTACACGGAGCGAGCGCGGCGGCGAGAGCCTCACGCCGCCGCGGGCGCGGGCTCCTTGGACACGAACCCGAGCGGGCACATCGTCCTGTTCGGGCTCGCCGGCTCCGCGATGTCCCCGATCTGCTCCGCCGTCCCCATGTCCTTCACGAACTTCATAAACTCCGCGAACACCCCGGGCAGCGTCCTGTACTCGCTGTACGGCACGCCCGCCTTGGCGGCTTCCTCTCTCACGATCTTCCGAATCGCGGGATAATGCACGAAGCACACCGCCGGGAACAGGTGGTGCTCCACCTGCAGGTTCAACCCGCCGGTGAAGAAGTTCCCAATCTTATCGCCCCAGTCCGCGGACGTCACGACCTGCTGTACGCCCCAGTCCCTCTCCCACGCCTCTCCGCCGGTGTCCTCCGGTATCTTCGCCTCGGCGACGTTGTGCGACACCGCGAACGTGCACGCGAGAACCATCCCCTGCACGGCCGTGAACGCGGCGACGCCGGCGGCGACCGCGGCGGCGGACGCGCCCATAAACGCCGGCGCGAGCAGCAGCGAGAAGTGCGCGATCTTGCCGAGCACGACGGTCGCGAGCTCGAGGTTCGTGGCGCCGTGCAGCTTGGCGCCCTCGCAGTCTCGCGTCAACAAGCCCTGAATGTCGCCAACCTGAAACGCGAGCTGCATGAGCGGGAACGCGAGGAACAAGTACAGGTGCTGGTACTTGTGGAACCACTTCTTCGGCTGCCTCGCGTCGAACCGCAGCAGCGGCATCGCGGTGTGCACGTCCTGGTCCAACGCGTTGTCGTTGCAGTGAATGTGATGGCTCACCTGGTGGTGATACCGCCACATGAGCGACGAGCCGCCGATGAGATCGTCCGTCATCCCGAGCGCGTTGTTCACCCACACCTTCGGCGACATCGCGCCGTGGTTCCCGCAGTGCTGGATCGTCAGCCCGATCCACGCCCCGGCGAGCCCGAGGAACGCGCCCGTCGCGATCGCCGGGAGGACGCCCGCGACGGCGCCGCACTTGGCGTACAGCGTCCACGCCACCGCCGCGGTGCCCACGATCGTCGCCGCCGCGGCGTCGCCGCCGGTTCGATGCGCGAACCGTCCGCCGGAGTATTTGTGATCGTCCCCGAACAGCTCGGTGCGGACGCGATCGCGGATCGCGTTGTACAGCGGCGAGTCGTTCGGCCGCGGCGACTTGGGGACGGAATCCACGGGGAAGCCGTCGAGCTTCGGCAGTCCGCGGAATCGCGCGTCGCTCACCTCGGGCCTCAGGTGATACGACTCGATCAGCGCGGTGCAGTCCCTCCCGATCGCGAGGTTCAGGAGCCACGACCCGCCTGGGTGCTTGTCGTAGAACGGCTGAAGGTCGTACGCCCGGTCGCGGTACACCGTCCACTTGACGTCAGCGTATTTCGGATCGTTCCACGGATCCGCCGCGCCGTGCATCGCGACGTCGGGACGCGGCGTCGAGATGGGTCGGACGTCTACGGGCGTCGCGACCGCGCGAGGGGTCGTGAAGGACGCGACGCGGCGGCGCGCGAGCGACGGCGACGCGCGGCGGCGAACGCACGGCGCGCCTCTGCGGGAGAAGGACGTGGGGTCGGATCGGTCGTTAGTAAATTGTGATTATATACTTTCCTTTCCGCTCGCGACCGCTCGAGCGCGGGGACGGCGCGCGGGGATCGACGAACGGCGACGCGCGGCGACGCGCGGCGCGCCATCGCGCGCGCCGCGGCCGCGCGGCGCGACGCGAACGCCGCGAGCCATCGCGCGCGCGCGCGCGCGCCGTCGCCGCCGCCGCCGTCGCGTCGACGGATAAACGAACGAGAAGACGACGAGAGGGGAGCGCCGCGATTCTGCGCGAATCTGCGGGGGCCAACGCGACGCACCGCGTCGTCGTCTTCGAGGTCGTCGCCGTCGCGCGCGCGTCGCGAGCGCGCGCGCGCGCGCGGGCATCACCCGCGAGGGTAACCGCGACGTGGCTGATGGCCGCCATGGTCTTCGGGCGTCGTCGGCGCGGTCGAGCAGTGCGTGACGTCGACGCACGACGAGGCGCTCAGCGTTCGACGTGTCGTCTTCGCCGCGGAACGGATCTCGATCCCAGGAGATTTTTACGACGCGCCTTTGGCCTGGGGTGAAATCGATCGCGAGGGACGGGTCGACGGTCGTTGCCTCGCGATCGAAGGCGCGATCTCGACCGGTTTGAAACCGCGGGCCAATCAGCGACGAGGAACCGAGACGCCGTCCGCCGCGACGTGATGGGGTAAGGTTGCCGCGCGCGTCGCCGTCCGCGCCACACACGACGCGCGCTCCGGCGGGGGGAGGCGCGGCCGAGCGTTTCTCGACACCGCGGCTCGGAATCGCGGCGAGGGCGCACGAGGGATCGAGCGATCGCGGCGAGAGACGCGCGCGCGCGGAGGGCGGAGACGGCGCGGCGCGCGGGGTTTACGCACGTCGCCCGGCTGCTGCGAACGATGCGCGCGTCCGCGTGCGTCGCGTCGTCGGCGCGGACGCCGCGCGCGCCCGCGCGCGACGGCGGATCGTCCGCGTCCACCGCGCGCGTTTCGACGCGCGCGAGCGATCTCCGTTCCGCGCGCTCCGCGTTCGCGCGGAGCGACGTCGCGATCGACGCGCCGCCGCGCGCGTCGCGCGCGCGCCGGCGATCGCGCGCAAGGTCGTCGTCGACGTCCGCGTCGATGGGAATGATTCGCCTCCTGAAGTTCGACCCGAAGCGCGTCTCCGTGTCCTTCGGCGAGGCGACGCGGCGGTCGATCGCGGAGCCGCAGCGCGAGCGCCGCTACACGCTCACGCACAACGACCTCACGCGCCAGCTGACGCTGTCCGTCGCGCGCGACTTCGACGGCGCGCAGACGGCGCTGTGGTACACGCGGCTGCTTCGCGACGAGGTTCTCGCGGAGTGGCGCGACGACGGCTTACACGTCCACTGCAACGTCAGCGTGGAGGGGCACTGGTGGATCGATTGGGCGAAGTCGCTGCGATCGGTCGTGTTTCGACAGAAGCTGCCGCTCGTGCTGGATACGCTGCGGTACGCGGAGAGAGAGCTGTTGGCGCGGCGGCCGAGGCTGAACGACGCGCCCGTGTTCGTGCACTTCCACGGCGACTTCGGGACGCCGCCGAGCTCGCAGACCGACTCCTCCGGGACGGATTTCGATCGCGCGTTCAGAGACGCGGGGGTGAAGGAGTGCTGGGGCGCGTTCAGAGACGCCGGGAGCACCGGGTCGCCGTCGAGCAGGGAGCTCGAGGTGTTCGAGAACGAGGTGGCGGAGAATAGAAAGACGGGCATCGCGTTCGCGCGCGCCGTCGACATGTGGTCGGTCACCGTCGCGGCCGCTACGGTCTGCGAGCCAGGGTGCGTCCCGGAGGAGTCGGTCTCGGTCTGCGAGCTCGGCGGCGAGGACGCGGTGTTTAGCATCCCAGCCTCGGCGTCGTCCTCGGGCGCGTCGAACGGCGCTGGTGGCGCGGGGGTGAGCGCGGGGGTGAGCGCGGGCGTCGGCGCGGGCGCGGGGGGCGCGCGGACGCCGTCGGTGGCGCCGGCGCGGGCGGTGGGCCGCGCGCCGGGGAGGTGACGTCGCGTCCGTCCGGCGCGCCGTCTTGTAATGCCCATCGTAACATCGTAGTCGTCGTCGTCGTCGTCGTCTGATGTGTCTCGCGTGCGTATAAGAATGGTTGGTGCTAAGCGTCGCGTCGCGTCGCGGTTGAAGAAAAACCGTTCGCCTGGGGATCCTCAGAGTCGACCGCAGG